AGGTTTAATCACCAAGGTAGGTGGGCCTCCCCATTTGGGTCCCATGATTCCCCGTGAGTTCACATGTCGGCCGGCCACTTGACTAGTACCAGTGAGGCCCACAAGCAGCAAGGGTAGCTCTTTGGTCAAGACAGGTCATTGACCCTCACCGATCACATTGACCACCGCGTCCCAGCACAGAGAGAAAGAGAGAGAGAGAGAGAGAGAGAGAGAGAGAGAGAGAGAGAGAGAGAGAGAGAGAGAGAGAGAGAGAGAGAGAGGAGGGAGAAGTTACCAAATGGAGTAAATTAATACATGATAAACTAAAACACTTAGAATAGAATGGACATGATATAAGTCAGTATATAACTTGACATCTCTTTTGGCCAACACGCAATTCTTTCCTTCAAACAATGTAGAGCTTGAAACCTCCATAGAGATAATTAACATGTAAGGAATAGATATAATGATGATCCTCCTAACTCCAATACTTCTTACAAGAACACCAGGGTTGATGATTTCACATTTAAGGGTTCTTAGAATTAAGGTTTATTTAGAGTGAGAGGCTGGCATGGATAGTAAGTTTGGATGGTATGAAATGTCAGAGGCTAGGAAGATTAGATTTGTCAATTCGAAGTTAGTGAGATTTGTTAATACTTATTGACAGAACCCAAATCATCTTTTAGAATGTATAGGTTAAGAACCCATAGATAATTAAGTTGAGATCAAGATTAAGTTAAGAGAGAAATATATATCTATTAAATATAAAATAAGATTCATAGATCAATGATAAAATATTATATAAGACAATTGTCGTGCAATTAACTATGTAATGTAACTCAACAAGTTATTACTTAATTGTGAGTCGATGAAGATTTCACTATCACCATATCTCGCTTCAAAATTGAAGTGAGAAAAGATTTGATAAATAAACACTTTGTTATAGATATTTGTACATTATAAGAAGTTTATTATATAGTCCTACACTTAGATAATTTTCACATGTCCCCCCCATTGAGAATTAAGTTGAGATCAAGATTAAGCTAAGAGAAACATATATACATATTAACTATAAAAGTTTATTATCTGATCCTAGACTTAGATAACTTCCACATGCCCCCCCCCCCCTTGTATGTATTAACTCATAGTCACAATCATCTCATTTCTAGATTCAAGCTATTGAAGAGACTAAAACTAACCATGAAAATTTGTAAATTCTTACCATGAATAAGACCACATGAGAACAACCACATGACAAAGGTAAATGACTAGTAGAACAACCACGTGAGAGAGTACCTTTAGAGTGAACTGTTTTAAGTGTCATGGGTATGACTATGTAACAACCCAATGCCCAACCAATAACCTCCATATCGATGAGTCTAATGCCTTATGTTGAAGGTTGCAAGTTTTGAGAGGCTAAAGGAGGCTTACTAGATGTGTCCAGATTGTGTAGCAATCATTGTTGCCATCAATGATGGGCACCCATTTAGAGAATATAAGGACAACATAATTTAAGATGTTATTTTTTTAGAAAGCAATGTTTATATATATCACAATCCTCTAGAGATTTTCTAATATGGGAGATACATGTGGGTGAGCTTACATGACACTTCATACATGACAAAACTATTGACACTATGGAAGAGTGTTTTTGTTGATGTGGTGAGATGTAGCGAAACTTATCTCACAATGTTACACTTGCACGTGAGCATGAATTTTGTACAAAATTATCTAGACAAGAGGTTGATATAAACCCCTAAATGTCCCAAAACAATCATGCGAGGATGTGAGCATGAGTTTTGTACTAAGATTACCAATAACCCCCAAGAAGTATGATTTTATTTTTGTTCTTATTGGTAGTTTCTCTAAGATGGCACATTTTTTTCTTATTCCAGAACTTCTTATGCCTCTAAAATAGCACACTTATACTTTGATGAAATTACTAAATTTCATGGCGAGTCCTTCGGGCAGACATTCAGGGACTACAATGGCGAGTCGCAAAGGAAGGCATCGGTGGAGGAGTTCTACCGGCTGAACCACACTCACCAGACCTTCGACTTTGTGGGCACCACTCATCAGACCCTTTCTTTTGCTTCTTTCTTCTTTTCCTTCTCCCCCACTCTCCTTCTTGCCTGATCTGATCTGATCTGATCTGAACTGCACTGTCTCGTCGGGCAGGTGAAGAGGATGAGGGAGGAGTACGGGAAGCTGGACCGGGTAGAGATGAGCGTGTGGGAGTGCTGCGAGCTGCTGAACGAGTTCGTGGACGAGAGCGACCCGGACCTGGACGAGCCCCAGATCGAGCACCTGCTGCAGACGGCGGAGGCCATCCGCAAGGACTACCCCGACGAGGACTGGCTCCACCTCACCGGCCTCATCCACGGTCAGTTAGAGAGAGAGAGAGAGAGAGAGAGAGGAATTCAACCATCCATCCATGGCCAGCCCTGTAATTCATCCATATCATCTATCCGACTGACCCATCTCCTGCAATCAGATCTGGGGAAGGTCCTCCTCCACCCCTCCTTCGGGCAGCTCCCGCAGTGGGCCGTCGTCGGCGACACCTTCCCCGTCGGCTGCGCCTTCGACCAATCCAACGTTCACTACAAGGTCTTCCTCCTCCTCCTCCTCTTCTTCTTCTTCTTCTTCTTCTTCTTCTTCTTCTTCTTCTTCTTCTTCTTCTTCTTCATGATAGCCTGACGAGCTGGCTTCTTGGTCTGATCTTGGCCTCAGTACTTCAAAGAAAATCCAGACAGCGCCAACCCGGAGTACAGCACGAAGCTCGGGGTGTACGCCGAGGGCTGCGGGCTCAACAACGTGATGATGTCGTGGGGCCACGACGACTACATGTACTTGGTCGGTATCCACCTCCAAAAAAATGGGAGATCAATGGCAGAATCTCCATTTTCTGGAGTGTGCCCAGGGCTGACGATGCTCTGCGTTCTGAAACTCAGGTTGCGAAGAAGAACAAGACGACCCTTCCTTCGGCTGGGCTGTTCATCATCCGCTACCACTCCTTCTACCGTGAGCCACACTCCATCAACTTCGTCAGACCCCAGTTCATAATCTCCCCTTGTCCTCCGGCTAACACGATTCAAAAATCTCAGCCTTGCACAAGTCTGGAGCGTACTCCTTTCTGATGAACGAGGAGGATAAGGAGAACCTGAAATGGCTGCACGTTTTCAAGTCAGTGGTCCTTTGAACGCGGCCTTCTTCCCCAAGTTCCCTTCTTCGCTCTCTAGCCTCTGACTGCCGCCTCTGTGGTTTCAGCAAGTACGATCTCTACAGCAAGAGCAAGGTCAGGATCGACGTCGAGAGTGTGAAGCCCTACTACCTGTCCCTCATCGAGAAGGTGGGCGGGTTCTCATTGAATCATTGACTGACTGTGAACGGCGCTCCTCTGATTCTTTCATTCCCTCGTCTGTAACCTGAAGTGGCTGTGTGATTGTTCTCTCTTGCAGTACTTCCCTGCCAAGTTGAAGTGGTGACACGCCAAAGTACAAGGCCTGTGGGATGGAAATCCTTCTTCCAGTCTGAAAGATAGGGAGCGATAAAGGGAGTCTCCTGTCGCTGTTGCCTCCTTCTTTCCTCGTCTTCCGTCGGCATCTCGAGGGAAACTCGGCTGTCAATCTCCAACGGCGCTGTATCCACTACCTTTCTTTGAAAAGCTCCTCTTGTGTTGGCAGTTATGAGAGGGCTCCTGAGGATCACATCTTGTTGAATGAACAATGGACCAGGAAATAATCTCCGTACTCCCCATTGTATTTTCTTGGGCGCCAACGGAGCGAATAAGAAAAATCTATGAACCGATACAACCTCCGTTCGACGAAGATCAGGATACCTTTCTTGAATTGATGTTTTCGGCTCGAATTCCACGCTAGAAACAAGAATAGAACGCTCTTTGGTGTGAAAATCAAGAAGGCCAGGGACGGGGGGCCGGCCACTCGTACGACTAGTCCGCAATCTTTATCTGTCGAGCACGCTTGGTCTAAACTATGACGCAATCAATAACGTGTAAGATTGGATCAATGCGTGTCCGACTCGATCTGATCATTCTGCATTATCCCTAAACAGTTAAGAGTTCTAAATCAACAAAGAAGATCAGACATCCGCGCCGTGCCACCAGCCGAAGGAATCGTTCAGATTTGTCACCATAAACAAGCAAGAACTCACAAATGATGAGCTCGCCTAAACGCCGTTCGAGAAAGTAGTTGTGTGTCAACCATATCACCAGGTGGACTGAACGGCGCAACATTATTACGTGGAATGCCGACGAGATCCGACCAATCGAAGAACTCTCATTAATGGAGGGAATGTGGACGGAATACCTCGCTATTGACTGAATAACGTCAGTGGAGGAGATCGGCTCGTCTTCCCCGCATCATCATCCCCTCCAACGCTTCCTCCGCAACGTCAGAAGGCAGAAAGATAGATGGCCATCCCCGTCCATCGACTTTAACCGCACGGAGGTTTCAGAGAGAGAGAGAGAGAGAGAATCTAATTAATTAGTGTGCCGATCAACGACGGTTGGGTCCGGTGTATCGACGGCCTCGGTGATGGTCCCCAATCTACCCGCGAAACCGAAAGATGAATCCGATCAGGGGGTAAGTCGGATCATACGGTCCAGAGTGCGCTGGAAGCCTACAGATCTTATCCGTGGGGTCTTTCCAGGTATTTGTATAATTATTAGAAACTTATGGACCTTTTTGGTCATTTAATGAGGGGGATAAGGAGGAAAATAATAAAATATTTTGTCCTAGGGGGAGAGGGAGGGAGGCGAGGCCTCACTCCATATATGGTAGAGTGGATACAGCTAGGGTTCTTTCGTTGTCTTTCAGCTGAGACTACTCTTTCCTGCGCTCATCTCGCCGCCGCCGCAAAACCCTAATCTGCTTCCCCACCTGGTTCGAAGCTCGTGGAAAAGGGCTTGGGAGCGATACATGGCGAGGTCCGTCTCGGACTAGGGTTAAGGGTTCACCCATCCGTCACTCGCCGGGCCACACCTTGCTGCTATTTTTGGGGAGATGGCCACCGCCAACCCTTTCGATATCCTCGGAGACGATGACAACGACGATCCGTCGCATCTGATCTCTGTCCAACAGCAGAAGGTCGTCGCTAAGAAGCCAGCCCCTGCGGCCGCCGCAGCGGTGCCGGCAGCGGCGAAGCTTCCTACGAAGCCCGCCCCTCCGACCCTTGCTGGTGCGTTCCTCCGATGGTTTTTCCATGTACTGAACGGTCCCGCTGATTTTTTAGCCTCTTTGGTGTTTTGATTCGAGGCGATGCGGCTAATGTTAGGGTTTTGCTTGCTCGGTATTCAGTCGCTTTTTTTCTGTGTGGCCGAATGTAGATTTCTCGTTTACGTGCTGATTCGTTGTGTCATTGAGAAGTGTGATTTTACGCCTTATCTATTAGTCTTTGGTTGGTTACTGTAGCAAGGGATGCCAGAGGCAGCACCGAGCCAGCACGAGGAGGTGGTATTGGTGGTGGCCGAGGAGGACCGGGGCGTGGAAGGGGCCGTGGAGGCTTCCCCAGCCAGCAGAACAGGGAGTACGGTAATGGTAATGCGAACGGTTTTCCTGGAACATATGGCGGCGGTGGGGGCGGTGGCGGCGGGGGAGAAGATGGCGATGCGGAGAAGTCAGTTGACAGGGAGCGTGCATCCTATGGGGGACCACGTCAGCCCTACCGTGGTGGTCGCCGTGGTGGATTTCGAGGAGGAGAGGTTGAAGGGGATTCTGAACGCGCCCCAAGGAGACTTTATGAACGTCGGAGTGGCACTGGCCGTGGCAGTGAGCTCAAGCGTGAGGGTTCTGGACGTGGCAATTGGGGAACCCCAACTGACGATGTGCTTCCACAGTTGGGTGTTTCTTCTCATAACAGTTGGGTTTTTTATTCCATTTCATATTGTTTTTAAAAGAATAACTCTCATTGTTAATTTATTGGAGTAGGGAAGGTGAAGAAATTGTGAACGTGGAAGGTAAGAATGCCGAGAAGCAACTTGAGCAGGTAGATGCGCCAGCATCAGATGCGAACAACGAAAACAAGGAGGGTGCCAATGAGAATGAAGAGAAGGAGCCAGAAGATAAGGTAAGATATTATTGCATGATGCCGTCATCGTTTTTGTTAGAATTTTTTTTTCCAGCAGAAGGTTATCGCTAGTTTCCTACCAGCAGAAGGTTATAGGGACATTGAAGGTCCATCCATTATTAGTGCTACTTTAAGCTCAAATGTCAATCTTTCAAGTGAATTTTATAAATCCCCCATATATGTAGGCAGTGAAAGGTTTGTTTTCAATTAATCCAGTTCTAATCCTTTCAGTTATTGGACAGGATCTACATTAGATTAAATTTACACTGCATCATTGATTCTTCGAGAGTAATCCAGTCCCCCGTCCATTATAGTCTACATGTCACATCTTATTAGGTTGGCAATTAATCGTTGTTTGTGACAATTATTCTAGCATTCACGCGCCGAATTTTTGTGCTAAGAGGGTTTTGATCATAAGCGTCCATGTTTGTTAAGTAGTCTCCGTTTGTTTTGCAGCTTATATGATTTACAGATCATCATTGGTTGTCTCTCGATGTATAATGACTGGAAGAAATTTCGGTACAGCAGTTGATACCGTGGGGCCTTTTTTGTGACGATTACCTCGTGACCGAAATTCACTGCTATGTTTGGTATAGAACAGGATGGCTTTGATTTCAATTTTTTTTTCAAGACTCTAACTGCTAGAAAACCGTCCTCTTTTGTTCCAAAAGTCAACGCATAATGGCAGTGGGCACGCTTTAAAGAGTTGCAAGGGGGAAGGTTGTTCTATGCTGGTCTGCTACAGAGTCTTGTTTCTGAGAGACGCTTGTTTGCCCTTTTCGTTGGCTAAAATCGTTGTTGCCCTCTAGATATCAACATATTATCTTCGACTGTTTCTATCGGGGACTGGAGATATTTGAGTTTTTTTCTGCAATTAATCAATGCGGGCAGGGATAGTTGACAGACATTTACCATTTGATATTATTTATTTATTTTTATGAGGAACTGGTAATTAAGAGGACTCAAGGATCGATGAGTGCGGCTGTGGAGTGTTGGTTTCATTTTAGATGTATCATCCCTGGAAATGTAATTTTTCCCTTGTGGGAGGTCAGGAATGATATCTGTTTCTTTTGCTCCGATAGTGATACCAACAAATTTTGATAGACACTCAATACTTCTACTCCTAATCCGATCTGGACGATTTCCAATGATCTCTAGCTGATGTCTTCTACCGAGGTTCAAAGATGCATCTTATTATATTTGATACCCACCAGCATTCGATGTAATTATTTGGTTATCTCGCTTGAATGTGCCTGCAAACGAAAGTAGTTTAGTTGTAAGAATAGTTGTCCCTCTTATCCCGCTCTTTGAATTACTTTCTTCATCTGTGAGATCGGGAGGGGGGGGCTCAGCTCAGCTAAATTTTTAGTGATCTTTTTCCCCGAGGAAAGATTTTTCTCGTTAGAGCTTCATGCGAGTGTTTGTAGAAGGTCAGTCTGTGATATTGAAGATACGTTGATCAGTGGCTCAATCTTCCTTTCATTTGCACCTGTTGATTCCAACTTCTGTTAATGTTTTGCGTAATTAGGTGAAAAAACATCGATTATTTTCCCTCTCGTCTGTTCTTCGTGAACCCGAATTGCATTAATTGGTTCAAGTATATATGATACTGCTCGTTTCTCACCGATTTATGATACCTATGATCAGGAGATGACCCTGGAGGAGTACGAGAAAATAAGGGAGGAGAAGCGGAAGGCTCTGTTGGCGCTCAAGGCCGAGGAGAGGAAGGTCGAGGTCGACAAGGAGCTCGAGGCGATGCAGCAGCTCTCCCTCAAGAAGGGGAACGACGACATCTTCATCAAGCTGGTGAGTGAAAACCAGTTCCTTCCTTCCTTCACTAATCCTTGAGTTTTTCTGTGCGTTTCCCCACTAATCCTTGGCTAATTAATACAAACCCCTCCTAAAAGGGCTCCGACAAGGATTCCAAGCGCAAGGATGCGGAACGAGATGAGAGAGCCAAGAAGGTACGTATATGATGCAACCTTCTTCATCCGCAGAACTCTCTGTGTGAGTTGTTTCCCTGATAATTAATGGTTACTGCCCGAAAACAGTCGGTGAGCATCAACCAGTTCTTGAAGCCGGCAGAGGGTGAGAGGTACTACAGCCCCAGGGGCCGCGGCGGGCGTGGCGGGCGCGGCGGGCGTGGCGGCGGCGGCGAGCGAGGGCCGTTCAGGGGCGGCGGCGACTTCGGCGGCGGTGGCGGCGGAGGCTTCGGCGCGGCGGCTCCGGCCATCGACGACCCGGGGCACTTCCCCACGCTTGGAGGGAAGCAGTGAGGCCGCCCCGTGGGAGGGGAAGAGGAAGAGCGAACCTTCCTTGTGACAGACAGACTTGCTCGACGCTGTTTATTTTTTCTTTTTTCTTTCTTTTAACCACCACCGGCTCCTTCATCCGCATGCTCGTCGTCTAAGGGAGTCGTCGACGTACGTCTGAGAGTTTTGAACATCGTTCCTAATGAGCTCTGCTATGATTTCCGTCTCCCATTCCTGCATTGCTCACCGTCAAAAGGGGTTTCTATAAATAGAAAATATTAGATGAACTTTCTTAGTCAAAAGGGGTTTCTATAATGAATTAAAGAAGGCAGGGCCCTTGAGTTGGGAGATTGGGCCGATCTATAAGTGGAAAATATTAGATGAATTTCCTTGGTACGTCTGAGCCCTAAACTGCAATTTAGCATTGTTGACTAGAAGAGGGTAGGGCCCCTGCGTTGGTGGGCCCATCTATTAATGGAAAATATTAGAAGAATTTCCTTGGTAAATCTGAGCCCTAAACTACAATTTATCATTGTTGAGTAGAAGAAAATAGGGTTCTTGCGTTGGATGAGTGGGCCCATCTATAAATGGAAAATATTAGAAGAATTTCCTTGGTGAGTCTTAGCCCTAAACTACAATTCAGAATTGTTGAGCAAAAGAAGAAGGTAGGGCCTTTGCGTTGGCTGATTGGGCAACTATCTATCATTGCGAAGCCATCTTCTACTCGAGAGGGAATATTACACCAGACGAAGAACACAACAGATAGATTCTGCTTGGCATCTCCGAAACTGATGGGTTTTTTTATATGTAAAACCAGTAGTCGCAGAAAACAAAGAGATGGATGGATGATACAGGGCGAAGACATGGAGTTTCGAGGTGCTCTGCTCTCGTGTTACCCTGAGAAAAGTCAGCGCAAGCGAACGAATCCCTCCGGCGAGTGCAGCTCCTCTTCCAGCTTCTTTTCTGTAGGAAAAAAAAAAGAATAAAAAGAAAACAAAGACACAAAGAAGGAAGGAAGAGGTAGTTGGTCGGTTGTTTCTTACAGAGCAGCCCTTCGCAGGAGGAAGGCCTCCTCCTCTCCTCCCTGTAAGCAGCTCTCAGAGCCTCCTCACAGGAGAGCTTCTTCTCTGAGTCCGTCCACATGCGACCGCTCCAGCTTCCGCGGTCGTATCTGGGCGTCGAGAGGTAGCTCGGCTCCGCCATGCCGTCGCCCTCAAGAATCCGAAGGACCTGCTCTCGCCCAAACCCACCGCCATTAATTACTAGAAATGGAAGGTTCAACCTTGAACATGTGATGGGACTCACCTGAGACATCCGAGGCCTCGCGTGGGGGTCTCGCCGCAGGCACAGGGACACCACGTGCAACATGGCGCAGACCTCCTGCTCAGAATATTGCTTGTCTAAGCGCGGATCTACCAGCTCCCCCACCACGTTCTCTTCCAGTAAAGGGCGGGCCTGGTCAAGTCAAACCCATGAAGCCAGTCCAATTGAAACACAAACCAAAGGTAGAGAGAGAGGAGGGGGGATATCAATCCAGCTGATGGAGTTACTTGCCCATTCTGTGAGGCATTGCTGGCCTTTGGGTCGGTTGATATCGACGGCTTTTCTCCCAGTGACAAGCTCGAGGAGGACCACTCCGAAGGAATAAACATCGGCTTTGTCGGTGATCTGACCGCTCTGGGCGTACTCGGGCGCCAGGTATCTGGGGTTTAGGAAGCCACTCAGACGCCGCTTTTCAAGGGGAAAACAATTGACATCTAGTGGCAGACGATGAATCAGCTTCAAGGACCTACCCAAAGGTACCGATCACTCGAGTTTCCACTCCCATGTCCCCGTCGGGTTGCCACCTGGCCAAACCAAAATCTCCAACCTGTACGCAGTGAAGAACTGATTATGGTCATGTCAGCTGCAGAAAACTTACACAATCTGTGTATTGTCACTAGTTCGAGGTGAAGAACCAAAAGAAAAGAAAAGAAAAAACTAATATATACATATAGACATTACCTGGGAAGTCATTGCAGACAAGTAAAAACACAGAAATCACAAAAAAGGCTTTAATAATTTCCACTTGGCAGGTTATGGGACAATCAAAGCGCAATCGCTGAGCTTAAAGAGTTTTAGTAAGTCTACAAGTTTTTTCATGGAAACGATCACAGAAAAACTGCGAGACCATATTCGCAGTTAAGTACCCCAGGATGAGGATGTGTGATGCGTACCAGAGGTTCAAAATCGTGCGTTAAAAGGATATTGTTCGGCCTCATGTCGCGATGAACAATGCAGCCCACTCTGCATTCTTCGTGAAGGTACCGCAGGCCTCGGGCAGCCCCAATAGCTATCTTCTGACGAGCTGGCCATTCTACCGGTTCCCGGTTACAACCTGGAAACGAACCCCCCAGTTAACATTTGGGTACAAGCTACAACATGTGCAGAATGAAATAACTTAAGAAAAATAAGATCGTTTATTGATAATGGATGACCGAGAAAATGGCCAGAAGATCATCAACTTATAATGATATCGAGAGGTGTGTTTCTTTGCAAAAGATTTCCACTTCAGTGCCCGGGAAATCAGCTTCCACCAGGATAAACCAGACTATAAATTGCATCACTTCGACGAAAATTGATTGAAATATGAGCACCGACAGATTTTCCGAATAATAATATAATATATACTCGATCGCATTCAATTTCAATCATGCAATGGTGCGTGGTTGGCATAAAACGGAATTCATTTATTTGAATAACAATAGGATACCAATAAAAGCCTTTCCAAAAGAGTACGGTGATTTCAAGATTTACCATAAAGATGGGAATCTAGTGAGCCGTTGCATATATATTCATAAACCAGCAACCTTCTCTGGTCCTCGACACAAAATCCAATTAGCATCACAACATTCCTGTGCTGTGCACAACTGAGAACTTCTACCTCTGCACAAAACTCATGATCCCCTTGAGAGCTTGCCAACTTGTGCTGCTTGACTGCAATAACCTGCCCATCTGGCAGGATCCCTCTGTGGACAGATCCAAAACCTCCTTCTGCTAAGAAGTTTGCTTGAGAAAAACCACCAGTAGCAAGTTTCAGTTCAGCATAACTGTACCACCTTGGGGGTTTACCAAGAACTGGCGCCTTGTGCTTGCATATTGAACATAGTGGAGGTGGACCTGAGGGCGCATTCCTGGATAGCGAAATTGCTTCCCAAACAATTCCATTGAAGTCCATATCTGACCTACAATTTAATATGTCCGTTCCAGCGTGTAAATTATGTTGGAAGAGTTTTGTTACTAAGGTATTCGGAGTGGAAATCTGTGTTTTGTTACTGCATCTTTGTGACGTGTCCTGAGCCTTCTTTGACAGTGTTTGTCCATGACTGAGAATGTCTGCGACCCATGGCTGAAGTGCTAAGCGCCCTGATGGACTTAAATTTTCACCGTCTGAACCCGAGCTGCTACCATCCGAACCATGGCTCCGTTTTGCATCTATGATCTCACTTTTCTTGACTCCTTTCGTTTCAGAAATAAAAAATGGGGAAGTTCCATGATCTGAGCTGCACATTGAGGACGTTCCAGCCTCTGTAGTAGTAAAGGGTGTGCCAAGATCTGGACTGCTTGTGGGTGTAACATCAGGCACACGCATGGAATTTGGAGGCCCACTGCCATGTGATTGCTTTCCAGAGACATTATTTAACTCGGGAAGCAACATACTGGCTACCTGAGGCTCTGCCTCAAGAGATCTGACCAGATTAAGGCGAAGAACCTTGGGTTGAGAACGTTTCATTATGACGATGTTACATTGGAGCTCTTCCATGCATCGTTTCTCCTCATGCTTCAGCTGTCTGTAGAACAAAAAAAGAAGACAAGCATACCGTTAATATGAGATGAGCGAACGACAGATAATTAGGAGAGAAAAGCAACCTAATCCAACCTAAGAACAATCTAATGACACGTAAAGCTAGAGTGCCAGCACTCGGGGTATAGGTATGAGAAGAGTGTGAAATTTGGATATTACTTGTCTAAAATAACCCAGCTTGCTTGAGCCCTCTTAGATTCTGCAGCTACAGCTCCAGCAGGTGTTCCAGAAACAATCTTTATCTTCACATTAATCTAAATGAATAATCAAAGTAGCAGTCAAGAAGCAATTTGTTTAACGAGAAACTAGATCTATCAAGTTGTTGTCTTACGTTGTTTGGGTCGTACATATTGTGGAGTTGAAGCATCATCTGTGAACACGTATCAGTAATATCAGACTTCATCTCCAAAGATGTCCCAGTGGAAGACCTCCTGTGGCCACTGGCACAGTCCCCCGCAAATCTTGGGAAACCCCATAATTTTCTACCTGAGACGTCAAGACAGTTAACAATATCTCATCATCAGAAGCATTCCGTCGCTCAGTCGAGTAGTAGAAACAGCCTCCCTTACAACCCTATCAAAAACTTTTAAGTAACATGTAGGACGCTTGCTGCAATTATGTATCATTTTACTAAGCAGTCGGAAGAATGCTGCTCACGTTGATATACTAAAACCTATCAACGTCGAATTATAAGACATTTGATAGAAGTCACTTCTAAACAGAAGGAAATGATAAAATAAGTAAATTACGACGCTGATTACGTGGCAAAAGGAAACAGCAAGATGGAATCTTAAAAATGGCCGATTGTGTTTCACAGAATCAACCAAATTATGTTTCACAGAATCAAACAAAGAAAATGGATTCATTCGACACAGCAAAAGGAGGGTCAAATAGAAGTGACTTGAAGGATTGGCACAACAGCACCTGAGGTGAAAGAAATAGTTGACATCTACCAAGGGAAAGCAAGAAGTAAGAAGCGGAATAGGTATCGACTAGAGGTATACCTGAACTTTGAGCTGGAACCACAACCAGAAGAGTTATACAATCGCCGGGCTGAACTACGTGAGTTAGAGCCCACACCAGGGCCGTTCTGGGAATCTCCCTGGAAGCTTTTACAGCCACCACCGCCATCTTCTTGGCAACATTGGTGCCCTTGTCAGGTTTGCTACGCTTCGGCTGCGAATTCGCACTACTCATTTCGGAGGAATTCAAAACCGGAGAACCCTACTTCTCCAGCCCCTGCCGGCTTCCTCCCCAATTCATCTCACAGAACTAACCTCTCTCCCCCTCCCCCCGGCGTCCGCAGAGAACTGTAACACGGACACAGGAGTAGTGGGAAGGAGAGAAGCTCTTGTGTGCCTCCTCTTCCGTGATATATTATTACGGGCAGAAGAAGCCTGGCCCCAGACCCCACAGTCCTTGTCACAGTTTACTGCAGTCACAGGTACCACTGAGAATAAACATGATCTTAATTCAAGCGCTGCCGGAATGCCAATCAGGCTACGAGTGGAAGCAGCAGGAGGGACCAACGGCAGCACAGCATCACCTCTCGCCCCCTTTTCCTCGTCTTCCTCCCGATGCTACAGAAGCCTTCCAATCGAAGTGACATCAATGCACAAGGAACCTTCCCCGTGATGGTCTGCCCGAGAGAGAGCTGTTCTGAGAAAACGACAAATGGCTGAGAAGGTTGATATTTGTTACAATCCGGTGCACACAACATCGAGACAGAGCCTTGTCTTTCAGCATTCCATTCGAGAACTAAGGGTTAATACTCGGGCAGTGATGAAATCGTCGGGTTCCTCTCTCTTATTTAACGCTTACCGTAAAAAGGAAACCACTGCAGAAAGTCAAAGTCGAAGTGATCAAACCATAGGATTCGGGCAATGGCAGGAGAGAAAGCACTTCCACAAGAAAACCCTAGCTGCGAGCTGTCAGCAGTTACAGTACCGTGGTGGAGGAAAAAGAAAAAGGTGGAAGTCTCAAGCGGCGCAAAACTCCCGTTTTCACCGGAGATGGACAAGTTTTAGCATGTTCCGGCCCGCAGTTCTCGCACGACCGGCCGCTACAAGACGCTATGAATACGGCTAGTTGCAGAACAGGACCACCACGAAGAACTAAGCGGGAAAAGAAGAACTTCAAAAATAACTGAAATCTAATAATCCCCCCCCTTCCACAGCCGACCTCAAAGAGCCATCCCCACCTCCAGAGCCACCTCCATGGCCGGCAAATGCCTCGCCAAACTGAAAGAGTAATACACTTCCCTCGTCTCTAACCAAAGCCCGGAGGAGATGGTTTCTTACCAAGAGCAAAGGAACAAGGCTGAGATGCTTACCAGGATACTTCGCCGATTCCCCTCCCTCAGGATCCGTATGCGTTTCGAAAGCTCTCAGGAACGAAGCAAACGTGAACAGTTTGAAATGGCGTTGTAATCGAGAACGATCACACGGAGATCTGCAGGAACCTGCCTCCACCTGCAGGTGTTAATGACGGCACCAGTCTCTGGATTCCACTACCGAGCAGTCCCTCCTCTGTAATGAGGTTTTTGCGATGAGAGAGAAAGCATCTGTGATCCGCCCCCATGAGCATCCTCTCTCACTCTCTCTCGCTCTCTCTCTGCATGGCCAGCGCACCGCCCCCTGATTCTGCGGCATTAACAGAAAATGGATGTAGCACGATGGCGGGATCGCGGGCGTCACGTCGGTTTCCCGCCCTTCGCCATGGCCGCCACGATTGGACCGTTATCTTCGAGACCGCCCCAAGATTACCCACGAAATCATTATTATTATTGTGGTCCCAAGTGGTTCCCAGCCGTCCGATCCGGATCCACCACTGTCGCCTGAAAATGATCCCCACCCCCATGGTATAGGATAACAAACGCGAGTAATCTCACCGGCGGCCCCGGCCTCGCCGCTTCAATGGTCGCGTTTCCCGCTCTTCCATTAAAGACGTTATTTACGGGATCTCGGTATGCGGGTCCCACGGAGGTCGCCCTTCCGCATGTGCTAATTAATGCCGTTCCAGCGAGTCAAGGCCCATTAAGTGATAAGGCCCATATACATAATGGGCCGGGTTGCCTTTCACATTTGGCCCATTAATAACATTGCCACGACTGTGAGAGAGAGAGAGCATAACAGGAAACAGGAGCAGTAAATATAATAAATACAGCAGTAGAGAGAGGAGGTAAAGAGAGTCAGATAGTATAGTCGGACCAGTCGGAGATGAAGGAGGTGTGGTCCATGGACTCGCCGGGGATTTCGTCGAGCTTGGAACGTCCGCCGACGATCCTCGCGGGGTTGCCGACGGCGGTGGTTCGCGGCGGCACGTCGATGAGCACCAGAGAGCCCGCACCGACCTTCGCCCCTTCGCCGATCCTCACGTTCCCCAGGATCGTCGCGCCGGCGCCGATCAGCACGCCGTCGCCGATCTTTGGATGCCGGTCGCCGACGGCCTTGCCGGTGCCGCCAAGCGTCACGTTGTGGAGGATCGACACGTTGTTGCCGACGACGGCGGTCTCTCCGATCACCACTCCCGTGGCGTGGTCGAGGAGGATCCCGCTGCCGATCCTGGCGGCGGGATGAATGTCCACGGAAAAGACCTCGGAGATCCGAGACTGGAGCGCGAGCGCGAGCGGGCGGCGCCGCTGGTTCCAGAGGACGTGCGCCACCCGCTGGGCCTGGATGGCGAGGAATCCTTTGTAGTTGAGGAGGCAGCGGGAGAAGGAGTCGCAGGCGGGATCGCGGAGGCGCGCGGCGACGAGATCGGCGACGGCGGAGGCGGCGAGGGAAGGGTGATCGGCGTAGGCCTGGAGGAAGATGTCGTAGAGGAGTGTGGAGAGCAGCGTGGAGGAGCAGAGCCTGTTCGCGAGGTGGAAGGCGAGGGACCGGGCGAGGGACGCGTGGGAGAGCACCGTGGCGTAGAGGTAGCTGGCGAGCGCTGGCTCCGACTCGGCGTCGCGGCGTACCTCCGTCTCGATCTGGCTCCACACCCACGCCTCGCTGTTCTCAGGCTCCGGCAGCGGCGCCGCCGCTCCCGGCGGCGGCATGGCGATGGCGGCGGCGGAGAGGTTGCAGAAGAAGAGGAAAAAAGGGGAAGCGATTTCCCTGCTTGCTGCGTCCTTACACAGGAAGAGACGGAGATAACGATTAAAAAGACAGCTGAGGGGAGGAGGGCGGTGGGGGGCCTGCTGACCGTCCGATTGGATCCCGAGGGCTCAGTTGCTCCCCGCCACAGCCGGAGCCGGAGAAAGGCGGCGGCGGCGGCGGCGGCGGAGAGGTATCAAAGAAGAGAAAACAAGGGAAGGCGATTTCCTTGCTTCCGGCGTCCGTACGCAGGAAGAGACTGAGATGATGATTAAAAAGATAACCGAGGGGAGGAAGGCGGGGGGGCTGCTGACCGTCCGATGGGATCCCGAGGGCTCGGCAGCTCCCCGCCGAGGTCACAGATCAGGGCAAGCACAGGAACAATGAATAATCACCATGAAAGCTTTTACAAGCCCCTACAAGAGAGAGAAAGAGAGCAGAGCCCCTCCTCCGACCGAACGCCATGATTTTTCTCTGGTTGCAGCAGACCCGCTTGTGGGAGAGCGACAACCGCATCGGGGGGGACCCAAGAAGACAGAACCAGACGAAATCCTTCCCAAAAAAGAAAGAAAGAATTAGAAGCCACCTATCTGCCCTCCCGAAGAAGGCTCCCTGTGGATGGACTCCGACGGTCTTCATGCGCGCCCGGAGGAGGGGATCATGAATTGCCCGCAAGCGACCCGAAGAAAAGGAATTTCTTCTTCTTCCTCTGGCGGCAGCGGCGACTTCAGGCATAGTACATGTACAGGCTATTGGCGGCAGCGCAGGCGAGCGAATTCTCACTCGGGTGCCAAGCGAGGTGCAGCAACTTGGTCGTGAAATCGTGCGGACTTCCATCGGGTTCGGCCCCCAGACTCTCCCCCCCTGCAAAAACACCGCCTCTGAGACGCCATCGAGTGAAGAAAGAGATGGAAATTGAAGCCAGAGATCTCTGGTTCAGCAGCTACTACTAACCTCGCCGGACGACCCGAGTCAGGCTGCCGAGCGACCTTCCTGGCCTAGCCGGGAGCTGGACTTGCCTCCTGATGCAGAAACCAAACCAGACCCGCTCAGAGATCTTCAAAAGCATCGAGACTACCCGAAGATGAAAAAACCCCGCACCTCATCGGGTTCTTGCTGGCCTCCAGTGTCGTCGCCTCGCTGCTCCCAGGAACGGTGCCAAAGACGCGGAACTGGTTGCTGCGGAAGAGAAAGATCCCCATCGTCATCCACGGAATTCGTTTCTACCCAAAAATGGAGCTCGGCGGCTGAGATCCTCACCTGTAGGAGCCGGTGGCGACCCGGGAGCCGTCCCCGCTGAGGCAGCACTCGAACTTGTCGAAGATCGAGTCGTTCTCATACAGATCGCAGAGCTGGGGAAGAAAGAGCAGGGGATCAGCTAGCAAGAAGACAGACAGCAGGCCTTGCCCTGGACGGAATGCTCTGCTAGAAGCACTCACCCTTGGCCGCAGATGTTCGTGGACCTGGAAGGTCGCCACAGGGCCGGAATCCATGTTGATGTCCCAGAGCTGCGGATCACGGCGGGCGAGGGCGAAAACCAGGAGCAGATTCATGAGATTAATGGGAGAAAACAAAGAATAAAAGAGAGAGGAACACAGACAAGATGGAGGTTTTATGGACTTGGCCTGAAGCAGACCAGACCTTGAGGGTCATATAATCGCGGCTGAGGATGTGCCTTCCGTCTCTGCTGAACTTGATATCTGATACGGAGGCTATAATCTCCGTGAAGAATGACCTTGAACCAGCTACTTCGTGCTCCTCAAAGCTGCATTAGTCTCCGTTGTTAGGGAAAATATCAACCCAGATTTATTGGAAAATCGTTGACCTTGACGGCTGCTTACAGCTGACTGTGATTGTCGCACAACGCTGACTGCCGCAGGTCAATGAGCCGGATGGAGCCTTTCGAGCTGCTGTATGCCAACGTGTTGCAGTGAAGAGGATGAAACTCTGCGGCGGTTATCACCTCTGCAGAGGAAATGATCCCACCTCGTGACCCATTTTACCTCACAATATACGCAAAAAGAGAAAGAAAAATAAAATAAAAACGATTCCATGTACTGGTGGTAGTGATCAGAGTTCTTTCTGCGACCCACGAGAAAAAAATAAAATCAGTTTTCACAGATATTCATATGCTCCTTTGACCAGTGACAAAAGTTGACTTCTAAAAATGTGAAGATAGCTAAATATAGCATAGAAATAAATGATAAGCACAATCGCGCGCGCGTGCGCGCCCAGTTGGAACAGGTTGGTATGCAGACCTGTCAGATCCTCCATATTTGAAGGCTTCACGTCAACGATGTTAAAGCTCTGATAACTTATTTCTAAGTTCCAGAGATTAATCCGCAGATCATCAGCTGATATAAAAGTCTCACCGTCACTGAAATAAAAATAAAAAAAAAATAAAAAATAAAATAAACAAGTGATTACCAAACTAGTTGAGTCAGTAAAATGGATAATTGCAGAAAAACAGGAAATATTTTCTTCAGAGAAATAATAAGTCGCTTTATTTTTTGTGCATCATGATCTTATATACGTCATTCATATCGACATAAAAGGGAGAAACTGCATCCATTCCACACGAAATAAACGCACCTGACAAGATCTAAGAGGAAGGCCATGGCTTTAACAACGAGACATAGAACTACTTATATGGATAATGTCGGTTCTAGTTCTGGTTCAGGTTTGCCTCCCGATTAATCCTGTTTCTGGATGTTCGACATTGGTAGTTTTTGTTGCTCTACACCATTACAGCATTAAGAGTTTCAGATATGATCAGCAGTCCATCTCCCATTATCACTTTAATTTTCTACAATTCTAGTCATTTTCACTTTTTTAAAAATGTAAAAAAATCGAAATTTCTGAGCAATTTAGAGGGCATTCATTCATCAAAGTGGGACTTGTGCGATGTATACCTTATTCATTGCTCTCTTGATAATTTTTCCATGATTAGTGTGAGCCTCCTTCGAATGTTCTGGCCCATATATACAGATGAAAATATTCCCAAAAAAAACATTTTTCTTTTAAAAACGGCGTCAAATATAGTACAAGTTCGGAGAAATTGGCTACTGGGTAGGATCTCCAATTAAAAGAAAACACCCAATTTATATTCAAAATGGTTTGACTTGGAACGATTGACACATGCGCATTTGCTGTGTTTGCAATCAAATTCCTCCCCCAACCTACAATCCTCAGGATCGAAGTCAAACCCCATGCCACATCAAGAAAGTCACAAAGAGAAGACGAAATTGATACTTCTTTCTTGAATGGGAAAAAAGGTTACAAGTCAAAGACACGGGTAGCAGACTGCGAGGCATATCATCAGGTATTGAGGTGAAGGCTCAAAAAAATTGAGAGTAATTAGGAAGAGAGGGGAGGAGCTGCAGGCAATAGGAAGAGAAACTGTGTTTTCATAGGTTAAACAACGATTGTGCATACCTGTTATTTGATATGGAGTTGATGTGATAATCATGAGCATGAGCGTAAACTCTCCTGCATCTAGCAAGAAGATTGGTCTCATTGCTGGCAACCTAAAACAGACACATGCACACCAAATGTTATTACAGACTCCAAAACAAAGAACACAATAAGCAAAGATAAGAAACATTGTTCAATAACGACAGATAAGAAGATTAAATCATCATGATGATGGATTAATTAGTTATTTATGGCAGTATTCGCAGCATCAAACTGAGTCATCCTAATGGCATTATGTGACTCAGGTTTCTGAATCAATGTATGCTTCTGTTGGGGGGGGGGGGGGGGGGGGGAGGGCGTCTGCACTAAAATCTAACCAAGTTTTGGCAGCTCACCATTGAATCCGTGGTCGCATCAGATATCAAATAAACAGTTTTGCAAAGGATTAATTTGAAGGAAGATGTACAATCCATGCTCAGCCGGCAGAAAATAAGGAAACAAAAATTATTTAATGAGTGTTGGGTGCACACACCACAGGTAAGCGCAATGAAGGGAATCCCCCAGGAGGAATTGAGAGTTCCATGCCCAAAGAATTGGATGATCTTTCTGCATGACCACCGTTCAGAAGATGAGTTCCGGAACTGGCTGATGTACTTGAACCGGCAATACTACCATTTCCTATGGGCTGCGGTCCATTTAAATTCATCTCAGAAACTCTTCTCACTTTCTTTTCTTGCACCTGCAAACACTCAGACAGGAACCATTAACTATGCAGTAAGGATCCGGAGAGTATGAAAAAAATGGAGGAAATTTACCAGTACTTGTTATCCAAGTCAAACGGGGACACATTTCTTGTAAACAAAAGTCAAATTAGCGAAGAATCAACTTAGCATAATCGAAACTGCGCAATCGTTTTGGAATAATCCAAAAGATCATGGTCGTGAGTACAAATAAAATTTTCCCAGGAGATAGAAAAAAACAAGAAGAATTTTTTTTCTAGGAGAAGTTTCTGGTACTGAACATGAATTCAAGACTAAAAAATATTATTAAAAAAAACTACAAGTATATGCTCTCAATGAGACCCTTCAAAACCGATCTATACAGCATTTCCACACACTAAAAAAGAAGGCACTGAAAAGAAAATCTGCAAAGAACTAACAGAACGAAGTTAGGAAATGATTTCTGACATGTTAAAAAAAAGAATGCCAGGCACTATTTCAGGAATAGATGCTGCAAAAGCTATGAAAAGACAACGCAGAGGAAGACATTTATGCATCGTACAATGAAGTGCACATCTTATAACGAGTAAAATCCAAGTATGAAAGAAACACATGCCATGACGATGATGACATGTAAGTGCAGGGAACAATAAAAGTGGAAATGAATAAACATGCACAACAAAATCTATCCGCCATAGTAGTATTTTCAGGACAGTAATCCACAAAATAGAAAACCAGAATAATGGGATGCCACAGCATACAATGAATCCAATCCACAAAGAACTACAAAGAACTTCACTGATCTTTAAAGTTGTTTTCATAAAACCGACAATGTACGAATTAGATCTCAGAATATTCGGTACCATACTTTTCAGTAAATACATTTTTCAGATCTGAAGCTATCAAACGGAACTGTTTGGAAGTGAAAACACTCAGTTGTACTGGTATGCTAAAGCAATCCACACTCGTATCTGCCACTTTAGGCGGGAGAGGGAGGGATGTCAACAGGAACACGCTAAAGAATCATGCATACCTTCCAGAATTTGATTGTTTTATCATTAGTAGAGAGAAGAAACAGCGCGCCATTGGCTGATTGACACCAACGAATCTTGTTGATCTTCTCCTCTATCTCCAAGCTTTTTAGATAATCAAACTGACAAGGGAAAGAGGTTCCGTCTATATTTTAGAACATCAAACAATAAATCCACTGCTTCATGCGGCACTGATACATATGATACATACCTCTGGCTCATGGCTCTGGAACTCAGTTTTGTAGCGGAATTCTGGATGTCTGACAGGATAATCTAGCCTTTCGAGATCTTTTCGACCAGTATGCTGTAGATATATGGCCCAACAGGCAGAAGTAACAATAATATAAAGAGGGGGCAGTGCGGATAAAGAGAGAAAAAAATTAATTAAAACGAATGAAGTTCAGAAAAAATATAGTACAAGAAAAAGGGAAATAGAAGTTGAACATACGTCTTTGGTATCTGTCCTTTCAAATAATACGACACGTCCTCCTCTATCTCCAGTAGCAAGATGGTCACCGGATTTGTCAAATTCAATAGCAGAGATTATGTCAACTGCAGAAGGCAATAAGGAAGAAAACAACTCAGGATGTAAGAAGAAATTTTCGCAATCTTACTTAGCAGCAACTCACTGATTCCCTTATATATTTATTACATAGGCACTACAAAAGCAATTTAATTTCAAGAGAATAAGAAGAACAACAATTAAGTGGACGACAAGTAATACATGAAAAAAATGGAAGAAAAATGCGATACTTACCAAAAAAGAAACAACAAGAAAATAGAAGATGATAACAATCTGCAAAATCTAGGCCATTTTTTTGTTAAGAATTTTGTCAGCATGCTGACAACCCAAACCATTTCCAACATTCGCCAGCTACTAATTCTGATGCTATCCAGTGATATTGGGAATATTCAGTAACTAACAGCCGGACCACAGCACGCTTTAGGTAAAAAAAGATAGAAAAAATAATTTCTTCACTCATGAAATCCTCCAAATCGGGTCTTGCAGGAAATAACAACAGCCACTAAGACACAACATATGATCTGAGCACGCGATTATTAAAGCAGCCAGTCATTTAGAGCTGTTCAAGATTGGAGACTGCCAATCAGATGATAGTCAGAACATGTAGCTCAAAAAGGCAAATTAATTCAAGGGACAAAAGCAGTCCTAGAAAAATTCTACGGCTCAAAAAGTACATCAAATTGGAATAATACGGAGACAAACATACAGAGTTGGCTCCTAACCACTGTGTGCCGTAGGCATGCAACCAAGGGCCAATGATTAGGTACCTCTAGATGATAATAACCTGAACAAGTAACCCAAACAGCATCTCTAATCGTGACTATCAAAAGTAGAAAGAAATGACCAACCTCGTACAAGTAAGTTTTACACGTACTTTAAGAATACACCATCGTCTAAAAGCACGATTTATCCTTGAATTTCATCCACAATCAAAAGAGTTATTTATTCTTTGAAGAAATGGACACGACGATAGTTTAATGAGCAAGATTTATCCTACCTTCTTTAATTCACCTAGAGGGGACATATCTCCTAAACGACTATAGTGGCCACCCTTAACGTCTTCATGGCATAATGTTGATCAGACCTTTCCATAAGGTCGAAAAAATGGCACACTAAATGGCACAGTAAATAACTACATACTCATTCTGATGTTAAAAATCTGAAACTTCGTGATCATGCTAGGGGTGATTCATGATTTTAAAAAAACAGAATAGGGCATGCTCACTTCAGTAAGCTGGTGTAAATAGCACATCAATAAATAAACCGACAATAAATGCTCTCGGGCCATTGTCATATTATAAATTAGTTGTGACAATCATCATTGATCACTTAGCGAACTAGATTCTTTGCCAATCTGGTGCAGCCCAAGAAAACATCAAGTTAAACCCCACATGAACTGACAAGACATTTTTAATGAGAAGGCAGAAAAATTCCCTATAAAGCCGCACACCGCGGCTCAGTTAGACATACCGTTTGCCTCAAGAAATGGAGGATCTAAGTTCAAACTAGACCAGGGCTGAAATGGTGTGAGATGGTTGTTAAAGGCAACGGGGGATCATCCTCGGCGCCTCAAATGACGGAATGAACAAGAAAACATCACCCAGACAACTAAAGCCAAAATATTGCTAGGTTCATAGAATGAACCCTTCGTTCCACAATAAATGATGAAACCTCTCCACGTTTTCTTCAGATTACACATACATCTCAAATTCTTCGGTACCCAATGGTATGCATGACTCCCTTCAATTGAGTCGCATTGCTGTGGAAGCTCGGCCTATTCGCAAGTGTCGATCAGACTCCATCATCAATCCACAGAGAATCGAAAGGGAGAAGACGAAAGATTTATGATCCCGGATAAATCTAAATCACGGCGCACAGTGACGCTACGAGACCATGCAATGAAACCCTAGGAACCAAAAGCAAAACCACTGAACTCCAAAACCCGCGAGGGGGTCGGGAAAAGACCTACCTTCCTGGACCTCCTCCCCCACCGTCCGCTCCCCAAACACCTGAGAGAATTTCCACTCGAGTGGCGGCGGCGGGGACGCCGCCGGCTGTCCCGCGTCCTCCCCACCCCTATCGCTCATACTCCGAGAGAATTCAAGCGATGTCGAACGCAGAATCCAAACCGAACGGCGCGCGCATCAACGATCCGCTCGAATGCCGCCCCTCGATCGGCAGGCAGATCCCAACTTAGCTGCTGCTCCCCGTCGAAGCACAATCGCCGGTCCCCCCTTCCACCATGGAACGGGCACGGGAAGAAAGTGAGGGTTCCAGCAAGCCGCCTTCCTCCCCAACAGCGATCGTTATCGCGGAGCGCACGGGGCAGGGAGAAAGGCGACGACAAATCGGCTCTAATCCCCCCCTCTCCCTGGCCCTAACGGAGGCCCAACTCCTACTTCCCCTTCGATAATCCGCCAAACAAGTATTTGTACCAGGGCCCGCTCTCTTCTGCCTCCTAATTACGGAAATGTCCCTCTCTCATTCTCCGGCTTCCCCAGAACCTACTCACGCTCTTCTCTGCTCCAGGCGGGCGGCAAAGAAGAGGGCCGCAGTGGTGGCACCCCCGGGGAGATCTCGCCGTTGATGACGTCACACGGCGGGGAGAGCGCCGGCGCCGCCGGGCACCTTCTAATTACGGAAGCGCCCCTCTCCCCACTCTCCGGCTTCCTGCTCCACAACCTTTGTACGTTCTTCCCTGCTCCAGACGGCGGCGAAGAAGAGGACCTGAGTGGTGGCGCCGCCGGGGAGATCTCGCCGTTGATGACGTCACACGGGCGGGGGAACGGCGGCGGACGTCATAACTAATCCGATTTTGAAGTGTTGGGGGGGAGGGGGGGCGGTGTTGGGGTTTCAGGTCCGGCCCGAGCCGGATTCTAATCGGTTAATATTTCGGGCCCGGACAGATCCGTTGACTGTGGCTATATAATGTCTGGGGGGTCCAGAAAGCTCCACGGATCGTCCTGTGTTTTCCACGCTTTCGGCCGGCGTCGTTGGGATTTCCATGGCTCTGCTGCCGAGGACCGCTCGGCTGGCCCTCACGGCGGCGCAGAGGGCGGCCCCGATCCAGACCGCTCTGCCGTATTCCTCCGCCGCGTCGTCTCCGTCGCCGGCGCCATACGCTCGCCCCCCGCCGCCGTCCACATCGTCCCCCGCCGGTCTGCCGAAGGCGGTGGAATATGTGATATCTAAGGTGGACGATCTGCTGAACTGGGCGCGGCGCGGGTCGATCTGGCCCATGACCTTCGGGCTCGCGTGTTGCGCTGTCGAGATGATGCACACCGGCGCGGCGCGGTATGATTTGGATCGCTTCGGTGTCATCTTCCGGCCCAGCCCTCGACAGTCTGATTGCATGATCGTCGCTGGAACTCTCACCAACAAGATGGCTCCTGCCCTCCGCAAGTATGCTCGATTCTATCTCCTGCGTTTTTCTCACCGCATATTATTATCGGCGACATTTGCCTACATTTTTCATGTCACATGTGGAATCTATCCGTTTAAATGAAAGAAGTTCGGACTCAAATTCCTCTAGAATGATAGGTTAGACTTGCCCTCTACTTTCGGTTATATTGCCCATCACTAGAACCATTTTCTTAAGTTTTTGTTACCTGATGCGCATTTCGATGACGTTCGTTGAACATCATGGTTGGGGGTTTAAATAGAATATCAAGCCAATGACCTTTTTTTCTGTCAGATTTTTCTTTCCTTGCCTTTGTTAGGTTTGATTTTCGGTTAAATCTTCTGAGCATTCAATGCTATACTGAAGTATTTATCTTCATATGGATCGCCATTTTTGGCGAAGATTGGGGATTTTCACTCTATGACGTTTATTGCCTTTTTTTGAAAAATTACTTAGTAAGCTGTTTACCGATGCTCAGTGAACAGGACAAGGGTTCACGTTGTATTTTAATTTAATTTAATTTTTTTATTTATGTGCCGGTTCTTTCGGATTTTAATCGATCAGAAAGACGATGTATAAATTCATCTACAAAACCACGTGTTCCCTTGTCCTTATGTATCTTTGTACTTACGTGAGAGTCGCCGCATCTACAAAACAAGTCAGTACTTAGTTGGCCCCTAAGCTTTTGCTCATTCTTACGCTGATATGAGGATCTATAAAAATGACGTTTTGAAGATCAGATATAGATCGAAAGGACGAGAACAAACAAAAATGTGGTAAGGCAGCCCAATTGACTAAAAAGGAAAAGTTTTTTTTTTGTTAAGTTTGGAATAGAAGTGGAGATTTAGAATACCTTGGAAGAACACAAAAAAAACTAAAATGAGGCAAGGACCTCCATCAGTATATTCGCTCTGATAATCAATCTGTTTTTTTTTATGAGCACGTGGAAGCTTAAGGTGAATAAGATAGAAGTGTTGGAGAGACACGAACGAGTCCACAGCTCACAGAAGAATCATTTTTCTCCAGGTAGGGGATCAATGTGGCTGAATTCAAAGGAGTAGGAATAGGCGTTTGTACGCAAAGCAGGAAATAGAAAATAAAAGGGAAGAAATATTATTTCTTCCTTTTCTCATCACTTCAAATCCTATCTTATCATGGATGCTAGTGTAAGAAACTACGATTCATTTTGCAAAAAGAAGTAGCACCATAAAGCTAAAGTTATGAGATACATGTATGTGAACAGAACCACAGACATAAAAGTAGAATAGACTCCTGAAGATTGCTACACAAGAAAAAGATCTCCAGAAAATGAAAGTTCAAAGGAGGATTCTATGAAAGGTTTCTGAAAGCGTTTTCAAATTTTCTCTTCGTTTCTACCTCTTCAACTGGATTTGTGTATGGCTAGAAATAAAATATTTCACATCTTCATGAAATTATAGAGATCACTTCTGAAACTTGTAACCTCGACCAAGTGGTCCATTCCATCAGTCTCAAAGCTGGAGGGTTAAGCATCACCAATCAGGAAAAAACACTCCCTTCCTATTGACCTAAATTTATTGCATGATGGCCGGATCTCCTAATCAGATTTAAGGGACTTATTGCTTCCTGGGAGACCTATCCAGATTATTTTCCTTGTTCGTTGTGTTGCCAAACGTATTGCCGAAGGCATTGTTGTGTCATAAACATCCTATGGATGAACATATCTTTGAAAACGGAATTGGGCCGGAAACTACAGTGTGGGATGCTCATTTTTAGTGATGAAACTGCTGGATTTTGAAAAAGCTCGGTTTTTGAGATTTTCTCTCTTTTGGCTCCTTTGTATGGTTTGTGGTTGATGTTAGTAAGTTTTAGTATTGCAGCTTATGACTGAGTTAATGTGAACTATTGTGAATTGAGGTTCCTACCTTCAATATGCAGGCGAGTTAATTATTTATATATCTTCTAACGTAAGTTTTGCATGAACCTTGCCAAATGTTTGCATTACTCCCCCTTTTCCTTTCCTCCGGTAATTTATTTTCTACCTGTTGGGGACTTAAATCCGAGGAGAACCCCCTGTTGTATGGTCATATTTCTAGTTTGAACCTAATATCAAGGAGCCATTAGCTGCTATTCAGACTTTCGTTTTTGGTGAACAACTGCTCATTTGATGATCCAGATGATCATCTATTCAAAGAAAATCTTCATCAGACTTCACCTCAGAATTTTTCTGTTAGTGAGAGTCACAGCCACGGAGAGGTTCCTGGAGAGAAGGCAGTCATTTAATGTGAAGCTGTTTGATTTTGGTGCACCATGAAAGAATGATAGATATCATGATCTGTAGTATAACTGCAGTCATACCTATTATTTTCGTCTGTTCACATTCAAGGGCCCGTTGTACTTTTCTCCAATCCAACTGAATTACTGATAACCCCTCCTGTTTATCAGTTGGACGTTTAGATCCCTGAAAGCTTTCATACTCTTACTTTTTAGTCCAATCCATCACATTTAACATAGAATTATGTGCAAAAAAGACTTGATCACCCTCATGCTTTATAACCATCACGAGAAGTTTTTAGTCTTTTTCTATGTAAATTTATTTTTTAAATATAAATAATTATGAGAGTTTTCAGGGACCTAGAGTCCAACCGAAAAGAGATAAGGGCTATTCAATAATTCCATCCATTTGCCTGCAACCTATTTTTTTTCCATAAATTAATTAAATAAAAATATTTATACCATATCAGCAGCTGTTCAGTTCGTCACCTGTTTTAACTTCTTTTACCGTTTTTGAATCTTTGGATGGAAAAAAATCTTGATGTGAGTTTTTCTTAGTACACAGTAATTTCATCATCTGGGGATTCTCTCTTCTCCCCTCCTGCAGGGTCTACGACCAGATGCCGGAGCCCCGCTGGGTGATCTCCATGGGCAGCTGCGCCAATGGCGGCGGGTACTACCACTATTCCTACTCGGTGGTCCGCGGCTGCGACAGGATCGTCCCCGTTGACATCTACGTGCCCGGTTGCCCACCCACTGCCGAAGCTCTCCTATATGGAATCCTCCAGCTCCAGAAGAAGATTAACCGGCGGAAGGACTTCCTCATGTGGTGGACCAAGTGAACTCCCCCTCCCCCACTTGCAGCTCTCTCTTGCTTCTCTGTTGACTTAAATAAGGAAAAGAAACCTGGAGACTCTGGAGATATCTTCTTCTTCCCCTTTTGCTTTCTCTATGGTGATGCCTTGTATAAGTTAATTCTCTGGGGCCTTTCACTGTTGTCCAAGCTTGCTTTTAAAAGGGACCACCGTTGTCGACTTCATTGTTGCATGATATGTTACATGAGCTTCATGTTTGTCCATTGAAGATAAGATCAATCTCATGTCATAAACCCTAAAGTCTCTGGAGACATCTTATCATTCTGAATTGGTTTCTGTGGTGATGTCTCGTATGAGCTGATGCACTAGACCTTCACTGCTGCATGATCTTCATGTCTATCCACTGAAGATAAAATTAATCTCTCTCAAATCTTAAACCCTAAATAAGGAAAAGAAAATTGGGAACTGTAGAGACATCTTCTTATTCCCCTTTGCTTTCTTTGGTGATGCCTTGTATGAGCTGATTTCATGTCACTTCATTGCTACATGATCATCATCATGTCTACCCATTGAAATGAAATCGATCTCAAGTCTTAAATCCTAAATCTTAAATTTTTTGTTGCCCTAAACAAGGAAAAGAAAATTGGAGACTCTTAGAGACATGTTCTTCTTCCCCTTTGCTTTATGTGCAGATGCCTCGTACAAGCTAATTCCCTAGGGCTTCATTGTTGCATGGTCTTTATGTCTATCATCTACTGAAGATAAAATATATCTCAAGTCTTAAACCCTAAACCCTAAATTCTTTATTATCTTAAATAAGGAAAAGAAAATTGGAAACTTTAGAGACATCTTATTCTTCCCCTTTGCTTTCTTCGGTAATGCCTTGTTTGAGTTGATTCCCTAAGCTTTCATTGCTGCATAATCTTCAGGCCTATTTGACGTCCTAAACCCTATACCTTAAATTCTTCGATGTTATTGGAATCTTAGAGATTTACGGTTTAGCGCAACTAATTGGATTGGGAGGAGCGTGGACCATGTTGTGAAATTGGGCTGTTTTAGGGCCCACGATGTATGGGGCCCAATCACTCCCCCGGAAATGGGGGGGTACGTGGTGGTCGGCCTCCGGGCCGAAACAAAGCCCTAGAGATTTCGCTCGCTGACGACAGAAAAGCAGGTGAAGGCTGTGGAGTCCGCTGCTCTCTGCGTCTTCGGGCGGCTGAGGTCTCTCCTTCTCCCTCCTCGTGCATTTGGAGGCCCAGGTCTCTCTGTTTTTCTTTTCCTCGGCCAAAGAAGGATCAGGTGCTTGCCGATCCCTCCCCTTTTTACGGTGTCCGATTTGCATGGCGCATCATCTTCTTTTTGTACTTCTGGATTTGAGGGTTTCGTGCGCCGGATGGGGGGTTTGTGTCCGATTCGCTTTCCTCTTGACGCTGGTCTCGCAAGCGTGGTCTTGTCCTGGGGTATTTTCTCTGCTCCTTGATCCCATTGTATGCGTGCGAGAGTATGGATCTGGATTTTGGGACTAGGTCCTGGTCTCATGTCCTTGCAAGTTTTTATGATCGATTCTCTTGTTTTTTTCTCTAAGATCGATCGCGGCCTCTAATTGAGGACTTCTTAGGCCGTTTAACTTTTCTACTGTCGGCATTTTCTTTTTTTCATTATTTTTTCAAAGGTCTGCGAATCATTTTATGTTGTATCTGACGGTGGAATGATTTGTTGACGTTTTTGTTGGTGGAGCTGATTCAGTAAGTGCAATGGCGTCGAAGCTCCTTCAGCTTCAATCGAAGGCCGCCCAAGCTTCCCAGTTAGTGGCCAAGCATGGCTGCACGTACTATAAACAGCTGCTGGAGAAAAATCACCAGTACATCCAGAATCCGCCTTCTATTGAGAAGTGCAATGAACTGTCCAAGCAGTTGTTTTACACCCGCCTTGCCAGGTACCGATCCAGTATCCTATAGGATGCCCAATTTGAATGGAACACGCTGCAGTGTTGATAAAGTTTTTTTTCGCATCTCTTCACTGGCGTTCTATATGTTATCTGAGTTTACTTTCCATGTCCTCATCCTACACAGTGTCCCCTCGTAGCTACTATATTTTAGAATATCTGGTACCTTTTAGAATTATGTTAAATATTTTTGTATATTTCTACGCCACGGTGGATACGAATATCATCTAAGTTTTTCATTACTGCCCGCCATTGCCCCAATTCTTCTTTAAGATATGTAAGGGTTTGGTAAATCTGACATGGGATAAGAAAAAAATTCTAATCATCCCCACATAAATGGTTACATTATATGGCTTGGTAACTTTTATAATTCTGAAGAGGACTTATGGGAACAGTCGCGTAGTAAAAAACAGCTATATTAGTTGTGATTTTAGCTCATGGAACAAAGAATTTCAACGCCCAAAACATTCCCTAAACTTTTCAGAGAGTCTAGGGAAGAAGCTGAATTCAAGCTTCGCACAAGTTCGGAAAACGAGGTGATATATTAGACTGACTGACTTTTCCCTCTTTCTTCCCATCCAAGTAGCCCGTGTTTTACAACGAACAGTAGACTGTGATCTTTCGTCACAGTTTTCTGCGTGGGACTTAACCTTCCCCTTCAGACATGTAAAGTTTTGTTTCTAGGATTTACTCCACGAGCGCCCCCACCCCAACCCACTCTGTTCTTCTTCTGAGAGGTGTAAGATGAGTCTAGCTGATTCATTTGATTTTCCTGGCACGGTGTTATTTATGCAGTTGGTTATATTCTTTTATTGAGACGAGCAGGTTTGCCCACCCTTTACGTCCTACTAACAAAGAAAATGCCTTTTTTATAAGTATCTTTTCTTCATTCCCTTTATTCTAGTTCAGATCAGACATGAGCCTTTCCATCACCTTGGTGATTGTCTATCTGGAATTATTTGTTTTTTATGAACCAAAATATTGCATACTCTCCCATCTGCGTATTCTTTTGTGCCTTTGTAGCTCTAATTCTCATTAGTCTCGTTCCGTGGGAAGAGATGAATCAATAGTGATGGCTATAATCATCTTTTTTTAATTGACCTAAACAAATGGGTACGACCGCAGTTTGGGCTTTTTAATTATTCATAATGTTTGCATTAATTTGTGGAAATATAAAAGAGAGATTATTCAGGTGCAGTTGTTTGTTGATTATTATCTCATGTGTACTTCAAACACGTCAACGATGGCAGCCTTCCTGCCCGGTACGAGTCGTTCTGGAAAGAGCTGGACTCTGTGAAGCAGCTGTGGAAGAACAAAGGAGACCTCAAGGTGGAGGACGCCGGAATAGCAGCCCTCTTCGGCATCGAGCTCTTCGCATGGTTTTGTGTCGGCGAGATTGTGGGGAGAGGTTTCACAATCACGGGCTATCACGTCTGATCCACCCCAAATCATCAAGAACAGACCTTGTCACGATGCGATTTGTCTAGGCTTTTTCTCATGCGGTGATTCATGTCACCAAGGTCATTTTATGCATAAAATTTTGTTTACCCCAAATCTTTCATGCTGTCGGATCATCAGCATTAGACCAAGCGTTTGCTCCAATAATTCGCTGGGTTATCTTTTTATATGGAAAACTATGTTGCATGAATGGCTAACTCTGTACCAGTCGACGACCTTGAAATGCCTCATTGTTTCAGGTTTATTGTTCCAGCCAAATGGAAGAGTTCAAAGTACCACTAGCTGGGTGTAGAGAGGGAGAGAGAGAGAGAGAGTCAACCTTATAGAGACGCAGGAATCCACATCAAGTCCTGGTAATGTCAACCTCCCTCCACCTCTCTAGTGGAAGAAACCCAGAACTTGGCCACCCACATTCTGCTTGATGGCCTCCTCGTGATCCAAAACCCCATTGGGAGTTGTGATCACCACGTAGCCCCACTGCATGAGACGCAGCAAGAACAGAGATTTAGAACAGGGTATTAAAAATGTAGATAAATTTTTTCCTTGGGCAGTTGTCGAAAACGAATATATTTCAGAAGATAATTCGAGTATGGATGAATCAGAACAGCCTTCGTTCAAGCTTCTGATGAAGCTGGACTTGCCATTTTTATCACAGCCGGTGGCAAAATCCCTGGACAAAAATTACCAGGCGAGTATTGAAATGACCAAGTTTCCCACCTGAAGTCACCATTCATGGAACTAGAGAGGAAGAATTCATGAACACGGGTCATTGCATTTTCGACGGAATTACTACAAATGGCGGATGACAATGAAAAGGAGCAATTGGGGTTCATCGATGGATGGATGGAGACCTGCCGGGTGGGAAGGGTCCGCGTGGTGTATTCTTGGATCTCCGCGGCCTTGATATCCTTTCTATGCATGAGGGCACGGCAGTCGGTGATCCTCCCCTGCAATTCCACCGTTATCTTCCCCACCCTATGGGGATCGTATACTTGGAAATCTTTGACATAACCTGCAAAGATCAGACCCCTGTGATAAAAATAAAATATAAATCTACCCACTTCACGGGGCAACGTCAGCAGATGGATTCACCGAAAAAGGTGTGATCTTTTAGAAAATTTCAAGAAAGGGAAAATCAGAAAAAATATCCAATGTATTCCAGTACATGTATGAGGGGAAAATTAGGTATGAGATATGTGCGCCATCGAGCTGCATTTCCTCTTACCCCTTGCAGTCATTGTTAAGCTATAAGATCACAGAATCTACATGGACCATTACAAGGCTCGTGTTATAACCTTTATGGCAGAATTTCTATAAAGAATACGTTCATAGTGTGTTTAACTATCTCTTGAAACAATGTCCCGATGACAGAATTGTCCCATTTTTTTTCCTTTATCCGGAAATTGGCTAGAAGGATTCACCCAAGAAAGATTTTCCGCAAACCATGTTAGGTTCCTTTGATCTAATGATCCAATCAGATTGACATCAGGCACGTTTGTTTCAAGGAACCAATCATCCGTGCATACCACAACTTTTACGAATCAAGATATCCAGACACGTTTCAGAGACATCTAAGTGGAAAACATACACAAAGGCTGATATCTGGTGCAGCTTCCTTTAAAGGGTAAACTACCGGAGAATATTTAATTAATGTAAGTGCATGTAAACCAACTCTGCATTAAGTTTTATTCTTATCCGTTTGAATCACATGATATCTTGGAAGATTTAGCTCTCAGAACTGAATTATCCTAATGACTGCATTCTTGTTCGGCGGCAATGATACAGTAAACTACCATAAGAAACGAGCACAAACCTCGATCATTCTTAGCAAACAGGAAGGTCGAGTTGCGTCATATCTCACCCAAAAGGTCTCACATTATCTCCCACAGATAAGTTTGCATGAAATTATGATTACAGCAGAAAGTAGGTCACACATATGTACCCCAGGTGGAAATAGAACGGGGTCGCATTCAAGAGGAGTACACGGTGCACTCAATAGCGAATCCAGCAGAAAAATCCCTCCGTAACATTTCTAATACCAAGAAGTAAAATGAAAAAATCTGTAGGGAAATCTCGTACTAATACCAAGATATTGGTGTTAGAGGTGATATCTCGTTGTGAAACCTCGCTATGTCATAGACTAGATTTCAGAGAATAATCCCGCGAAAAATTATCATTAAAAGTACCTTGAAGAAAATTGTTGGTTACCACATTAGTGACTGATAAAGCCGATTCCTTATTTGATAGCATTACTGATTAAACTTTTAAGTAAGCTATGAAATCTGGAAAAATGGCATGCCCGAAACCAAACTGATCAGCAAACTTCCACTTAGAATCTCCCAGCTGCTTTTTGTAGTTGAAGGTAGTATTGTTTGATATCCTTGTGCTCTTTTTCACAAAAAATGTAGCACCTCTGTCATTTCCAACTGATTTTATTTCTGCCCTCCTATTCATACTCTGTTGGAAATATTAATATTCTAGCAATTTTCATGATGATGAAGCTCCAGACGATCAAAAAGAGGAACTCTAAGCAGTCAATGTGGAGGAACTCAGGTGATAAAAGTGCGCCAAACCAAGCTAAAAACATTCAACTATTACTCGGCACTATTTCACTGTGAATATGTGTGACTGTTAAATGATGTCAACGCTAAGGAACATAAGATAAAGCAGAGAGAGTTATAAATGTAGATGTCAAGAAACCAGTCCTATGGATTGATGATGATTTATTATCCAAAAATGTATGCGATGATGAGTCATTTGAAGCTGCCTCCGCACATACTGAGATTAATGTCCCAATTGGCTCTTGACGGTTAATCCCAGTTGACAGCCAGCTAGGATATACTAAGAAAGGCGAATGAGTCTTTTGAAATAATCTTGAGTCATGAGAGTAGAGTCTCACGAGATGGGTTATTCCAAACCGCCCCCAGTGGATCATCGATTAAAGGAGCTCGGCCATCTACTGGAAGAAATCGAAATATTTTATCGGCAGCATTCTTGTCCACCTACTCCTTCCTCAAGGAATCAGAGGCCTACTCTCGCAAGTGACAGGAGGAACCCCTGATTCTGTGCGTGATCCATCATCTACCCCATATGATCGAAGCCCAGTAGAGAGAGAGAGAGAGAGAGAGCACGTTCATATACCTCGATTTTTCATCACCCTGAGAAACTCCGCCATCACGTTGGAGACGGGCTGCAAGTTCGCGGTGGCCTTTCCCCTCTTTTCCGCATTAACAATTGTCCTTAGCGCATCGTTCAATATCCTCCTTCCCATCCCTACTTGAGTCTCCTCTTCTCACTCACCACACGGGTTTCTGGAGAAAAACCACAGCAACACAAAAGGAACAGGTTAGATTCCTCGCCATTAATGTCCACGCCTACATGAAGAAGAGTGGCTACAGTTCAAGCGTATATCTCGCACACAACCAACCGAGGATCAGGAAACATCCTTTACACTGCAAATTCCACTGCATGCACGGATACAATCGTAATATACCTTGAGTACCCTCGATCCTCGCAGTTGCTCAGTATACACACTAGTTGAAGCCAGAATTTTGAAGAACTAGAGAGGGAAATGAACCATGAAATGAAATAATCAAGAGAGAGAAAGAGAGAGGGAGAGAGATCACCACCCACACTTGCCACCGGCTTGCGCAACCTCCGACACTGCCAGTGCCACAGGGAACGGTGGATAGGAGCTCCAGCCAAAACCGCCACCGTTGGAGAAAGAAAACTCCTAAACGCAACACTCCCACAAGGCAGGAAATCCTATGTGACCGCCCTTTCTCTCTCCTCTCCTCTTCCCCGCCGGCATTTCCAGTCACAGACAAACCTTCACTACCAACAGAAGGGAGGGAAACCAGACCTCTCGAAGCCCTAATGGTGAGCCATTTACCCACTGCCCACTACGTTCATAACTAATGGGCCTATTTCTTTAAGCCCACAAATATAGCCCAATATTTCATGCTAATAGACCATCCATCCTCACCCAGAAATATTATCAAGCCCAGGCCCATGATCAATTTGACCCATTAATCACCAAACCGACCTTCCTTTGTACAGAACTTGCAAGAGGGAAGCTCGCAATACGACTGAGATCGCTGCGATCCGTAGCGATGAAGCTGGCGAGGAAATGGAGGCGATCCAACCGCAGAGAACCAGTCGACGGAGAGGGAGGAGATAGGTTCTCGCTTCCGACACGAGACGACTTCGAGCCTCTCGATACTCGTGGTATCTCTCTCTCTCTCTCTCTCTCTCTCCCTCACAAGTTTCTTCGTTTCTGCCGATTCCGGCGTTTGAACGGTAGTCTTTACTTCTGTCTGGGGCGCCGATGATATTGAATTTTCATTGCTTTTTTAGAGCAATTGGAGCTGGTTTGCTCTTTCGAGAGGCAGCACGCTCGAAATAGTCGCTTGTGGAGGGTAAGATTCCCACTTCTGGTCGTCCATTAGTATCTCCTCCTTTTGAGCTAATTCCAGCGTTGCCGACTTCTAGGGTATTTTTTCAACGCTTCTGCTTCTCTATGCGGGATTTTTGACCTATTCCATCATCCAACACTTTCGTCATCCGTGGGAATTGGTAAGGAGAAATTTTCTTCCTACTCTATTTGACACTTTACCCCTTTAACGTACTTAAAAACTTGAAGAGATCTTTGAGCTCATTAAGATGGACAGTATCTGGTATTTTTAGCATGAATTATTTTTTCCCTGGTCTTTGAATATGAGGCATGAACACTGCTTTTGTCTCGCATACGGCAATATCGAGGATCAGGAATTCTCTCTTCGAGTTTGGGCATTTTTTTTGCTTATTTGAGAGATTTTCTTTGCATATAATACATTTTTTTACCTTTTTTCCAGCGTTTCCATGCCTATTTCATGGAGGACATGAGTGCGTGGGTAGTCACCTGTGCAGGTATGTTGTGTACTCCTTTTTTTCTGGGAAACTATTGCTTTAAATTATATTAATTAAACGAGAGTCATCATGTTGTGCCCACATGCTTCGATGTGTTCCTCTGTTAACTTCAGTGCACGGCAGTGTTCATGCTGTTTCTACACCCATTGTGGAGGGCGAAAATGCTCATTCTTCTCTGCCACTGTGGAATTCTATGTTTAAGCGGATAGCAAATTTACTCTTGTCAAATGACTTAAAAATATAAGATATGTGACTTCTTATTGTCCAGCTATTATTAGATGCTAATACAGATGAGATGTTATGTAGGAGATAGCTATACACAGCCAAAACAACACGGTGAATGAGTCACACCCAGAAACACATATTCAGTAATGATGTGATTTAGAGTTTCTAATCCAATCATTCCAGTAGTAGCCACTGTTTTCCCTCATTGCTGCTCTATGCTTCCGGTAATCATAGCCATGGTTGACTTTTTGTGCGATTACTTTTTTGAGAGCAGTAGATGAAACATTGGGAAAATATTAACAATTGATGATGAAAACTTTGGAAAAATGAAGAGATAATGCAGAAAATAAAAAAATATATCTTTCTAATTATGCAGTGAGCGCAAGCCTATCTCACCTCTATCTTCTTGACTTCTCTTAATTTTGAAAGGCTGAAGTTTGTAGAATATGAGGCCTACAAATCTTTTCTGGTTTTTTAAAAAATACCGGAATATTTTCTATATGTTTGGAGTGGTGTTATGAATGTATAGCATCAGAGAGAGTGGGGAAACATAACGTGAATGTAGTAGTCAGTTGCTGTATACATAGCCTGCAAATAGTGTATATATTGCTAAGTACAGTATGGGCTTTTTGGTAAATACTATTAATTGTGCATTATTCCAGATGGGATGCAGTGGCAAGTTTTTCAATCATGATCTGGATAAACTTATAATAAAGCTTACATTCGAACAATAAATAAAGTTCAATTTATGCTGATAAAATGGACCGATAATTCACCTGGAGACCGATTTAATTGACTTTCTTTTAAAACACTAAATTAATAAAAAATGTTTATGCAACAGTGATGTTATCCAATCCATGGGAACATTGATGCTGTGATGGAACTCTTGGTCGAGAGAGAGGAGCATAATCAAGTTAGATGGAATGTCAACAATATTCTTGCATAATCTTATGGTAAATTATTCTTGTCGTTATTCATAGAAAATGAAAACAAATGCTACTTCTTATGTCCTTACAAGCTCCCCATCAGAATTATCTGCACTGGTGAATGAAGAATATATATATATCCCTTCTTGTGGCTGATCTTGACGATTTTCTTCCTGATCTCATGTTTGTCACTGGCATTAGAGTGACAAATGCTCCAACTTTCCCAATAAAGCAGTCATCAGGCAGATTCAATGCGACAGTTTTCTATAACTGCAAATTATGCACACAGATAGTTGCTAACCTAGCTGACATATGAGGGAGTAGAGGGAGGCTATTATATCTAAAAAATATTATCTATCTCTCAACGATGTCCATCAAATAAATGTCGAAATCCCGCAGTCTTACCTTCAGTGGCACTTTTTTTTCCACAGATTTTTCTGCCATACTGGCTTGCCTGTTGACCGTGAGGGGTCTCCAGGACCGGAGCTCTCCTCTTCACTGGCTATGGTACTCGTGCTTCGTCGGAGTTCTCTTGGCCATTTTTTGGCTCTACCACATCTACAGGTCAATGCCCGCTGACTTGAGAAGAGATGCATTCATGATCTTTTCTAAGTATTATTCCACCGTCTTCTGCTCCTCTGAGTGGTCTGTGATTCTCAGGCTTCCACAGTTCCGGTGGGACATCGCGTGGCTTCCTCTGGGACCTCTGAGGTAACCCCTTTGACTTCTCGGGACTTCCCCTTGTAGAAATTCCTTCAGCCATTGGGCACATGTTCTGGGTTTCTCCTTGGGGGAAGAGTTGACTTTTTTTTTCTACGGAAAAGAAGGGCTTTTAAACTGCTACTCCTGTCGCTGCAGTGGCGCCCTGGCGTGCCTCTACTTGGTGCACCTTCTGGAGGAATCCTGGGAGGAGATTAGAAAGCTGCGCGGCTCCATGTACTCCTACAAGGCCAACTGAACCACATCCAACGGCTGGTATTCCTCGTCCGTCTCACCTGAGGGCGATTGTCAGCCGTTGATGGTCCTATTCCCACTGCCAGATAAAGCCCCGTCTAGTACAGGAATCTAACGTGTTTGGTTCCAGTTTGGAGGAATCTGTGGGATTTTAAAGGGACCCACTTAGCTGTCGGGTTGCCAGCTGGCATAAATGACACCTCAACTTTGCCCGGAAGGGCAGATGAGTCAACCGGATCTAGGAACGGCGACCCGATTTGAGCCTATTTATGATATATGTTTTTGGGCTGGACCCAGCCTGGACGACCCAATAATCCCCGATATTTTCGTGGTAGATGAAACGTCGCGGTGCGCTGTCCGTGCGGTCCAACCGATGCTAGAGCTTAATATTCTCCAGATGTTATTATTTTATTTTATTTTTATTGGAGTTTGTTGTGAGGGAGGGAGAACTTCTGGAATCTCCGTGGGAACTGGAGAGCCAGCTGTCCGCGGGGCCCGCTGCCATCTCGGGCAGCTGGGCAGCTGCCCGCACGGCATCTCCCTACCCGGATTTGGGGACCTTTATTAACCAGGCGTCGTCTCCTTCTTCCCTCCTCAACCCTTGGGGCTAGCTTGCTGGTCGATCTCCCCTTGAGAGCAACCCTAGTAGCCTGTGCTCGTTTCCTCGTGGGAATCTCTTCGAGACAGAAGGAGATGGCGGCGGCATTTTTCGGCAGCGGGACCTTCGGTGTGTCTGCGATGGTGGTGGCGGTTCTCATTGCTGTAACCTCACTCGTCGGAGTGGCATTCGCCGCCGATGCTCCCTCCCCGAGCCCCGCGGCCGGAGGGGCGTCTCTGTCCTCGCCGCTCTCGGCTGCGCTCGTCGTCTGTTTGATCGGCACTCTGCTTGGATCTATCCGCCGGTGAGCGATCCTGCCGGGAGTCTGGGATTGCCGATCGGTTCGTTGTGATGTCTCTCGCAGCTGCGATCTGGCAGTCTGGTGTTGTCCTGCTGTTACATTTGTCTTGCAGGAGGATTATTTGTAGACGCTTCGGGCGTTCCTTTGTGGATACCTCATGGTTTATTCGAGTAGGCTTAGTGTGTGAGTTTCTGGATCGAGAGAATAAAAGTGAGTAGGCAATGTGCATATTTCATTGTGCGACTCTTCTGTTGCATTGATCATGTCTGTGCGTTTTGTATCATAGTTCCGCTCGAGCTTTCTGTGGCGCCTGCTACATTAAATGTCTGAAAACTCTTCGTCCACGTCATGTGCGCGAAATGTCATGGATGCAGTTGTTGAATTTTTTTGCCGTCTACATGAGCGTCCCTTATTCATCGGATGTCATTTATTCCCTACGTTGATCATTCCGCAATGAATATTTATTAGATCGAGGCCGGGGTGCATAAGTTTCTCCTGACAATGACCTCGTTTTGGCTAAAAATCTTGACAAGGTCTTCCGGACCCCCCGATCCATTCCCCTCTTCTAGATGTCTTATTTCCATTTGGTTCTTTACAAAGAACTTCGAAGACAACATGCTTGATGTAGAGGCTGCCATGATCGGCCGCATGTTCCTTCAACCGCGCTGCTCATGCGGCCCGCACTGCTCGTTCGTTTCTTCTTTGAAGATCCATTTCGGCTCCTGAGCCATGAATCCATTCATCCACTTCCATTCTTCTTCTCTTCCACGGTTTTACAGTTAGAACGTCAAAGCCGGCACTCAGAATGACGCCTTACACATTGGACGATCGTCGTGCCACAGAAATATCACGCCAGCTGTGGTTCCACTCCTCGTACCGCCCACCATCAACGGGCCTATCCTCTAGTGTGGGCCCCAGGGGCCATTCCACACAGGCCCATCTCCAGGTCTGCCCGTCTCTGTGAACAACGAACGCGTCTATGAGCAGATATCGAATGTACATGATGTAATTTAATAAAAAATAATGTAATCGGGAAATTCTGCAGGAATGAAGATAAATCGCTTTATATTCTTCAAGCATCCGATAAATCCTGAATTACCCATCTCTCTCTCTCTAGCCTTGTGAGAGAAGAAGGGTTAGACGAACAAAAGGACACGTTAAGTTGACTGATGAAGTGGATTACGAATTAGTAAAAGTGAGATCACACGTCATATCCAACCGCCCGCCGTTTACAGGCGGGTCAGCTCCCCCCAGAGCGAGACCCCTCGCACTGGTTCTGAGAACCTCCTCACCTTCTCTTACGTCCCGACTCGTTTGACTCCTGCGATACCAACAAGCCCCAACCCCGATCCTTCGCCTTCTTCCTTCACATCAGGCTCGTCGACAACCAGAGAGAGAGAGAGAGATGTTTCGTCGTTGACAGGTTAAGGGAGAAGATGACTAGACGGGGCAGCGGCCACGTGAAGAACATCGGCGCCTGTCTAGTCCTCCGGAATAGAATGTCGCCACCGAAGGTCCATTCTTTTCGAGAAATCGAGTGATTGTGGGTTCTTAGACTCGGAACTAGAGTATGTTTGATTCATTTATTGCGCATAATTACACGATTGTGAGACGCTTTTTAGCAACGAGGACTTCCGGAGATCTCTACAGTTCCTCTCTTGACAAAAAAATAATCAGCAGTGACGAGGTTGAGGGAGGAACAACCCGGCTCGGGAATCAGAAGGGCTGGAAAGGGGTCCCTTTCGAGGGCTGGCCCTCGCTTAGGGTCTGGGTCTTGGGTAGGAAGCCTTGCATGGGGAAGAACTGGTTGAGAGGCAGCGAAAGAGGAGCGAAAGTGTAAGAAGGTGACGACGAAGAAGATGAAGTAGAGGAAGAAGAAGACGAGGAGGAGGAGGAGGATGAACAACGGCTAGGGTCCAGGTTCTGCAAGGCGGTGATTTGTGACTTGAGGAACTTGAGATAATTGGCGGCTTCGTCGAGCATGGACGCCGTGTCCATCTTTCCGCCGCCGGGAACGAGCCGCTGCAACACCCTCAGCCTCTCGCTGATCCTCTCTCTCCTCTGCCTCGCCGCAACGGTCTGCGGGTCGCTGGAAATCCTCACGTTCCTCCTCTTCGTCCTCTCCATCGCTCCCACGGGATCGACCGTCACCGGCCTCAGAGCGGCGGCTCTGTAGATCATCTCCTTCAGCTGCGCCACCGCTTCTGCCTCCGCCCCCGGTTTCCCCATCTCCGAGCGGCTTCCAAGCTCGACGAAGAAGCTGCCTTCTGTCGTCGTCGAAGTGCCCGATTCGCTGCTAATGCGGCAGTAGAGATCGCCTTCTGCTGCAGTGAGCTCTCCTCCTCGCTCCTTCCGCTTCAGGCAAAGGTTGGAGGCCTTGTGTCGCCGATGGGCACCTTGGTGGTTCTCTGATTCCCCCGAAGAAGCATCTCCAATGGTTGCCAGAATAGGAAAATTTGTGCGGTTGGAGAGAATCGTCCTCACGCCGCCTTCTTCCGCGCCAGCGAGCTTCAAGGGCTTGAAGGAAAACCGGGACGGCTCTTGGAACTCGGGGATCTCCGCCGCCCACTTGCCGCTTGTAGAGTCTAACGGCGGAGCCCGCAGTGCCACCATTTCCCCAAACGGGTCAAAAGTCTTCCCCTTTCGAGCCCCCGCCCTCTCAAATCCACGGAAATCCTTGTTGGTGTTGAAGAAGGCTTCGATGAGGTCAACCTTGCCGCTTATAACCCCATAATCGACGACGCTCCCTTCCAGCGGGTTCTCTCCGGCTATTTCTACTTCCTCCCAGTTCGTCCATGCGCCGCAAGGTGGGAGGCTCCCCATTTCCAAAGAGAAACTTCGAGCTCAGCAACCTGCAAACAGACCATCAGCAACCGATCAGTTCATCGAGAAACATCGGGGTTCTCTATCACATCACCTCTAAATGAATCAAACGATGAAACCCACGAAGAAGATGATGCTGGAACATGGACTGAGAGTGGAACTGTACCTCTCTCTCTCTTTCTCTCTATATGTTCTACCCGTCCGCAGAGTCCACGTTGGAAGCCACAGGCCGGGGAGGAGGGTTCAAGGAAGAACTGCCTCTAGTACAGATCCCACCGTACTCCTGCTTTATCTAATTCAATCTCCCCGTGGGATACAGATACAGACAAGCCCCGGATAAAACCATCTAGTTTCCTAGAATAGCACCGCTAAGCGAAGATCCTAGGGTTCTGCGGCATGGGAGGGGTCACTAGCCACTCCACGGATTGGCGTCAGGAGAAGGAGAAGGGAATGAAGGACGATGGGAATCCACAGAGTGTTTCTTGCCGGGTGGGGGGGGAGGGGGGGTGGGGTTGACGACGGCAGCGTTCCGAAACGATAGGCATTTATAGATCAGATCGGTGGGGATTGCCAGGGAGTTTATATTTGGATACGAGAGAGGGAAGACGGCCGTGGCCTATTTTGGTTGCTTGTCCTCGTAAGCAAGGCTTAAGGAGAGCTTGACCACAGCCTCGAAAGGTGGAGGATAAGAAAGGACACCTTTGTTACAGCAACCATCATAACCAATATGTTAACATTTTCGGCCCTTGCATTAATATTTCTGGGCAGGTCTAAGTCTGTCAGGGAAGAACAACCGGAAGGGTACCGCTAAATTCTCAACTGCAAGAATCGCCATCCCTGACAAGAATAGGACCTTGGGACCAGCCACCATTAATGGCGGTGAAGCGGACACACACACACACACACACACAAGCGGGGGCAAAGCGAGAACGACCGCGCTGTTCTGTCCATCGAGGCCTACGCACAAGTGAAGTAGGGATTCATGGTGGTGAATCGTATGAAAAATTCTCCTCCGACGATGCTTTCTCTAAGATCACTATTACGGCTGATCTTCATCTCATCTCAGGAATCCCTCCCCCCTTCTCTCTCTCACACACTCTCTCTCTCTCTAGAGTCTCCTCGATCATAAACCCTATCTCCTTCTCTCTCTCTCCGCTGTTATCGTCATTCTCCGGACCCGACGAACTGAGAAAAAGCATGCTTCCAAACGGGCAGGTCAATTCATTTGGGAGAGGAACTGCATCTCCCCCTCTCCCAGCCTGTCGTCATCGTCTGGAACTCCCTCTCCAACCCTTCCCACCCCTCGCCGGTAAGACTTCTTCATCTCAGAGCCTGTAACGAAGCCACGGGCAATCGATTTTATCCACCGATCACGCAGTGCCGGAGCTATCAAGTCATGCCAGTTACAGAACCCCATCGAAGGGATATGAATCTCCGACGACTCTTGTTGAAACATCACCTCCTTTCTAGAGACCACAAGTGACGTAGAAAGAGAGAGAGAGAGAGAGAGAGAGAGAGGGAGGTGCATGACCTAAGACAGAAGACGGGGATCCAACTCGTCGTCAGATTGAAAGGAATAGGAAGCGAGACGGAGAGCGAAACGGTGCATTACGGCGCCGCCTCGTGACGTCACCAGACCCCGGAACATGATTATTTAAATTAGTCTAAATCAGGTCACTGTCTGATTAAATACGTCCTTAATTATCTGTGGTTATTGAGAGCGGTTGGATACTCGTTATTTAGTCCTCCGCTTAAAGCTGTTATTGCAATAAGACGACAGTCCTCGAAAATATTACACATATGTTCATCATCTCTTCCATTGAAGTCTTTAATGAGGAAAAAACCGTGATTCACCCCTCCCCTCATCGATAGAGAGAGAGAGAGAGAGAACGCCTGTCGAGACCGGAGGGTTATAAAAGATATATTACATAAAATGGGTTTCAAACATCGACAGAAAGGACTAATAAGTAATTTGCCGAGCAAGCTAGGCTTGAAAGGATTTACTGATTTGATGCCGTAAGAGTTTTTATCATAATATAAAAAATATTCCTTGAACAGAAAGTTCGTTTTTTTTGTGGGGCCTACACAATAATGCACGCACGAGCGTAGCGCCGCAAGCCACGCCGGAGTTTAAATCGCCCCTCTCCATTACAGCCATCCGATGGCAATCTGACGGTCTAAAAACGGTCTCAGAGCGCTTCTCCTCTCTCACTCCCTGCTCTGAAACGGGCCAGACCTGTCGGCGGCTGCCGTCGACGTCACCGTCTGCCCTGTGGGCGGCGACCCAGCACGTGTGGTCCCCACGTGAGGCCGTCGGTTCTGTCACTATTCCCCTGCCCACATATCATCGTGGTCATCATCGTCGTAGATGGCAGGCAGGTCTAGTGGTCCCCCCTAGCATTTGGGAAGTCTCGTGAGCCATGACGCGTCGACTTCTCATTGGCGGTTATCGCCGCTCGCACATGGGAAATCCCGCGATGGCCGCTGAGGGTATTTCGCAACCGCCCGCCCCTACCTTTGCGCCGTCTGAGCCCAAGTTGATGCTATGTGACGGCGCCGCCGCCGTTTGCTGATTGGTCAAAACCGCCGGCGATGGATGGGCCCGTCAGGACGACCATGGCCCAATTACGGCCCCACCCTGTCTGGGCAGGCCTCTATTGGGCTTCTTCTCTCATGGGCCGCACCGGGAAGACTTGACTTCTGGTCTTCCCCGGTAAAATTAAGAAAAAAGGATTCATTCAGAGCGGAAACGCCTCCTTTCCCCCCTTTCAATTCCTTCAAAATACCAAAAAAAACCCTGGTTTAAGTAGCATTCGTAGTATAAATGGGCCTAACCCAAACTCTGTCTCTCTCTCTCACTCACTCTCATGATCTGAAATAGGGGTATAGGGTGGAGCTGTCTTTAGTATAGCAGAAAGGACAGTTCCTTGGACTTCCCGTTTACTTGGGCTAGGCCTGGTTTGGCTCAGAGCTACGAGGATCTCGTACTCACCTGACATACCCACCTCCGCTATACCTCCCAACGTATATATATACACGCCAGAGAGAGAAAGAGAGAGATAGATAGAGAGAGAGAGAGAGAGAGAGGGGAACTGGGTTCGGCGCTATGGGCTCTCCCGTTTCCCATGTATCTTGCCTGCTGCATCTAAATCCCAGAGTCTCCGATCGGCTGCCGTGGTCAACTAAAGAACCCAAAAACCATTATATACAAATCGATAGAGAGAGAGAGAGATGAAGAAGCAAGAAATATCGAAGCTTAGACAATGGCAACCAGCATGCAGGCACGGGAAGAACAATAATCGTCGATAGTTGTCACGAAGAGGAGTTTGAGATGCACAGGAGAATCAAGCGATGAGAAGTATCCTCGAATATGGAACCTTCTTTCCATCTTGCAGCTAACTAGCTAGGTAGTATCCATCGGTTGGGGGGAGGGGGGATGGGGGATGGGGGGGATTATACTCGAGAAATTCCAAAGGGAGAACCAGACCAAACACAAAGCCTCTGATTAAAGAAGCATCACCAGCCGCGGACGACCACAGTGTATCTGTCCTTGAGCCACTTGAAGCTCTTCCTAAAGGACGTTTTTATCTTCCCCTCCGCCGCGTACATCTTGTACCCGGCGACCCTCCTCTTCCTCTGCATCTCCGGGTCGCTGAGGCTCCAGCTGTTCCTGAAGGACGACGACCGAGAGCTAGCGGCACCGGCGCCGGCGTTTCTCCCTTTCTTGGGGACCGGCGGGGCTTCGTAGGAAGCATAGGAGAGGCTGTAGCATCTCAGATCGTACAAACCAGGCGGCGCCGCTCCTCCACCGCCGTAGGCTCCCTGTGGCGGCTTTTGCATCCTCCAATCCACGCACGACCTGGATCGGAGATCCTCCATGGCGAAACCTCGCCGGCGGCTTCACCGGCGGTGCTAGCAAGTGGCGGAGGTGGGCGGAGGAGGGGCGGAGAAAAAAGGATTTGGAAGGAGATGAGAGCTCAAGGGGTCTATTTCTTCCGGCTGGCACCGCGTATTGCCGCGGGACAGCGGAAACGAACGGGTCAGCTTCTTGCTCGCCTGTTCGCGTCATTATTATTTTAAATGACGTCAACGGCGCCTGATTACGGGTTGCTAGAGTCGGGGATATGCACATCCGATAAGGAGGATCCACACACCTTATATGGGAAGTCAACGTCAGATCGACAATCCAACGGTCCAGATTCTCCCCTCTCCCCCCGCCGTCGTCGAATTCACCCTTGAAACGAATGTGGTGTGTGACATCTTATCGCCGTCACAGCAGACCCGAGCGTTTCGTTGCCCAGGTCAACTGACCTATTAACCCTCCATCTCCCTCCCTCTCTCTCTCTCTCTCTCTCTCTCTCTCGCTCTCTGTGCTGGGACGCGGTTGTCAACGTGATGGGTGAGGGTCGACGACCTGTTTTGGCCAAAGAGCTACCCTTGCTGCTTGTGGGCCTCACCGGTACCGGCCAAGTGGCCGGCCCACACGCGAACTCGCGGGGAATCATGGGACCCAGATGGGGAGGCCCACCTACCTTGGCGATTAAACCTCAGTCAACAACCGTGGATTCGCATAATGCATGCCATGCCCACCGAAAGATAGAGAGAGAGAGAGAGAGAGAGAGAGAGAGAAACAGCTGCCAAATTCAATACAATCCGATATGAGATTTTCGTCTATTTAAAAACCATGTGGAGTGGAGAATGCAAACGTGGGTCCACTGTAATTCTAATGCAGCGGGCGATCATGGCCTTTGGAATTGAAAGAGTATAGGATGGTAAGCGTGCACGTTCCGAGAGATGGAAAACTGGTACACTGGCACTGCTCCGGTGCTAGACGCTGCCACGTAGCTTCTCCATGGATGATCACACTCTTTTTCTTGGACTGCTCGCCCTGAGACACGAGAGATCGGTCGGATTCAATGGTGAAAGGCATCTTACAGAAGTTGAAATGAAGCTAATCGAGCATCGAGAATATGATCCATGAACTCTAGATGAGGATGGTCGGACGTGGATGAGGCTTAGGTAGATCACCTATCTTGGAAGCAACTAAAGATCGGATAGAAAATAGCCATGTCAAATCCATTTACAGTGTCTAATTGAGAAGGGAAGGCGTATGATCGAACTCATTCAGGTGTGAATCTTTGAGGACCAGATACAAAGAGAGAGAGAGAGAGAGAAGCTTTAAAGTATCTGAAGCTATCACAAGCGGGGATCAATCAGTGAGCACAAACTAGAATCCAAAAGGAACATCTTTTTATGAAGGAGGGCATGCTTATATTCATACTTCACGCAGAGAAAAAAGGAACTGAGCTTGGCCAGTAAACTCACCTGACTGTCCACATGCATTGACTATGGAGGGGCACAACATATTGTTTGGCTTATGTGTAGGTCCCTGTGACGAAGAAAAAAAAGATCGACATTTTCATGGACATATAAATATCTAAAATTTTCGAAGATGATGCGAGGATTATACTCAGAGCTCTTGCGACAACCCACTCACCGGTACACACGCAAGCTCCTTTGAACACTGACATTGCCGATACTTCGGTGTTGTCCAATCAAATACGTAGTCAAACTGAAAACCTACGAATGAGGGGACGTCTCCAAGATTAGTAGTGATTACAACTCCGTGACGTAAATGTCACCGCTTGTGTAAATATAAATATATAGACATTAATCATCTTACGTTCGCACTTAAAGAGACCACAAAATATTTTTCTCAAGTAAGCATAGTCGGGTTAATCGTCAAAGTGGAGGGAGCGGCAGTAATGGAAATACAATGTAAATTTTGTAGGGTATCCACGACACATGGCCTACAAGAGAGATGATCATACTCTTTTTCTCGGACTGCTCACCCTAAGACATGAGATATCAGTCAGATTTAATGGTGAAGTAAAGGCATCTCGTAGAATTTGAAATGAAGCTAATCAAGCATCGGGAATATGATCCATGAACTCTAGATGAGGATGGTCAGACGTGGATGAGGCTTAGGTAGATCACCTGTCTTGGAAGCAACTAAAGATTGGATAGAAAATAGCCATGTCAAATCCATTTACAATGTTTGATTGAGAAAGGAAGGTGTATGATCAAACTCATTCAGGTGTGAATCTTCAAGGACCAGATACAAAGAGAGAGAGAGAGAGAGAGAAAGAGAAGCTTTAAAGTATCTGAAGCTATCACAAGCGGGGATCAATCAGTGAGCACAAACTAGAATCCAAGAGGAACACCTTTTTATGAAGGAGGGCAGGCTTATATTCATACTTCACGCAGAGAAAAGAAAAACTGAGTTTGGCCAGAAAACTCACCCGACCATCCACGAGCATTAGCTATGGGGGGGCACAACGTATTGTTCGGCTTATGAGTAGGTCCCTGTGACGAAGAAAAAAAAGATCGACATTTTCATGAACATATAAATATCTGAAATTTTCGAAGATGATGCGAGGATTATACTCAGAGCTCTTGCGACAACCCACTCACCGGTACACACGCAAGCTCCTTTGAACACTGACATTGCTGATACTTCGGTGTTGTCCAATCAAATACGTAGTCAAACTGAAAACCTACGAATGAGAGGACGTCTCTAAGATTAGTGGTGATTACAACTCCGTGACGTAAATGTCACCGCTTGTGTAAATATAAATATAGAGACATTAATCATCTTATGTTCGCACTTAAAGAGACCACAAAATATTTTTCTCAAGTAAGCATAGTCGGGTTAATCGTCGAAGTGGAGGGAGCAACAGTAATGGAAATATGATGTAAATTCTGTAGGGTATCCACGACACATGGCTTACAAGAGAGATGATCATACTCTTTTTTCTCGAACTACTCACCCTAAGACATGAGATATCGGTCGGATTCAATGGTGAAGTAAAGGCATCTCACAGAAGTTGAAATGAAGCTAATCGAGCGTCGAGAATATGATCCATGAACTCTAGATGAGGATGGTCGGACATGGATGAGGCTTCGGTAAATCACCTGTCTCAGAAGCAACTAAAGATTGAATAGAAAATAGTCATGTCAAATCTATTTACAGTGTCTGATTGAGAAGGGAAGGTGTATGATCGAACTCGTTCAGGTGTGAATCTTCGAGGACCAGATACAAAGAGAGAGAGAGAGAGAGAGAGAGAGAGAGAGAGAGAGAGAGAGAGAGAGAGAGAGAGAGAGAGAGAGAGAGAGAAGCTTTAAAGTATCTAAAGCTATCACATGCGAGGATCAACCAGTGAGTCCAAACCAGAATCCAAGAGGAGCATCTTTTTATGAAGGAGGGCAAGCTTATATTCATACTTCACATAGAGAAAAGAGTTTGGCCAGTAAACTCACTCGACCATCCACGAGCATTGGCTATAGGAGGGCACAACATATTGTTTGGCTTATGAGTAGGACCCTGCGATGAAGAAAAAAAAGATCAACACTTTCATGGGCATATAAATATCTAAAATTTCTGAAGATGATGCGAGGATTATACTCAGAGCTCTTGCGACAACCCACTCACCGGTACACACGCAAGCTCCTTCGAACACTGACATTGTTGATACTTTAGTGTCATCCAATCAAATACGTAGTCAAACCGAAAACCTACGAACGAGGGGATGTCTCTAAGATTAATGGTGATTATAACTCCGTGATGTAAATGTCACCGCTTGTGTAAGTATAAATATATAGACACTAATCATCTTACATTCGTACTTAAAGAGTCCACAAAATATTTCTCTCAAGTAAGCATAGTCGAGTTCATCGTCAAAGTAGAGGGAGCAACAATAATAGAAATACAATACAAATTTTATAGGGTATCCACGACACAGGGGCTACGATCCATGAACTCTAGATGAGGATGGTCGGGCATGAATGAGGCTTAGGTAGATCACCTATCTCAGAAGCAACTAAAGATCGGATAGAAAATAGCCATATCAAATCCATTCACAGTGTCTGATCTAGAAGGGAAGGTGTATGATCAAACTTATTCACGTGTGAATCTTCGAGGACCAAATACAAAGAGAGAGAGAGAGAGAGAGAGAGAGAAGCTTTAAAGTATCTGAAGCTATCATAGGCAGGGATCAACCAGTGAGCACAAACCAGAATCCAAGATGAGCATCTTTTTATGAAGGAGGGTAGGCTTATATTCATACTTCATGTAGAAAAAAGAGAAATTGAGCTTGGCTAGTAAACTCACCCGACCGTCCACATGCATTGGCTATGGGGGGGTGCAACGTATTGTTTGGCTTATGAGCAGGACCCTGCAACAAAAAAAAAAAAATCGGTATTTTCATGGGCATATAAATATCTTAAATTTTTGAAGATGACGTGAAGATTATACTCAGAGCTCTTGCGACAACCTACTCACCGGTACATGTGCAAGCTCCTTTGAACATTGACATTGCTGATACTTCGGTGTCGTCCAATCAAATATGTAGTCATATTGAAAACCTACGAACAAGGGGATGTCTCCAAGATTAGTGATGATTACAACTCCGTGACATAAATATCACTGTTTGTGTAAGTATAAATATATAGACATTAATCATCTTACCTTCCCGATTAAAGAGACTACGAAATATTTTTCTCAAGTAAGCATAGTCAGGTTCGTCGTCAAAGCGGAGGGAGCAGCAATAATGGAAATACGATGCAAATTCTATAGGGTATCCATAACACAAGGCCTACAAGAGAGATGAATGCAATGTTATTTAGAAGAAGGGAAGAGAGAGAGAGAGGGAGAGAGAGAGAGAGAGAGAGAGAGGATGAATTGTCATAAGATACCACTCGTTTTATTTTTTTACGATTTTTGAGTAATACCTCAATCGACATGGAAAGCTTTTCACTGATTTTTTCATATTTTTGTCTTTTAGTGCCTCCTTTCAGGTCCTCCCATGGTAGACTGAAGAAAGGTAAAGAAAATTAGCAACTAATATAATAAATCCACGCATAAATATTTTGCCGACCGTGGGGAAGAAAAGATTACCTTCCTCTTAACAAATACATGAGAACATAGCCGAGTGACTCTAGATCATCCCTCCTACCTTGTTCTTATCACCCAAAGAAAGGGCTTTCAGTGCTTGCAATTCTCATAGTAAATTTATCGAATATGGCACATGAAATAAATTAATGTTGGCCACATACCTCTACCATGATGGGCGTTCTTACTGGCATATCTCCCTGTCCGTTTCAAACTCTTATTCTCTCTATGATGATTTGAAGACACATTAGACATTGCAAATAAGAACTCTCAAGTCTATGCAGAAATAAGAAGGGGGTAGGAAACACTTGCACAAAATATCCAAGAACAAAAGCAAGCTTCTCATTGCGATCAGCTTCAATTAAAAAATATCTAAGAATTCCAATTGACTAAGGCAAGCAAGCAGCAGATAAATATTTCTTTCATGCAAAATAGACATGAGTGGACGCATCTCCAAAGATTAGACATGGAAATCTACATCAGCATATTGATGATTCTACCATGCAGCATGGTCCTAAAGAAAATCATCTAATTGTGTAGATGTGCAACTATCGATCCACCCCATCCATCTATGGTGATTTCATGTTAGTTTTGTGCTAGAGGCTTTGCATCCCATCGTTACCCTTGTGCTGGGCATTTAGGTAAATTTAATATTCCATAAATTAACAACAAAAGTTCAGTGAACAAATCTTATTTATAAATATAAAAACTATCCAGTTACCTGTATGAGATGTGCTGATGTGTATTTGTATCTATAAATTTCTTTCCATGGCTGAAGCCAATTATGTACACCTAAATTGAAGAAATAATATTGATTAGGCCGCATTATAGGATGATAGTAACACTCTCAAACAAAATTATAAGAAATTTACTTAAATCCAACCTTGTTTGCATGTCTTCCCATGCCCATGAGAAAATTCTTAGGCTTTATATTTCGATGCAGAAGGGATTTACGATGAACATACTCTAACCTCTTAATCTGATAAATATCAAGAAAATAGTATAAACAAGAAAAAGATGTAAAACTAGAATATCATGCTTATATTATAATGGTTGAGGAAAAAATTTGAAAAGAATCTACCATTTGGTGAGCGAGCATTAAGACACTCTTCAGAGATAGCTTTCCACCACACTGATTGACAAGATCCTCGAGACTCGGTCCTAATAAGTCCATCACGAGAACATTATAGTCACTTTCGACACCAAACCATCTCACGTGCGGAATTCCAGCTACACAATTGAAAAGAAAGTTAATCCCATGTCGAAAATAAAACAAGATAAATTACACGTAAATTTTGGCAGTAATAGTTTATTACTTCCTCCTACAAGGATTTCGTACAGCTTTGATTCACGTTGGATTTTCGGATGGTCTGTCGTTCTATCTTCCTGGAAAAAGGGGAAGAAGATAAAGACACCGTACATAAAAGCAATTTATGTAGGAAAACTGCCCACTATACAAAAAATATTAAAAACACGGTATAAAAGGGGGCAGTTAATTATCAAACAATTTATTACTAAACACGTAGGGGAACTTAAGATTAATATAAATGTGGTATATGATTGAATAATTGTGAAATTGAATTCATTTCGATACACAATAAAATAGAATTCAAATGAGGATGATGCTCTCTCTTTGGTCTGTAACCTTTCACTATTGTCTTTAATGTGCTAATTGCATACCATTATTGACGAGTGAAAAGAAGCAAAAACTCATGCGTAAATTCCTCATAGGAATCCATTAGTACAAGATAGGAGAACATCTTGGCAAAAGGAATTAAAGGTCAATAGAGTAATATCCACTTCTTTGATAAGAAAGAGAAATTATTTTCAAGACAATGGACACAACCTTTCAAAGATAGAAACTCTACCACATGAAAAAATAAGTTGTACTAATGAAGGAAAATGTATGGATTTGTGAAAAAAAATATTAAAAATTCCCAATGTTCCCATAGGTAATTGATAGAAATAACAACAGCATTTCAAGAAGTATAAATGTTTGTAATTTTTTAGGCACACTTCTATGATAGAAATGCATCAACCTTATCCAGTTATTTATATGGAAACTACCAAATAGTTGACTTCAAATGACAACCACAAAGAACATATTGGACCTACTTTTTCTGTGTCAATACGGGGGCCACCAAATCTAAATTCAAATAATTTCCATCGATCCATGTCATAGAATTGCTAGTCCCGATTTAAACTTTCATTGTTTCCTAGGGTCTACATGTGACTGTATAGATATTTAGTCTAAAAACCTGAGGAGAGGCTGATGATTCAAATTATGAAAGTTCATCTAGTGTATTGATTTATTTAAAAGCTTCTCAATAGTTTCATGAAACTAAAAAATCAAATATAGATACCTCCAACAGCAAAAGCATACAGGTTTTAGAATGAAATTGTGACACCAAAGAGCATATTACAATTCAAACTTATTTTATAGAGAAAAAAATAGTTTAAGCACAAAACTCAAATGTTGAGTTATGAGTTAAATCAACATTATTTTGATAATTTATAAATATTAATATAAAATCATTTTATGATATGAAATATAAAGTTAATTCGAGATTGATATCTTGGATGAGATTAAAGAGTATAGATTATTAGTATATACATTGAAAAAAAAATTAGTAAAAAGACTAAGATGTATAAATATTAAATTGATAACTTAGACAGTAAAAAATATCTCATACAATTTCAAAATTCTCATCAGGGACATAAATGTTAAAATATCTAAGTATAAATACAATAAAATATATGTATGAAGTAAATATTTAGTCTTTTATGTATCATATGACTTCAACAATATAGGCATATGAGTAACTAACAGAAATCTCTTTGAATGAGGAGTCAAATGGAATGAATTTTGGAGGAAATTTTTAAGTGATTGATTTGTAATTGATTTTACAATACTACTAAAGTAATATTTTTGCCTAAGGACAAAAAAATTTGAAAGTTTAACTTATCTAACTAAAATGATTTTATCTAAGAAAATATATTACAAATTTAGGCTTTCAAGTATTCAATGGAAAGCTTACCAAAAGAGGAATTCAAATCTAAATACTATGCATCAAAATTCATAGTATTAAGAGAGTTATGATTTTTTCAAACCTTATGTCATTTTTGTGTATTTTTCAAGATCCACACATAGTTTGTTAAGGATCACCTAAATCCAAACATTTGGCTTAATTAGGGCCAAAAACTAAAAGGAGACATTTTGTCCAAATTAGAGAGTAATAAAATAAAGGATTTCAAATGATGATGGATGTTTCAAAAGATGTTCTTCTTTTGTGTCACCTCTTCTCAAGTCTTGAACAATTAAAGGCAAAATTAAGTAGTCTCAAGAGAACTATGGATGTCATTTGGAGTTTAAAACACTTCATCCCATCTTAAGTACCCCAACAATTGTTGGTGCACCGAAACAACATTTGAAGGCTATGGCAACTTCATTCTAGTGTTTGTTTATTTTTATTTTTGATTTGTAATGTATGTGATGTGTCATTAACATAATCACATGGGTCATTCAAGCTCGTGTGGCATGTCTAGAACAAAAGGATCTATAACTTCTAAGTTGAATGTTCTAGGTATAGAGGTTATAGGGTCACAAAGCCTAGAGATGTAAGTGGTTCTTGATTTCAACAAAATCAATTGTATTCTAATAGTGGAATAGTAAAATTTAAGTAGATTCCTCAAAAGTGGATGTAGGCAAAAAGAGTTTGGTCAAACTATTATAAAATCAGATGTTCACAAATTCGTCTTGATTATTTCGTAATTATATATTAGTTTATAAATATACTTTAACATTAATATATAAAAATAAAAATATTATATTTAATTAAATAAAATATGAAAAAATTAATTCACCCCATATCCTTTTGATTTATCAAGTCATCTAACGATCAACACAAATCACCATCATTATGGCTCCAACCATAATGATGTCATAATTTGTGGGAAATTTATAGCTCACTAGATGGCTAGATAAATCAAGAGGGAAGGGGGTGAATTGATTTCTATTTTTTTAATAATTAATTATAATATTTTTCATTTTATGATATATAAATATAAGATAAATTAAGAATAATGTGAGCACTAGATTTTTATAGTTGTTTGACCAAATTCATTTGGGCTACATCCACTTTTAAGAAAATCACCTCAATTCTAGTATTCTACTATCATAATACACTTGATTTTATACAAATTAAGAACCCTTCACATCAATAAATTTCATGGGCATGTGATTACTTCACTTATAACTCTGATCTTTGCAGTCCTAGATTTTTTTCATTGCAAGCACACCACAAGTACATCACAACCTATGTGACTACAGTGATAACATACTATGAGTGTTTCAACTTATTCACATATTGCAGATCAAAAAAAAAAAAACAAACAACTAAAATGAAGTTACCATAATCTTCAAATTCATTTTGGTACACCATGAGTTGTTGTACTTGATCAATGTTGGGTTAAAGGAAGAAGTATTTGACACTCCAAATGATAGTCACAACACCCTTTAAGTAATTTGATTTTGTATTTGGTTCTTTGAAATTTGAGAGGAGAAATATCTTTGGAAATGGCCTTTGCTATTTAAAAATTATATATTTTCTTATTACCCTATTTGGGTGGAATGTCCCTTCCTAAGTTAAGCTAGAACACTCCCTTTTGGCTCATATTGAGTCAAATAATTGGGCTCTATAAAATATAGAAAAATGATTTTTTTTTTAAAATAACTCCCTTAATACTTTAAGTTTTGATATGGTTTTTAGTTTTTAATTCCTCTTTAAATTAGTTTTCTATAATTAGTTGAATTTTCATGTCTATGATAGTACCTAGATATTTTTCTTCAAATTTATTTAATTTGACTCCTTACTCAAAGAACTTTCTATTGGTTACTCATATGCATGTATAAGCAAAGTTATTTGATACAAAAAAATCAAATATTAGAACTTTCATATAAGATTATGATAGATTTACCTCATATAGACTATTTATTATATTTATATTAAAATATTCTAATATTTCTATCTATGATGAGAATTTGAAATAGTATGAACTATTTCCCATGGTCTAGAGCATGAGAAATATATGTATTCTAATATTTAATATTTCTATACCTTAGCCTTTAGGTTGAAATTCTCTTGCATATATGTATTCATAATCTCTCATCCAAAATATCAATTTTTCATCTAAATTTACATTTTATATCATCAATTTCATGATTTTAAATTAATGACTAGAAGTCATCAAAATAATATTGAGTTAGTCCATAACTCAACAAAATCTATAGAGTTCTCACAAAATATACTATATGAAAACAACAATTGTCGAATATGTTAAAGTGTGTCTACTCTCACTTTAACATGGGCATATGATGGAGGTTTACTCAGAATTGAAAACATCTCCACGACATTGTACAACATATTATTTATTTTGAAAATCAAATGCTGTTCTTTATGACTCCTCAAAAGAAAACAAAAAGGTTTACTAAGTATTGATAAATTAACGGTTTATAAGTTATTGAAGAAGAAAAATAATAAAAAACATCAACCACCATCAATCATGCATAGAAAAGCACGAAACCCCATATGTCTAAATAGCTCCAATGTAACATGAAGAAGATAAACTACAACTCGTGATGAAAACTTTAATAGAAAATTATCTCCCATTTAAAGAAGTCAATGTCCTAAAATTTTCACAATAAAAAATGGGTTAAATACGTCATAATCTTCAATTTACATCTACATCCAAAAGTCAAAAGAATAAATAAATAATTGCTTGTTTATTCAGTAAAATATAATCAAAGTTGCAGAATAACGCATGTTGGGACATATTAAGAAAGTTCCAGGATAACGATCCATCCAACAGCAGAAACTTACAAGTTTAATGGCCACTTCTTCGTTTGTTTGGATATCAGTCCCTGCATAGGGGCAAGTTAGAAGTTCCTCGGAAAAATTTGAAATCTTGCGACAACACCTTGGAGAGCATAAATAGAACCAAAGCTAAGAGAAAAGAATGAAAATACAAGAAAAAAGGAACCTTTGTAAATCTTCCCAGATGATCCTCCCCCAATCTTTTCACCGAAGCGAAATTTATTGCCAACCTGCGCGTCCATGCTCACGGTAATTGGAAGTAAAATACCTCTCTGACGCCAAACCAAAGAGATCAACCTCGACCGATACCTTAAACCAAGAACAAAAGGGACACAATTCAGAGAGACTGACGGCGACGCTAATTACGACGTAAAATAATTTAAACGTATCTACAGACCAACCTGGCGCCAATATTACTCTTTCACTGCGTCGCATCAAACTCTCGCTTATAATCAACGATGAGAGGTGGATATGAACTACGATCGGGAACCGTGAGGGTTCCCGGGAGGGAAGAGGGTAACTGGTAGCCACCCTCGGAGCACAGACGAGAAAAGCGGAGGATTAGGTACTCTCTCTCTCTCAAGAAGACAAACGCAGATCTTTCGGGGAGAAGACTTCCAGCGTGTCGCTGAGTAGGCCGCGCTTGGAGGTCCGAAGGTGACCTATCGATCTCTCTTGCGTGGGCTGGGCGTCGCCCCCTAAAACGATCACCGTTTGTGTTTAAAAAAATCATAGGAAATAGACGGCGATGTGGTGTCATTACGTAGGAAGGTTTCGAAAGGATAAACAAAGGATCTGAAAAAACAAATGAAAGTCTTTGGGTCGGGCCAATGGGGGCTGGAGTCTCCAAGCTCATGTTAATTTTATAATCTTACTGTTATATGTCATTTTTTTATTACGATTATTCATTATCAAGGAACCTAGTTATTATTTATTACCATTTTATCATTTTTCATGTCGGTAAAAGACCCAAGATGTGAATATTGATCGTATCTGGGCAATTTTTAATTTTTATTTTTTGACATAATGCAGGCTCCATTTTTACGAGAAAAAAATGCAAATGGAGGGTACTTTGACTTTGATAAACATAGTTTGAAGATCGTGCCTTGAAAATTTATTGGGATTCCTGGGCATTGTTAGGCAAGTACAACAGCATATGTTTTATAAGAATAATATTTTCCAAATATAAACCCTCGTTTTCAAAAAAAAAATCGTATTTTTCTCGACACCGTTGGCATGTTATAATTTCAAGTAATAACTTTTTTGTACGGAATAATGACCGTTGACTATGGATGGGGCATACTGTTATAGCAGCCCAAAGTCCACAATATGGGTCCATTTGGCCCTTGCCCAACAAGAAGGGGAGGGGAAGGGGGGGGGGGGGAGAGTATCATCTCATTGGCCCATAGCCCACGATTTTCCACCGTCCATGCGATGGGCCTCGGATCATTAATTAGTAAATGCATTTATTTTATGTGAGACGCGTAGAATGGGTTATGATATTATGTTAAATCATGGAGCAAAAATCTGATATAGAATGAGTAGGGAAGCCCCTATTGTTTACTCAGGTGCGTAAATATTCTATATTCTCCTAGTCTTCTGCTATCAGCGGCATTCCATAAACAAGAGCATTATTTTTATGAGATGAACGGCCATGATTCAAAACTTTCAGGGGCCAACACAGCCTATTGAGGTCCATCCCCATGCAGCTTCCTCCTCCAACAGCATGTAAAACCAAGCTCTGCGAGCCGCCGACTGTAAAGAACCCTTTCTTCCTCTCCCCACCGAAGAACGGAAACTCCCGAGGTGGAGTTTCCCCGCCGATAGCATGGAAATGAAGCTGACCGCGGCGGCGGGCTCAGCCCCCTGGTTTCTCCTTCCGGCCCTCGCCGCCCTCGCCGGTCTTCTGGTGTACCTTTACGCTCCCTACTGGAGGGTGAGGAAGCTTCCGGGGCCTCCCTTATCGCCTCTCCTGGGTCATCTCCCCTTGCTCGCCAAGCATGGGCCCGACGTTTTCCGCCTCCTCGCCGATCAGTACGGCCCCATTTACAGGTTCGCCTTCTCAGAATTATCCTCCTCCTCCGATTCGACTGTTCGTGGTTTTTTAGGCGGCGGCGAGAGGGGATCCAATCCGGTGGGGATTTCAATTTTCTTCCGGCGGCGTGTTTTACAGGTTCCACCTGGGGAGGCAGCCGCTGGTGATCGTCGCGGACCCGGAGCTGTGCAGGGATGTGGGCATCAGGAAGTTCAAGAGCGTTGGGAACAGAAGCCTCCCTTCCCCCATCTCCTGCTCCCCTCTGCATCAGAAGGGCCTCTTCTTCACCAGGTGGGACACACTAGTCTCTGTTGATGGGTGGTGGGTGAGTCATTTACCTGGCTAATGGGGAGACGTCTAGTCCGAAAAGATGAGAAAAAGAAAAAGCTTTGAATAAAGAGTGCATCCGACAATGCGAGTAATAATCTAATCTCTGGTTATTTCCAGGGACTGGAGGTGGTCGGCCATGAGGAACACGATAATCTCCCTTTACCAGCCCTCTCACCTCGCCAATCTGATCCCCACCATGCAGTCCCTGATAGAGGCGGCGTTCCTCGACCTGGAGACGGGGCCTGGCGGTGAAATCACCTTCTCCGACGTCTCCCTCAAGCTGGCCACCGACGTCATCGGGCAGGCCGCTTTTGGCGTTGACTTAGGCCTCTCCAAGGGAGACCACCGCAGGGCGGCACCGTCGGATGACGAAGTCTCCGCCTTCGTCAAGCTCCACGTCTTCTCCACCACCTCGCTGAAGATGGACCTCTCCGGTTCCTTCTCCATCGTGCTGGGCCTTCTCGCGCCGATCCTCCAGGAGCCTTTCCGGCAGGTGCTGAAGCGAGTCCCCGGCACTGCCGACTGGAAGATGGAGAGGATCAATGGCGAGCTCAGTAGAAGAATAGATGCCATCGTGACGAGGAGAGCAAGGGAGGGGGTTGACTTGCCGTGCAGAGACTTCCTGTCGGCGATACTCAAGGCCCGGGAGTCCGGCGCCGCCGCCGGGGAGGAGCTATTCTCGCCGGACTACGTCAGCGCGCTCACTTACGAGCACCTCCTCGCTGGGTCGGCGACGACCTCCTTCACGTTGTCCTCCGTGCTGTACCTCGTCGCCGGCCACCCCCGCGTGGAGCGGCGGCTGCTGGAAGAGATCGACGCCTTCGAGCCGTGTGGCGTAGTGCCCTCCGCCGACGATCTCCACCGCAAATTCCCGTATCTGGACCAGGTAGCCTTCCCAGTCTCTTTCTCCTGCAACTTAGGGTTAGGGTTTCCTCGTCCCTCTGAGACACCTCCCCCGACTCCTGTTGCAGGTGATCAAGGAGGCCATGCGGTTCTACACGGTGTCCCCGCTGGTGGCGAGGGAGGCCTCACAGCCGGTAGAGATCGGCGGGTACCACCTCCCTAAGGTAAGCCCCGTTTCGCCGGCGGAACTGATCTTCTCCGGCGAGTCTGACTCTTCATGCACAGGGCACCTGGATCTGGCTGGCGCTGGGGGTGCTGGCGAAGGACCCCAAGAACTTTCCCGAGCCCGATGAGTTCCGGCCGGAGAGGTTCGACCCCGCCGGCGAGGAGGAGAAGCACCGCCACCCGTACGCCCACATCCCGTTCGGCATTGGCCCGCGGGCTTGCATTGGGCAGAAGTTCTCTCTGCAGGAGATCAAGCTCTCCCTCATCTTCCTCTACCGGAGGTACATCTTCCGCCGGTCCCCCGCCATGCAGTCGCCTCTGGCCCTCGAGTATGGGATCGTCCTCAGTTTCAAGCATGGGGTGAAGCTCCAGGTCCTCAAAAGGCAATGAGGAAGTCACCGCCGGGCTTCTTGTTGCTCTGCGGCGGAGTTGTGAGTTGACTTTCGGATCCTTCGCACCCAAAGGCCCAGCTGCTTCCCCTGATTTAGCGATCGCCCCTTGAGTAATCTACCTGAAAAAAACAAGAAATTATATCACTGTTCTTAGGATTAAAGATCTAATAGACCTGAAGGATCAGTTTATGAACAACTCGAGTTGAAAAAAAATGTCAACCTTATAATGTTCTGATGCGTAGATGATCTATCTGCTTTTATCTATCAATTCACGGAAATCTACGTTGTTTCCTCTATTTTATCAGCCACCTCATTGAAGTTGAACATATATTTTACAAATAAATTACTGACTAAAAGTCTACTAATTATTCTGAAATTAATTCCATTATTCTTCTTGCGATGCAATGCTTTAAGGAGGACACGCAGGATAGGTTTATCATGGACGATAAGATCAGATTCCTGTCCGTAAACGGACTCCTAGGCGATGCGCGGACATCGGGGGCTCGTTAACGCACGTGGGTTCTAAAGAAGGAAAACGGAAGTCTATCCGTCCATATCTCTCCCTCTCTTTCTCTCTCTACACGATGGTCGGAGGGGCGCTCTCTGCGTTAGATCCTCCTCCTTCCAAACTATAAAAACGGACCTGCCTCCCTTCTCCGCTTCCATCCCACGCACCATTCGAGGTTTGACAGGAAAGGCCCCGTCAACGAGTCGAAGGAGCGGAGGAGAGAGACGGAGAGATGGCCCGAGGGAGAGGATCGCCAGTCACCGCGGCGGCGCTCGTCGCAGCCCTGCTTCTGGTCACCGCCGCCGTCGCCGTTGCCGTCGCGGCGGAGTCCGGGGAGATCCATTGCAGGAAGGCCTGCGTGGCGGCGTGCGCCAAGGGCAGCGGGGATGGTCGGTGCGGCGGCGAATGCCGGCGGGTTTGCCGTGCCCGGAGAGGTGGAGAGGACTCCACGATCAAGGCGCAGCCCTTCACTGGGCCCCCCGTCAGATGAAGATCCGTGAAGATATTTTGTCTGCCGCGATTAAGATATGTTGTTCAACTTACTCGAGCCAGCTTCGGGTCTTAAACACAATTTTGGTTCTTAAAATATTTTATATGGTTTTTTACCATTTATCGACGAATTACGGGTGTGAATTTATGAATTTATGATGCGTGAAAAATAACCTAAAATGATGGAAAATTATTTTCTAAAAGTGTTTGCGGGTACGATGTAGTGTCCACATTAATCATTCTTGTACCTTTCTCTATTGGCTCTAAATTTACCTTCATAATTGGATGCCAAATATTTATAATTTATATGTTTTTTCGCAACATTAGTCCGTAATTAAAAAAATACTCAAGACTCCAGTGCATACGGCATAGATATTTTGCAATGTTTAGTATTTATTAATCGGATCTATGATATTACCTTTTCAGGAATATATTATTTTATAATCTCGAATAGTTTTTTTGTTAAAGAAAAGGTAGAGACTGTCCAGGTGGCAGCTGCGCCGGTGCGATCTGATGCGTGGCGCGAAATTGGGCGCTGGGAGGTCGTATCGCGTCCCCTCCTCCGGACGCCGCCTTGTACGGCCGGCCACTCTGGAGGGGCGTTTGGGTCACAATGCCGCCGGCCGTGGCGGCAGAATTGGGGGGGTGAAAACGTGGAGACGAGAGGGTCGCACCTGTGAAACGCTCTCCTCTTCGAACCTAGCGGGCCGTAAAACCCTTCGTCTTCCTCAGCCGCTGAATCCGGGAAGATCTGCACTGCGCGAGGAGGCGCGAGGTGGGAGAGCCATGGAAGGCGGTGCGGTGGGGGAGGTAAAGAAGGGGGAGAAGGGAGCGCCGCTGCTGGTTAGGCCGATGGCAGGTCTGCACGAGGCCGCGCCGCCGCCGTTCCTGTCGAAGACGTTCGAGGTGGTGGAAGATCCGGAGACGGACGCGGTGGTGTCGTGGAGCCGCTCGCGCAACAGCTTCGTCGTCTGGGATCCTCACGCCTTCGCTACGACTCTGCTCCCCAGATACTTCAAGCACGACAACTTCTCGAGCTTCGTCCGACAGCTGAATACCTATGCGAGTTCTCTCTTCTCCTTCTCTCTGCTCCGGAGACATTCTGATGGCATCTCACGAAATCTTCACACATGAATTGAGTTCTCCGTTACCATCTCCGATTTCTTATCCGGCTGTTCGTACGTTAGGTTTCGATCTTGTAGAAAAAGCAATCAGTCGACCTGAGCATTTAGGCCAAGCAGTGGTAGAAGAGTGGTGAAAAATCTTTTGAATTCTGGAGCCCAAGGGGAGGGAGAATGTTCTTCCTTCGAATATTCATCGGTGAATCTGTGAATTTATTGTCACCTTTCACTGTTCTGAAAACACAGAGGAAGGACCTCATCCTTACATATAGATATCCTGCTTCCGAATCGTTCCAATGTATGATAATTCGTTCGAAAATCACCAGGCACATAAATGGACCTCTCTTCTCATTTCAAACATCTCTTGAAACATTCCGATCCGAATATCAGTACTGTATTATCGAGGAAGTGTTCTTCCGATTTCACGCATGACGATTTTACCGATACTTTCATAACACTGATTCTCAATCGCAGAAAGAAAGACTGGACTATCCATTGTTTTTTTTTTCTTCATAATTTGTTGCGTTTGACCCCGATTATAAGATGATTTGCATCATCGTCGGGTCTATGGTTAGAGAAAAAAGAAAAAAAAAGAAGAGTTTTCTTGATGGGTAAGATCTTGATGACCATTGTGCCTTTCTTTGATGGTAGCTCCGCTCTTGATGCCCAATGGTCCATGGATTCCTCTTCTGCTCAGACTGCAATAGTCCCAGAGATGAATTTTGTTAAGATTGACATAATTTTCCGAAATGTTTTCTTTGATGGCTACTCGCCGTTCTTAATCTCTCTAGTTCGCTGGCATTTACAATCACCCTCCCCGCAAATGGTTCCAGGGTTTCCGAAAAGTCGACACCAACAAGTGGGAATTCGCCAACAAGGAATTCCTGGCAGGACAGAAGCATCTCCTGAAGAACATCAGGAGAAAGAGGAAGATCCCCACTCCGAATACTCAATGGTGCCAGGGGGCCGGAACCCTAGGCCTCGAGAAGGAGGTGGAGCGACTGTGCAGGGAGAGGAGCTTCCTGTTCCTGGAGACTGTGAAGCTTTGCCAGCAGCAGGAGAAATCCAGGTCCGAGCTTCTCGCCATGGAGGAGCGGCTGCGAGACAACGAGAGGAAGCAGCAGCAGACGATGGTGTTCCTTGCCAGAGCCCTCAACAGCCCCTCGTTCGTTGACCAGCTCGTTCGCCGCAGCGATCAGGTGGAGCGGCTGGAAGGCCCCGGCAGGAAGAGGAGATTGCCTGGTTCTGAAGAACGTACAGCGGAATTGGAGCTGGAGACGCTGCTCACCACCATGGCCAGCTCGGAGAGGGACCAGGAGACTGAGACGCCGCCGTGTTTCAGCAGGCCTAAGCTCGAGGAGGTCAACGACGGGGAGTGGGAGGAGATGCTGAGCGACGGCGGCATGGAAGAACTCTACCGGAGCTTCTCCCACTGCTCCCATCTACCATGACTCTCTCCGCAAAATCAGTGTAAATCTGTGAATAGACCAGACCTTCTTGCTCAACAGGTTTCTGTAGTCACTTGTTCTTCTCCCTGCCGCATATAACACGAAACAAGACGATCACAGCTCAGTCATCGTCATCTTTGTCGTCGAACTCTTCCTCTTCCTCTTCTTCTTGCTCCCCCTCTTCCTCCCCGTTGTCGCCCACGATGAAGCCTCCCAAGGTCTCGTCCTCCTCGTCTTCTTCTTCCTCACTTCTCCTCTTCCGAGCACCGTCCACTTCCATTCCAGCTTTTAGGTCACCGGGAGATGGTTTGCTTCGCTTTTTTTCTGATCTGGTAAGGTAACCTGGTCGCTCTGCGCCTCCCGCCTTGGCCGCCGCCATCTTCTCGTCCTCGCTGTCTCCCCTCCACTCCTCGTCATCTTCACCTCCTCGTTGCGCCTTCCTCTCGCCCTTCTTCGTGTTCTCCACCGCCTCCTCCTCCTCCTTGTCGCTGTTCTCACGCTCATCCGCAAGGAACCAGTTCCATTTCTCAGGTTCGCGGATTCTCTTCAGATAATCGTCGAACTCGTGCTCTCTCACCATGAAACCGAACTCTGCAATCAAAGTCAGACCGAGACATTTCAACAAAGAGGTGCGATGATCTTATGTAGCAGGGCCAGACACCTCGAGCGTGAAGAACACCCTGAACCTACCTCGGACCGGATCGATCTGCGAGAGATCGGACGATGGGAATCTCCATGAGTCCTCCAGCCCTGCATCCTCAATCCCTTCATCCTCTTCCGTCCTCTCCCGCTCAGGAGCCGTCTCAGTCATTCCGCCCTCCACTCGTCCCTCTCCTCCGTCGCGGCACTTGAGGGAGAAGAAGATCGGGTGCCTGAGAGACAGAGAAACGCGGTCTCCCGCGGACAATTCCCCCTCCTCTGACCTCCGAACGATCTTGTTTCCTCCTGGGGTGACGATGATGATAGGATTTCTGCCGAGGACCTCGAAGGAAACCCTAGCTTCTCCGTCGTCTTCCACCGGGGCGATCAGCTGGAAGGAGACGTGGCGGCGGGAGACGGTGCGATCGGGTGTGTCAAACCCCCGTCCCCTCCCGATCTCCGTCTTCCTAGAACCAGGCCCGATGAAGATCCTGGCGGCGCCGCCGCCCTCGGCTTCGAGCTCCATCGACACCGCGAGCTCCGCTTCACCTCTTTGCTTCCCTCCACGACAGAGTCTCACCGGAGTGGGGAGGGAAACCAAAACTATTTTTTTACTTTCTCACTCATTAATTGTGAAAAAAACAAATTAAATAGTATTATTTTTAATATTCAAATAATTAATAACTAAAACTGTTTTTAATAATAATCGTATTTTCCTAGTTCAAAATTAATTAAAATGTTTTTATTAACTAATTATTCTTCTTTTAATAGAAGTCCAGACTGACTGTTGGCCGTTTCAAGTCCTCCCCGCCGTCCAATCTGGGCAGCTCGTCCCATCACGACCATTCATTCGTGTTAGCCGCTGCTCCCTGAGTCCAGATTTCTCCTGCTCTCGCTCGCGCGGGAGAGAATCGGATCTCGCACTTCTCCCTTGCGCCCGCGATTCGGTCTGGTGCGGGCTCCAGCGGACAGTTCAATGATCATGCTTTCGCGGCTGCCGTCTCCGTCCTGGTGCGCTGCCGTCCGAACGCGCTGTATTGCGCGATCTCTCAGTCGAAGGCTCGGACTTTCTTCTGCTCGGCGATGTCACATTCCATTGAGGCGGCCGATAACTCGAGCTCTTTCTCTGCCAAGTAAGAAACGGCTTCTGTTTTGTTTTGGCTTTTCCTTCGAGAATTTGGTTTCTTCAGTGAGAGAGACGGTGATGCGTTTGAAGCATAAGGTCAATGGCAATTACATATTTCTAACGTTCTTCTGGCTATTTTTGAGCTTGTGTTCGTCCTTTTATGTTTATTTTTTCTGGAAAGCCAGCATCCGTGTGACTGCTAGGGAAGGTCAACACGGCATGGAGCAACTTATGACCTTTTTCACCCCTGGGGAGGACTAATTCGATTACTGTGCTGTCATCATCCTTTGATACAGAATATTGCCATGATACGTCCTTCGTGGGTTTTCTTGTGATCCTATATCTTTTTTTATTCGTTTCGTCGAAGGGAGTGCGATGGTTCTGATGATCTGGAACATCCTTTTTATCGAAATTCGACTTCCAAGACGTGGAAGCAGTCTCAGTCATTGCTTCTTTAGCACTAATTGTCATTTATGGATGCTTTCATAAGTTATTTTACATAGCAGATAAAATTGGAATGTACTTGGAGTAAAAACTAATGCGTGAAGCCGAAATATTTCTTGTTTTAGTCATTTATGCGTGCTAAATTCTACGCACCATCTGGTGCGTACAATATATGCCTGCTCTTTAAATCACATTGTCGTATTCACACCCCATCGACTGATCTATTCACCATGGTTAGTCTAACAATGTGGAGAAGACAGCGCACACATTGCTATTAATTTTATACAGTTTGTTGAAGTAAAATGGGTTTTGATATAACATTTACAGGCTTATCCAATGGAGAGCTGGACTCAACCAGACAAACGAATATGTCAGAAATCATATTCCTGGGAACTGGCACTAGCGAAGGAATCCCTCGAGTGAGCTGCCTTACTGATCCTCTGAAAAAATGCGAGGTATGATTTGCAAATTCATTTTAATTTTACCTTATAAATTCAGCACAATTGAACGGCCGCACCCAAGCTATCCAAGATCGGTACAGTAGTCCGGTAATGTTTTAAAATCGACTGCCTGACTAGTTCAGCATTGACGACTTTGTGCCAGAGATCCTGGCAAGGGGAAGTTTGCTTTAGTACTTGTCCAATAATTTATCCAAGAACTCAACATCTAATGAGTTTTGGTTTCATCAACTCTAATGGTCGTTTCCAATTTCTTTCAGGTTTGTTCGAAAGCAACAGAACCCGGGAATAAGAACAAGAGGCTGAACACGAGCATCCTTATACGCTATAATTGTTCTGGTGGAAGATTTAACATTCTTATAGACGCTGGAAAGTATGCGAATTGATTGATGTTTACTTGTAAATACTTGTCTTACCTTGAAAATTATGATCATTTCCTGCACAGTTTTTTGCATTCATGGTATTGTACTCGAGATAGTCTATTATATCTCCTAGTTTTTATACATTTTCCGCTCCCTTTCGATTCATCAATTGTTTTCAGTTGATAGTAATGCTAGCTTGTAGTCTAGATGTTTATTATTCTTTTTTTTTGTTCTTTTCAGGTTTTTCTACCATAGTGCTCTAAGATGGTTTCCCTTTTATGGGTAAGGGTCTTGATTCATCAGTGAATAACGCATTACTCGAAGTTCACCTTTTTATTAGTTTCTATTGCTTGGGTTTTCAATAATTTTAAGAATAAAATTGCATCCAGTTTCATTGTGGAACATGCTGCGGACATGCATTGAGTTGTTTTACTGGGGTTCGTATAACCTTTGATCTTTCCGGTAACATGTCATATTCGCCATGAAATTGTGCTGTAGTGCTTATATTCGTCGCTAAATGCTGAAAACTGAGTTGTGGAAAACTTCGTTCTGTAGGCAGTCTCATGTCGTTTCATTTTATGCTCACTTTTCATTTTTGTTCCGTTGCAAGACTTCTAATCAGCTCACTGGTCTAATTCTCAAGATCACATTCCAATGGATCTAGTAAAATGTTGTTTTGGATATGGATATTTTGCCATTATTTTGCTCTCTTTATCATGGTCGATTGTCAGATTTTAGGGGAAGATCGATAACATATATATTATCTTCTATTTCTAGTTTTTATTCATATTTTTATTCTTATGATATTTAGTCGTTTGTTTCTATCAGGATAAGGACAATCGACGCGGTCATTATTACCCATTCCCATGCAGATGCGATTGGAGGTCATTAACATTCGCTCAGCTACCTTCCTTCGTTGTGATATGCTTATAATAAATGTTATGGACACGGAAATCATGGGCCAAATTTGAATAGGAATTTTCTCAAAATTTCTTCGTTCTGCTTATCTAAATCCCATCAAATGCAAGATTTACCATGCCAACGTTGTGAACAAATGTTTCCAACTTATAGATCTACCACCCTCCTTGTTTCTATTTATTTTATTGTATTAAGGATCGGCTTTGATAGTGTTTAATTGCAAGATAGTTTCAAGTGTTGTTTGATTCCTTTGCTGTCTAATACCACTCTTTCCCATTTGAAATTTTGAACCCAGGTGTGATTGAAAAATACCTTTAAACAAGAGTAGGGCTGTTTATGTGCCGGACTAGCTTGTCATGCGTTTAACACGTCACTAACTTCTGTGTTTTGATTTTGAGATTCACTCACAAATCCCTTGTCTTTAACAAAAAATTGCTACACGACAAGGTTCTGTTTTCTTGTTTACAGTTGAGTCTCTTTTTTCTTTTTTCTCAGGACCAACACCGATTACCCCTAGGATGATTCATCTCAAATATGTTAGCTTATGCGATTACTTACTTCTTATTTTACAGTAATGGTGCTGAAACCAATTAAAGATCAATGACAACATTTAAATCTCTGTCTGAAGCCAACCGATGATATTTCTTGGCATGGCACCATAAAAATCTCTATTTGATGACAAGTGTCGCTTCCATGGCAATGGCCTTCCATGGCGGAAGAAGTATACCGGTGATCCAAATTTTCTTTTATCCTTGGGATGAAAACCATTGTATTGGTTGTCCTCGAGAATTATGTTTTTGGTGTACGACTCTTCCTGTCCGTAAAGTCTCCTAAACTTTTCAGCTTGCCTACCTATTTTCTTGCAAGCCTTTATTTTCTTTATATCATGAGAGTCGTCATTTTATGCTTTCAATGATGACATAGATCATGCTATTTTTTACTGGGAAATGTATCAGCACGTGGATCAGAGTCGTCCAAAGACATTCATGGAACATAAACAATGTGTCTAATGCAGGCCTTGATGATCTTCGAGATTGGACAAACAATGTTCAGCCTTGTGTTCCAATTTATACAGCAATACGTGATTTTGAGGTTGACATCAAGAAACTTCTGTCCTCACGTAATACACTATTTTTTCTGACGAGAATATTAATCTACTTTGCATTTATACTGAACTTTGAAATGTTATTGTCTTTTTATCAACAGAAATCAGTCGATTTGCTTCATTGGCCTTCATGGGCTTACCGATACTTGCATTTATTTTAAAACAATGTATCAAATGGAGATAACAAAACATTGGTAGATTACTCCAGTTGAAGGTGGGCCTCAGTTAGCCCTTAGATTAAGTTTCCCTCATCACAATCGTTTTTAAAAGAACTATGATACGGTACCCCTAAAGACATATGTTTGTCGTAGGAAGACAGTCTAGAAGCTTCTGTAGTGAACACTGGGATAGGAACGGGCTGAACAGTATAAATACCTTCCTATGTGAATAAGAGAGGGTATTGTGGTAGAAGGTCACGAGAGGAAAGGGAGAGTGGGGAATTCTCTCGAACTAATTCCCATCTGTTCATTGTTTTCTCTGTTTTCTTTGAATACATTGTTCGTTTTCCTTTCTTTGTCCAAGAGGAGAGAAGGGGATCGTATCACACTACTTCCATCATCGTGATGTCATCATATACCCACCAGTGTCAGGTCTGCTTAGGACATTAGAGGCCATGTAACCCGATACCAATCACTGATTCTGAGGCCTAGCAACTTCTAATTGGTGAGTGGGGTCTATCGACCTCTGGGAGAGGAGCTAGAAGACGCTAGTTGGCTAGTGGTTAAATCTTTGAGTTCAATAGAAACGAAATACAGAGGAGATGCTGGAATATGTAGAGAAAATAGGGAGGTCAGTCAATATAAATGGAACTGGGAAGTCCACGAGGAAGGGAAAAAAGAAAAAGAAAAGAAAGAACAGCAAGCTATTACTGACCGCACGTGTAGGACATGTGAGGCCAAGTGTGTACAGTACAGCGAGCCCAAGTGTAGGACATATGATCAGGCAAAATAAAAAATCTAACTGTAATTTGGAAGAAAATGCAGGTATCTGGCCATATATTTCTCTGCCTTTTGATTAGCGTCGACCTTGAGTTTCGAAGCATTTCTACCAGTCTACGTTCTCTATTCAGCAAGTTTTTTTTTAATAGGTCCCAGTTATAATATTTATCTTAAATCTTTCTGAAGCTGGACTAGAAAAGTGCTTTTGTTTTTTACGGAATATATCTTTTAATAGAAAATGAACTTGTTCGTCTTTTTGTCCATTTCCATAGATTCAACCATTCAGCTCCCAGGCACCTGGATATTAATTACCTAACAATCATAGCGCACGATTTTAGTTCAAACATTGTTTCAAAAAATTCAGCTCCACGTTTGAAAAATAACGTTAAATTAATTTCTCTTGATAATTTAATATTCAGGACAGAGGGGCATGAATTGTTTCAGGTGATGCAGAAGACTCACTACTACCTCGTGGACACCAGCGTGATCATACCAGGTGCTGCAGTGTCTGACCTGCAGTTTAACATCATAAAGGAAGAGCCATTCACCGTGCATAATCTTCAGGTCAGGAATCTCTTGGCCATCGCAAAGTGTTCATCTAATTCTTATTGAGGCAAAGAAAATCACAGTGAGAGGTGATGTCCAACATCACGGATTATGATTCAACCTCATGTTTCGTGTAGATCACTCCTTTGCCCGTTTGGCACGGCCCGGGCTATCGTTCCCTCGGTTTTCGTTTCGGCAACGTCTGCTACATCAGGTATCCATCCTCGTTGACTTTATTTTTTCTTTTTTTAGGCATCCCGGTTGTGGGCCTGATCGGAGCCCGTTTCCATTCATACCAACAGTGATGCCAGCGACATACCAGAAGAGACGTACGAGCTCCTCACCGGCTGTGATCTGCTGATTGTGGTGAATCACCGACCCTACTCTTCTCACCGGATATTTACCCATTTAAAGCGTCCGACTTTGGTGTTCTACTGTGATTTCTTCAGGATGCTCTGAGACCCGATCGCTCCTCGACGACTCATTTCGGATTACCAAGAGTAAAATATTATTATTATTATCCTCTCTACTTTGATGCCTTCTCGGAAATATTTCTAATTTTCGTAATCCCTTCTTCCTATCCCTCTCTATCTAGGCGCTACAGGAGGTCCGCAGAATCCAACCAAAGAGAACCCTCTTTACTGGTACGTCATGCAGCTGTTGACTCTTTATCCTGCTGCCACGTGGCATGAGAGATAACGTCGTGTTTTTTTCTTTGGGTTCATCAGGGATGATGCACTTGATGGATCACGACAAAGTCAACGAGTATCTGGGGAGTTTGATGGAGACGGAGGGGCTGGATATTCAGCTGAGCTACGACGGGCTCCGCATACCGGTCAGTCTCTGATCGTCGTATATCCTCCAGCTATTTTTTTTTTCTGTCCCCCATTGGGTTTTGCGATCTGGGGGGTGGATTGTGCTGAAGATAGCATCGAGCAAGGCGCTTTGCCTTGGTCTATTGAAAATGAACGCACGAGCAATGAACCAGTTGATTTGAACGGGTATAGGCCATGATTGAGTTGACTTGTGGAACCAAGTCGAACGGTCATGCGACCATTGCTCATTTGGTGGAAAAGTCAACCCTAATGATATTACAGCGGAAAACCGCTTTTCCGCCGACGGCAGTGGACGATTCTCGTCGGACATTCGTCGACTTTTCTTAAAAAGAAAATTTGTCAGTCTGTTGGACTAACACGTAAACTGGCCGTCTCATTTTTCCGAAATTTAGTGATAATATAAAAGCCCGGAAGGGCAAACATGGGCCTTTATCGGGCCCAATACAGCTTGGCCCAGAGGAGGTCAGCAGCCCAAGTCAGCCTGACTGGGCTGGGGTTTGTGGGCCACACGTATTGGTCTACGGCCCATTAAAGAGCCGGAAGAAACACGGATTTCCGTGATAGGAATACACCTGCCATGGGGGGGGCGGGGGCGGTTACTTCTCGGGTAGATCGCCAATAATCGACGAGAAAAATTTAGGGACATGTACACTTTATCATAACAAAATCGGAGACATAAGTAATTGATATCTTTTTGGTGGGATCAAACCAGCAAAAAAGCCCGCTCTTTGGCGGTGGTGGGCCCGTAAGGGGGCCCAATCGAATCGGAAAGCGTGGGGCGTGTTGTATGCGAGATCTCGGTGCTGCCTGCCCCTGGTGGAGTGGACGTCAAGGGCTGGTTAGCGGTGGGGAGATCGAGTATTAAAAGAAACCCGTAGGCAGAGGTGGGAGGCACTGTTGCTCTTCCCGTTTTCGCCGCAGAAGCCCTAGATAAGAAAGGTATTCCGATCGGTCTCGGGCCTTCGTTCATCCTGGGGTTAGGAGATGGCTAGGGTTTAGTGACGTAACCTTTGCTCCTTTGCAGGTGTTGGTAGGTAGATTGGTAGATCCCATGGAGGCAGCGGCAGAGGAGCGAAATGATGTCACCGGCGCGGAAGAGTACGAATACGAGGAGATAGTAGAAGAGGTGGAAGAAGAGGTAGAAGAGGAGATAGAAGAGGAGGTAGAAGAGGAAGAGGGCGATGGAGATGGAGGATCTCAGGAACGTGGGGTAGATAAAGTAGATAGTGGAGGCCAGGAGATGAAACAATCAGTTAGCGGTACATCTTCCGAAGGGTTAGTAGTTCGGGTCGTAGGGTCTCACATAGAATTGTAGTTTTATTCGTTATGAAAGTGCGCATTTGTTTTAGATTTTCGCCCTTACCGTAGATTCAGGCTTAGTTCTTGGTTCTGTTAAAGTTTTTGGTCCCCATCCAGATTGGCACGGGATATTCGCAGTCAGAACATATGGTAATCTGACTTTTTCTTGTTTGTTAGAAAAATCTTCGTTGGCGGCCTTGCATGGGAGACGACAGAAGGTAAACTATTAATTTCCATTCTTTAGTATTTTGGTTTTTCATGTCTCTCTGGTGTCATTACACTGTTCAGTTTTGGAAATCATTATTATGCATTTAGAGATCTATTACGTACTATGAATCCCCTTCTTTCCTTTAATGATTACGGCTCGCAGCTACGTTTATGTGTGTTTTGAAAAGTTTGTTTTTATGATGGTATATTTAGTTCATAGTTCCTTTGATACGTAGGCGGCTGCTTGGTATAATGCTAGTTGCTGGGAAACCATCATTCATAGGCATTATTATCCACCCTTATGCACCGCAGTTTACTTAATCGCTGTGGGTCCAAAGGCATCGTATAAGTTTATATCCATTAGTTTACCTGGCGCAGACGGACGCCATGCAATACGATCCGCCATCAAGTCACGTTTTTTTGTTGGTCAGAAAAACGTTTTCGTAATGTTTCTGCAATTTTTCTGGAGATATATATATCTTTCTCATTGGGTCCTTGATAAACATTGGCTAAGACATTATTCATATTGCCCTGACCCATTCTAATAGGGCAATGGATGCATTCCATTGCATATTTTATAATTATGACACTAAAAATAATTGCATTCTGTTTATCTGACATATATTTACAACATTCTGAATCAGGTGATTCTGATGATGAGAAACGGACATATTATTTGTACCTGACCTTTATCAGTGATTTTAAATATATGTCGGGGAGAAATGCATCATGAAGTAGAGAGTATCGAACTTGTAATCAACGCTATTAATATTTTTTGTTTACGTAGGATTTTTTCTATCCATATATTCCCATTCATTGAATAAACTCTTTAGTCAACATATTTAGATAAGTTCCATGCAATTGATTTATATGATGCCTCCTTCATATGATCACATACCGTGGAATCTTGCATCTAGGTCTGATGGATTGCTTCTGAATGACAAGTTCGGTAATTATTTTTCATATTCTTACCTTAAGCTTGTGAATGGTATTTATTACTTTGGTTGGAGATGTATAATCAGCAGAATATGCGGCTCCTAGTTACTGTCGAGTCCAATTTGTCTTGACATTGAATTCTTCTTCTTTTGTCATTAATTTTTGGATCAGTTTCCCACCTAGTAGCTAACTCTTTAGTCTTTCCATTGCTCTTTTTCATAAAAAATATCTGCCATTTCTAGCATCTTAGTAGGAATGTTGACACCTTTTTGAGGTTAAAAGTGAGTAGATAAAAAGATGTGAAGGTATAAAAAGATTTTTTGAGCAGAATTTTGTGCACAAAAGAGCATTCCTAAAAGAGAATTTTGAAGTGCTTTCAATTTACCGTTCCCACCATACTTCATTAGTGTCATCTTTTCTTCTTCCAGCTACTTTTGTATTTTTTATTTAGGTTGGTTAGATTTTTTGAATATCCATGCCCATCAATAAGCGAGTTATTTCATGGCCACCTTTTGGAAAATGTTGGACGGATTTTTTTTGGAAAACTCGAGTCCATTTGAGAATCTGAAAAAGCAATATCAGAATCACTTGTAGTATTTTTCAAATGATTGCCTCTTGTAAGAGGACTCACAATCCTGGATTACCACAACTTTTTAGTCCTTTGTTTAGAAATTATCAAGTTGTATGATTATTTTAATCCTTTGTTAGCTTTTTCTTTGCCTTGTTATCTGCTGTATTTCAATGTAACAGTGATGTTGGAGAGATGTTTTTATTCCTTTTATCTTCAAATGGTAGTTGTTATTTATACCAGAGGAAATACGTTGCTTTTCCAATAGTGTTTCAGTTGTTTTTTTACGAGAGAGGTAAGGATCTGTTCAGGTTATGGCTTCCCAAATATTTGAATGCAGATTGGGTCACTTTATGGCTTCTAGGACTGGTCAACTAATAATTGATGACTGGTTTCACCTAGGTTAAATTTGGTTGAATAAGTTATTTAAATGATTATATGTTGCTTTTATGGTGTATTTCTATTTCTTTGGGATTATGACGAGAAAATTTATCGTCTGCATGTAAGAAATTCCTTCACTATCTATGTTTTTCAACCGTTCCTTTGGCAGATACTTTTTCCAAGCACTTCAGGAACTATGGTGAGATCACCGACTCTGTGATTATGAAGGAGAAGGGCACAGGAAGGCCTCGAGGGTTTGGTTTTATCACATTTGCCGACCCATCTGTCGTTGAAAAGGTCCTGGAAGATGACCATGTAATCGATGGAAGAACGGTACGTCCGCTCAATGTACCATTTATTCAACGTTTCATGTTTCTTTCACTTGCTTGACTCTTTGAATGAGCTGATACACGAAGCCAACCTTCGCTTCACTTCCAGGTAGAAGTAAAGCGCACTGTGCCGAGGGAGAGCATGCAGACCAGAGGAGGCTCCAAGACGAAGAAAATATTTGTCGGCGGACTGCCCACCTCTCTAACAGAAGGTTGGCATGGAAGCTCTTGTTTCTCCCATTCATGCTCCCATATTCTGGGGTTTCTTTGACCTCCCATCCACTTGCAGAAGAGTTCAAGGATTACTTCAGTTCATACGGCGCTGTCGTGGAGCACCAGATAATGCTCGATCACAAGACTGGGAGATCACGTGGCTTTGGCTTCATCACCTTTGAGAGTGAGGATTCGGTCGATGAAGTCATGTCTCAGGGCAAAATGCATTCCCTGGGTGGTAAGCAGGTTTGTCCGAAGACCTTACAGTCCTGAAATCCCATTTTTTTCAATCTTTTTAATATGATAATTAGCCGATCTTCAGCAATCGTACTCGTTAATTAGTTCACAAAAAATATCTGGGTAGGTTGAAATCAAGAAGGCTGAACCGAAGAAAGGAGGGGAGGATGGAAGGGGTGGCTATGGTCCTGGTGGAGGGAGTGCATATGGAGGAGGGTACGGCGGTGGTGGTTACGGCTATGGCGGAGGCCATCGGTCTGGTGGCGGCGGCGGCTATGGTGGGCGGATTTCTGCTCCAGTGGGAGGATACGGCAGAGGCTACGGTGGCGGCTACGGCGGAGGGTACGAATTTGGAATGGGCTACGGCGGAGGGTACGGTGGGCCCATGTACGGCGCCACAGGATACGGCGGCGGCTATGGATATGGTGGGTCTTATGGCGGCGGAGGTGGTGGATATGGTGGTGGCGGTGGTGGCCGGTATGGTCGCTACCATCCGTATGGAAGATGAGGACATCGTTAGCTCTCTGATCATGGCCGGCGATGAGTTGTGCCCACCAAAAGACCCTGTATTTCTACAAACCATGACGATTTTCCGCCGCCATGATCTAATACGAGCGATTACTCTTGAATTCCTGATGAATCTGAGTTATTATTCTCCCTTCGGGTTCTTTTTTTTTTCTTAATATCTTTCTCTCTAGATCGATGAATTCAAAGCCTACGGACAGAACCAGGTCTGGATCCAGACGAGGTAAATGCCGCAGGGGTGAGGGACTCTGACAGCTGAGACCGGTCAGTTAACCTTCAAGATGGACTTCATCAGCTCGTAGAAGAGGTAGCTCAGAGCGGCGGATGGGAGCACCTGCAAGTTCGCCGGCGAGCTTCCTTCCGTCAGTTGCAAACCTTCCGATTTAATTCCATGGACGGAAGAGAGAGAGAGAGAGGGGGAATGGAGGGGCGGACCTGGAGGGCGCTGGGGAGGAGCCCCGCGAAGAGGGACGGAACCCCGTCTCTCTCTATCAACCTGACGAAGGCAGCCGCCATTCCCATTCCGGCACGCCGCTGGAGCTGGAGCTGCCTGCGTAAGACTTCAAGTGGGTAGGTCACCGTCTCTGCGCAGGCTCCGGCGACGGCGCCGTAGACGAGCCTCCTCGCCACACCCACCTCCACGGCGGCCCTGTCGCCGTTGCGGCGGCGGCGCTGCCGGTGTGATAGGTCGAAGGCCTTGAGCATGTCGTAGACCGCGTAGAAAATGGCGCTCGACGGGCCCATGCTGATCAGCGCCGGCGCTAGGCCCTTGTACAGCGACAGGAACCCCTCGTTGCGCACCATGTGCAAGAAGCATCCCTCCACTCCCCCCAGTAACTCACCTCCCGGAGCTATCAATCTCGTCCTTATCTGCAAATCCCCGCCGCCGCCGCTCAAATCAGGGGAGAGAGAGAGAGAATGAGAGAGAGAGAGAGAAAGAGAGAGAGAGAGAGAGAGAGAGAGAGAGAGAGAGAGAGCGAGAGAGAGAGAGAGAGAGAGAGAGGAGGTGGCGGCGTACTGTGTCGAGGGGTAGGCAGACGACGGTGGCGGCGACGCCGGAGATGCCACCGGCGACGAGTCTGTCGTGGTTTGAGATCTCGGTCTTGCCGGGGAGGCGGAGGAGGCAGTCGCAGTACATGTCGTAGCAGACGAAGTTGATGGACTTGAAGGGGATCATGCGGAAGAGATTGAGGACGTTGCCCTTCCAGAATCCCCAGGGGCCCTCCGACTTCCAGATCCGCAGGACGATCCCCGGCAAGGAGTGGCCCGGCCCCCGGATGATGCACTCAAGCTTGATCCTCTCCAGCGGCGCCACGCAGGTCCTGTTTGTCAAAAACGACCTCCCCTCATCTTCACCATTGCCGAGCATCGATGGATCAAGAAGGAATTGGGAGACCAATGCTACCTACTTCTACTGCAAATGATGCGGGAGAGCAGGAGGATTTTTACCTGGAGATTATGGTGGAGACCGCGCCGGCCAGGAGGAACTTGGGCATGTCCGTCCAGGAGTTCCTCCCGCCGAGCTTCACGCTCTCGCTGCTCGGCTTTCCGTCCTCCTCCGCCGCCGCCGGAGAGTGGGTAATGGCGGCGAATGCGGGGCCTCGGAAGCTCCTCCCGCCGGAGAGGAGGACGGAACTGAAGCGGGAAGCAGGGAAGGAAGCCCGGAACAAGCTCTGCTTCATCTCGTTGGCGAGGAAGAGCTCGTCGCCGCCGCCCGGTGCAGCCAGGTCGGGGAAGTACTTCTCGAGCTCGCCGACGGACGCGGGGCGGCGCGGCATGGTTGCGCTGCCGGGGAAGGAGATCGAGCGGAGAGGAGTGGCCGGAAACCGCCGTGGACTGAGTCAGAGAGAGGGGGAGACATGGAGAAGAGGACGGCCTTGACAGAGGAGAGCAGAGCGGAGACTTCCACATGGAGGGCTGGAGTCCTCCCGGGTCTCATGGTGGTGGCGGAGATGGAGGCGTGCTGGCGGCGTGTGTGGTGCGGAGCTCTTTCTGGGTCGGAGGAGCCGCGGCCACCAGTTGCCGCTGGGGAAGCAGATAAGAAGAGCTGGCATGGCTGTGGGCCTGTCGTCTCCATCAATGTCTGCCCTTCTGGTCGATAAATTCCACATCGCCAAATTTTTTTCTCCCTCTTCTTTCAGACTAAGGGAGAATGAAAGAGAGAGAGAGAGAGAGATCAATTTCGGTACTCGGTGGGCGGAAGAGTCAACCAAATGAATATGGCTTCGGGGAGAGGAAGAATCTCCCTCACTCCGACGCAGAGGGTACAGACTCCACGATCTGCTCCCCCCCTTTACGAGCCAGGCTACCAGTGATGCCATTGAATGATTCTTCCATGGCAGGGCACTTAATGCGGCGAGGGGAGGAACAGGAGGAGCGATTGAAAGATGCAGTAGGGTCGGAGATGCATCAAAATCCATTCTGCGCCCGGAGATCATTACATGGAGTATCGACGCTGACATTCCGACTCAGATGCAGAGATTTGTTTTTCTCCAGAAGACGAAGGAAAGAACAAGAAAGAGAGCTGCCAAACCAGTCGCTTAACCAAACGAAATTTACAGATGAAGTGCGAAGGTAGCGTTCTTCCTCCCGTGGTTTTCTTGGATCTGATTTCCTTCTCTTCTTCTTCTTCTTCTTCACCTAGAGGTACCACTTCCAGATCTTAATCCTCAGCTCCACATTGCATGAGGCGTCTGGCGAGGAAACCGTGGGGGAGACCTTACCCTTGGGGACCGCGACGTTGATCCCATCGCAGGTTACCCTAATCCGGACCCTCTTCGTCTTCATCCCCCCGAGCTTGACACCGGCCTTCGTCTCAAGCCGGATCTCCAGCGCTAGACTGCTCTTCTTCTTCAGATCTGACGCCGCAGAGGTCTCCAGACTCTGCCCGGCGCTTGCCACCGTCGTCTTCAGCAGAGTCGTGTTCCTCGCCTCATGGACGAAGGAAGGGAACGAGCCGTCCCCGATCCCGACGCCGCCAGTGGAGACGGAGACGGAGATGGAGTCGTAGACGAAGACAAGCTTCTTGTTAGGGTTGCGAGCGGCCAGCGACACGTTCAACCGGGAGCTGAGGGCGTTTGCGGTGGTGACATTGAACGCCGAGAGGCTGATCGACGAGACGGAGAACGACGGCCGGTGAGGTCTGTACAGCACGTAGAAGATTCCCCCCGCGATGGCCGCCATGAAGATCAGCGCGAGCAGGATAAGCGTAATCCAGCAGCAGCAGCAGCAGAGGCTGCACCGGCGGCCGCCTCGCCGGCGGGCCTTGCTCTGCTGCGGCCGGTAGATCGGCCGCGCCGATCCGTACATCTGCGCCTTCGGCGCCGGAAACGCTGGCCCCGCCGCAGCGCCGCCGGCCGCCGCCCCGTTTGCGCCACCATGCTTGGCGGACGGGTAGATCCTCTCCGCCATTCGCTCTCCTCCGAGATCCAACTCCCTGGCCAGGAACGGAGTGGGAGGGTTTATACCCGAGAGAGGAGAGAGAGAGAGAGAGAAGCAGAGAAGGTAGTGGGAAGAGAACGTTAGAGGAGAAAACAACCCTTCACCGCACCGAGATGCTTCAAACGCACCTAACTATGACTCGCCTCTTACTGCAAACAGCCAGCCAGCTGCTTACGAAGAGGAGGGGAGGAGAGAGAGAGAGAGCGAGAACGCAGCAATTGGACGGCCATAAACCCATCAGGAGCACGAGCCCAACAGAGAGGGTGGCTCGTCGTTGATAATAAATGCTGGAGCGGGCGAGCCGCACCATCCTTGAGAGGAGGCGACTTCGCGTGGGCCCCACTTGCTTGCTGCCCACAATTCCCTGGTTTGCGGTTGAGAATTTAGAAATGGCCGGAGATGCGTGGCTCCAGTTTGCAGCCACTCATCCTGCGAGACAGCTTGCCGAGGCCATATAAATAATGTTGGCCCACCTGTAGACAGTCAGTCACGTCAGCTGGGACTGAAATCAAAGTTCGAGTCAAAGGAGGCCAGTGACGAAGCCATAGTCCAGGACTTAACGGACCAGTCCATGCAGGTGATAATGGACTCGGGCCTAATAAGACCCATTAGGAAAGCCCAATAATCCCAACAAGGGCCGCCGGACCGGGCTTTATTAGTGGGCTTGATCCAGGATGAGACCCAACAAATGCACATTCCTGGCCCATGAAGGCACAACATATCCTGACCCAATAAGGCCCCACTTAAGAAAGCCCATTAATGGCACAGTGTTCCTGTTAAGTCCAGAAACCTAACGGGCCACAGGACCGGGCTTTAGTGGTGGGCTCGATCCAGGTTGAGACCCAACACATGCACAGGCCCTGCCCATGAAGATACAACGGATACGGGCCCAAAAGCCCAACTTAATTAGTCCATTATTGAAACAGTGTTCCTGTCATGTTCAGAGACATAACGGGCCGCAAAGATCGGGCTGTCGTGGTGGGCTCGATTCAGACTGAGACCCCAACGAAGGCATGGGCCTGGCTCATCAACACCGTTAGTCTCACTCCAACTCGGAATCTCAATCTAGGCCACACAATATTATAAAAGGTGAGATGTAGGCCCGGCCCACGTTAATGTCTTTTTTTTAGCAACGATAAACTTCCGAAAGCGAAAGCTGGGCTGGGCCAGCTATACGCCCTACACTTCTACGCCAAAAAAAGTTTCCCTTCTCTCCGATCTACCCACTCGTATTCCCTCCCTGCGTCGTACTCACCGTCCTGGTCGCATTATATGCCTTCCCGCTCTCTCTCTCCATCCCCACCAATCGGGACCATCTAACCCCTTCAATGTGTCAGTCATATCCACTCCTAATTGTTGAGAATAACATCACATTAATTACTACAGAAACAAAACGTTCGTAGAGATGGGCTACACCATCTCACTGTCGACTAGCTTTGAATTAAATGATCTAACAATTATAACACTAATAAGCTTTGTCCGCATGTCCAGGCCGGCACTCTCGGTGCAGTCACCGTCGTTGACAGAGTGGAGAGAATGGGGGGAATCAGCAAGATCTTAACGGGCCATGCTGATGTGCCCCCTCCCGTCTTCCGATCAAACACCGAATTTGGTCTTGGTTCGTAGAAAAGGGCTGGAGGATATTGAGTGATGGTTGGAAGTCCCCCACTCACATAGGAGATAAACTTCAAATACACGTAGAGCGACAAGCTAGTTAGGATTCATCCAAGGCCCGATTCATTCAAAAAAGTCGGAATATTTGTGAAAAAAACACTCATTCGAAGTCTTCGTCGATGACAATCCATGCATCGCGATTGTTGAGTACGTGGGCGCAAGAACGGTGTGGACCAGCTCCACGTGCCCATGGAGGGTGTTGGGGGGGGCGAGATGGACCCAGTTGACATTGGCCCAAATCACACGTGCGCCTTTCGTGGCGGTGTGGTCGCTGTGGGAGATCGTCCTCTTCCCGAGGCCTTATCCTGGGCTTGCAGTCCCCACTGCCACTTGTCATTCTTCCAGCTTCATGCCACTCCGGGCGCTGTTGTCGTTGACACTATGAACTGTATCGCATTCGGTAATCGGATGCGGCTCTGTCGGTGGAAGGAATCCACCCGTCCAACTGGGTCGACGAGGAGGGACCGAGAGACGTGGCCGGTGGCCCACACAAGATGTCGATTTGCCGAACACATGGCAGGGACGATCTGTATTATTGACTTCTTGGGCTATTTATTTCTTTCCAATTTGATGCGGACTTCTGATATTTTCTGCCGACGCTAGAAGTATACCACGTGAGGAATATCCAAAGCTGATGGGTCGGTAAGATTGGAGATTAATAATGCACGCACATTTTTCAACCCCAAGTGAAAGAAGAAGAAGAAGTCAATGCACGGTACCTCTGGGCTTAACCAGGTCGAGTCAAGGCCTGCAGGTGGCGTGGGTTGGTTGGGTCTTCTCTGTTAGCAACTAATAAGCCAACCTAACCCATATTATTCCGGGTGCCTATAGTATTGAAGGATACTTTTGAGGACAATAAAATATTATTTTATGGAAATAAATAAATATATGGATCACATGGAGGGCGGATGCAGATATACAGGGCTCCAGAGATAATTCATTGAGAGTATCTTCAGCACAGGTTTTTTTGATATTCCCGTGGCTACATTACTAAGCCTTTTGAGAAGCCAAAAAACTCTCCCCAAGGGCGGCATTCACGTTCATGGAAACTCGCCACTGAAACGATAGCAGCGGGCTAATCTTCGCTAGCTACATACAGAGGAGGCCAACGGGGCGTCACTGCCTTGCAAGTGAAAACACTAGTCAAAAGTAGTGGGCGGGAGGGGGTTGGGGAGAACGGGTTTAAATTTTGAAGTACTGGGCCATGGAGAGAGGCTGGCGTGGGAGAGGGAGAGAGGTTAGTAGCTAATTATCCATGATAACGGACCCTCCCCACGCTTTCCTCGTGGGGCTCTCCATCCGGGTGCTATTTTACCTTCCCGCCACAGACCCACAGCCAGACTCAGGTGCGCTCTGCTCGGTCTTCATGGCGCCCAAGGGACTGTTCCTGGCATTGTGTCTCTCCGCCCTGCTTGTGGCCTCGTGGGGACGGAAGGTCCGCCACTACCAATGGGAGGTCGGCTACGTCTTCTGGAAGCCCGACTGCCAGGAGAAGGTGATGATAGGGATCAACGGTCAGTTCCCTGGCCCGACCATCCGCGCCAAGGCCGGCGACACCATCGTCGTTGAGCTCAAGAACGCCCTCCACACCGAGGGCGTCGTCATCCACTGGCATGGCATCCGCCAAGTATTCCTCCTCTCCCCTTCCATTCAAACTTTCTATTCCCGCTTCCCCTTCTCTCTCTCTCTCTCTCTCTCGCTCTCTCTGTGGTCTGAGTGAGGCGCAATGCGTTTGGTGTTTCAGCTGGGCACGCCTTGGGCGGATGGAACGGCATCCATCTCGCAGTGCCCGATCAGCCCGGAGGAGACCTTCGTGTACCGGTTCAAGGTCGACAAGGTGAGCTCCCCCAACTCCTCCCCTCCCTTTGCTGCCGTGTTCGTTGCTTGACCCAGCACGGCCGCACGGCCGCGCCGCTCGCTCCTCGCTGCTGCAGCCGGGGACGTACTTCTACCACGGACACTACGGCATGCAGAGGGCCGCAGGGCTGTACGGGTCCCTCATCGTCGACGTCGCCGACGGGGAGAGGGAGCCGTTCCATTACGACGGCGAGCTCAACGTCCTCCTCAGCGACTGGTATCACCAGGACATCAACACCCAGGCCGTCGGCCTCTCCTCCAACCCCTTCCGCTGGATCGGTGAGCCCCAGGTAAGCCACCGGAGCCATCCCGCCCTCCATCTCAATGGAGGAACGACAGCTCTAAAGCGAAAGTTTTTTCCCGGCCGTCAAAAGGGGGAGGTTCCTGCCCCCCCAGCAGGCCCATCAAGCGCTTTGTTTAAAGTCTCCGATTCCCCGTCCCCTCCACTGAGGAAGTGCGGTGGGTGGGCAGGCTTCGTCTCCCTCACGTCTCTAATTCTCATACCTGGTCATGGATTCTCTTCTGCCCTCCTGGTGCAGACGCTGCTGATCAACGGGAGAGGGCAGCATGGCTGTTCGCTGGCGTCGCACGTACTGGAAGGGCTCAGCGCGTGCGAGATAAACAGCAGCCAGTGTGCCCCCGTGACGCTGCCCGTACTTCCCAACAGGACCTACAGGCTGAGGATCGCCAGCACCACGTCGTTGGCCTCCCTAAACCTGGCCGTCGGGGTGAGTACACATCGACGCCTCGCACTGCCGCTAAACACCAGATTTAAATGGGACCCACACAGGTCTAAAGAATGGCAATATATTTTGATGGGCATCTGACTTGAGATTTACGTAAAACAATAGAATATGGCATAAGACGAATCAATGAAACCCCACGAGACAAGTATAGCTGGTGACGCCTGGCCGTCGGTGGGTTTGGAGACAGAAGAACGAGGGGCACGCAGACTGATGATTGAGACGGTAGTCGGTGGCAGTAAAAATCAGCATGAATCTTAGAGCATGGTAATTAGTGCAAAAAAAACTACAGCGACTCCAGTCTGAACAGGGGGGAGGGGGGGAAGAACACGCCGGACCTATTCTCAGCTTGTAGTCAACACCTACGGTGAAATAGCAGGATGTAGCAGGACTTGATGGTTAACTAACTCTAAGTTCTTCCTCTTCATGGCAGAGTCACAAGATGGTGGTGGTGGAGGCAGACGGGAACTACGTCCAGCCGTTTGAGGTCAAGGACATGGACATCTACTCGGGGGATAGCTATTCCGTTCTCCTCACCACGGATCAAGACCCTTCCTCGAACTACTGGCTCTCCCTGAGCGTCAGGGGGAGGGAACCAAAGACCCAGCCTGCGCTCGCCATCTTGAACTACCACCCCAACTCGGCCACCAAGCTTCCCACCGCCAAGCCCCCCGTCTCGCCATTATGGAACGACTACGCCCACAGCAAGGCCTTCACCTACAGGATCCTCGCACTCAAAGGAACAGAGAGGCCCCCAGCTTCTGCTACCCGGCGAATCGCCCTGCTAAACACCCAGAACAAGCTCAACGGGTACACCAAGTGGTCCATCAACAACGTCTCCCTGGCCCTCCCCTCCACCCCCTACCTGGGTTCGATGAAGCACCGCCTTGCGGGCGCCTTCGACGCCGAGAGGCCGCCGGAGAGCTTTCCGGGGGACTACGACGTGATGAGGCCTGCGACCAACCCGAACACCACGCAGAGCAGCGGCGTGTACGTGCTGGACTTCAACACCACCGTCGACGTGATCCTGCAGAACGCGAATGCGCTCTCGGCCAACGTCAGCGAGATCCACCCGTGGCATCTCCATGGGCATGACTTCTGGGTGCTGGGGTACGGCGAAGGGAGGTTCACGGAGAAGGATGCCAAGGGGTTCAACCTGAAGAACCCCCCGCTGAGGAACACGGCGGTGATCTTCCCCTACGGGTGGACGGCACTGAGGTTCGTCACAGATAATCCCGGGGTGTGGGCTTTCCACTGCCACATAGAGCCACATTTGCACATGGGCATGGGTGTGATCTTCGCTGAGGGGGTTCACCTGGTGAGCCGCATACCAAAGGAGGCGATCGCTTGTGGGATGATGGGAAAGAAGTTCATGAATCTCCCATAAACAGGGTAGTATTTGTGGATCCTGTTCTCCTTTCAGTTTCAGTTGACCCTGTTCTCTTTGCACATGGGCATGGGTGTGATCTTCCATGAACAGGCGATCCCTTGTTGGATGAGGGGAAATAAGTGAATCCGAATGTTCATGCTTACAGGGTCTGTTCTTCTTTTGATTCCTAGTGGGTCATCTGGATTTTGTTTATGGGTGCCTTGGGGTGCCTAAATGGCTTTGGTCATCAATCACTCGGTTTTGAATATGATCCTACTGTAATAAAGTGGGTGGGCAGTCTCTGTCAACTAAAACTGGGAGTTTAAGCAGGCCCAGATCACGTGGATTTCTCTGGAGTCCTCTGGCATGCTGTGGATGGCAATAAATCCAGGTTTTTCCTTGAAAAATATGTTAAGGCAGTAAACAATAATGCATGATAAAGTGGATTTGGATTGATTCCGAGCTTCTAGACCGAACCCTAACCAAGGTTCATTGAGTCCGAGAAAGTGGTTTTGGCTCAGTGATTATTCCAAGTTCATGGGGCTGACACAGCAGCTGTCCGTGGCATGGCATGACGTCATACATGACCTCACATCTGACATCAATAATGGGATCAACATTGATCTCATTTCACTTAATCAATAATGAGGAGCCTAATCCTCTCCATTATAAACCTCAGACGCCTACTGTGTTGTCACATTGAGTAATGCAATAGAAGTAGTCCTTTGAGCTAAAACTCCTGATCGCGAAGGTTTAAGTTGGTAGGGGTTGTGACTACGTCTAACGCCGGCACATGGTTGAAGCATTCTAATAAGCAACCGTGTGACACCCTGTTCCCTTACCAGAAAGTACTCATATACATATGTACACCTTCAAGACCATATTTCGGCAAAGTCCACCTGTATTGTCGTCATTAATCTTTGGGTACCCCAAGGATCCCACTTCTTCTGAATGGCATCTCCCTATGGTCTTTAATGCCAACCATTGAAATCCATCCGTCTTTCACTCACCCCTCCGGATACTTGCTTTTGCACGAATAATGAAAAAAAAAAACGATTTTCTATTCATCCAAGGGTCTTATAATAAATTCAACTTACCTGGTAGCAGCAGGGTGATCCCACTCCCTCTCATCTGCTGGTCTGGGCGCGACAGCAGGTGCATTTGATTGGCCTTTTGTATGAAAACTTCCGTGAATTCACCTGAGAAGTAAAACGATCAAAACCTGTGAACTTGTAGCTCTTCATCACCATGATAGAATACTTTAAGATGATAATTTCCTTATCGCTTGTTATCAGATCAGCTTGATCCAGATAACGTGAGGCAAACCATAATTGTGCCATCGATAAATAACAGAGTAGAAAAGAAAGAAAATTAAAAGAAGTTTAGTATTTGGAAAAAAAAAATTTGGTTTATGTCGCCTGGAGGTTGCCAAGAACAGTCATCACTGGGTTGAAACCTGGAGTCCTTTCCTGCCATCTGATCTCGCGAGGTAGATGAGGGCTGGAGGCGAGGTTTAAAGCTCATGAAGGCCCATGTTTGCACATAAAGTCCACTAGATGGTCCATTTCCCTGACCCAGACCCATGTAGATCATAAGAGCAAGAAATACTAAATCCGATGATCTCCAGGGGAGAGTTGCGAGGTCATTACCGATACAGTCCTCGTGAAGTTCAGTTAAAAGTAATCTCTCCCTCTCTCCGTCTCTGTCTCTCTCTTCCTCAGCTAATCTCTGGTTCAGGGGAAGTAGATTGACGACGATAATGAGTAGAACAGCAGATCCGCCATAGTCCAGCAATCCACGAAAATATAAAGAAAAACGACAGGAAATCTGGAAGATCGTCCCAAAATCATGCACCAAAGAAGCTTATGCTCATTCTTTCTTTAAATTCAGCACGCAGTGTGTGGTTAGCAGTGGTCGGCAAGAATCAGACAAGTGCCGGCGAATAAGACCAGAAGCAAGGAGGATAGCAGCTTCGAAACCGATGACAATTGTCCTATCTCTCTTGATCTCGTCGTCTCCCAACACGAGTGGGACAAACCATAGCGTAGCGCAGTAGGGGAAAGCATCAGACATTCGGAGATGAGATCGGAACCTGCTACTCCATCGAAGCCACTCCCATGAAATTCGCCTGCATGGCGAGGGAGTTGACGCGAAGTGAAAGCTGGCGACTGCCGGCCTTCGTCCTCGCCGTCTCCGCCGGCCCCGCTGATCTGCGGAGAAAGGAAACGAAGGCGACGGGGACGGCCTTCCAAGCAATGATCCCCCGCAGCGCCGCCCCCCACCCCCCCCCCCCCACTCATCGGCTCCGCCATGCGACGACAGGACTGCACGACGGGCGCTCCCCTTTATCGTACAATCTGTACTACCCTCATGAGCCTCTCTCTCATGGTCGATACCAGGATATTAACGTGGGGACCCACAGGATATAACGTGCCCAATACGTGGATTTTTTTCTCATTTTTATCATGGCTGATGGAGTCGGTGGCCGCCGATCTGAATGTGCCAGTAACGGCCGTGCGGTAGACGGAGATGGGGATGAACATGGGGAAAGGAAGGGACCAAGAACCAGAGGTTATGCCATTATAGGGGAGTAGGTCCAATTCAAAGAGAGGAGGGGGGAGTAAGATAGGAGGAGATGGATAAATGCGCTAGTCAATCTTCACAGAGGAGTAGATCTTGCGCACGAACCAGAGGCAGGCGTAGAAACCGATGGTTCCCGTCAGCACGAAGAAGGCGTAGGAGACGATCAGCATGTATCCGAAGTAGAGGATGCCCGACACCACCTTGGTGATCTCCAGCTTGGTGAAGAAGTAGAAGGCCGAGTACAGGAAGAGGTAGAGGGCAGAGGAGCTGGCCGTCAGGTAGGCCCTCCACCACCAGTGGTAGTCCTCACTGCAGAGCTGGAAGTAGCACAGGACGATGGTGATCTCGGCGCAGGTGATGATGAGGATGAGCAGGACTATGAAGAGGAAGCCGAAGATGTAGTAGAACTGGTTCAGCCATATGGAGCTAAGAATGAAGAAGAGCTCGATGAAGACTGCCCCGAAGGGAAGGAGGCCCCCGATCAGGACGGAGAAGGGCGGGCGCATGTACCACGCCTGCTCCGGGATCTGTCTGGGGATCTTGTTGGTCTTGACGGGGTTTTCAATGGCCGGCTTCTTGTAGCCCAGGTAGCTGCCGAGGAAGACCAGTGGGACGGATATACCGAACCACAGGAAGACGAGGGCGAACATGGTTCCGAAGGGGACGGCGCCTGAAGATTTCTCCCCCCAGATCAGAGCGTTCAGGAGGAAGAAGAAGGAGAAGAGGATGCCGGGGAACATGAAGGCCGTCTTCAGGGTGATCTTCTTCCACTCGGTGCCCTGGAACATCTTGTAGAGACGAGCAGAAGCGTAGCCCGCAAACAGACCCATGAATACCCACAGGACGACCATGGCCGTCATCAGGCCTCCGCGGTTGGCCGGGGAGAGGAAGCCCAGCAGTGCAAATAACATAGTGACGATGGTCATGCCCAGGAACTGGACGCCGGTTCCGACGTAGACGCAAAGCAGGCCAGAGTTGATAGGCGGCCTGAAAGCGTCCCCATGGACGAGCTTCCAGCCAGTCTCTTCCTCATCCTCCTCCTGGGCTTCCAACTGATTGTAGTTCACGATGTCTTTGTATACGGTTCTCATCATGATCATGGCAACCATGCCAGACAAGAACAGCACGATCATCAGAGAGTTGATAATAGAAAACCAGTGGATCTGATCATCATTCATGAGAAGATAGGTGTCCCAGCGTGATGCCCATTTGACTTCACTAGACTGGAAGTGTGGCACATGTCAGAAAGGGTGAACTTTTAGACGGCATAAAGCAGCTTAGGAAGAGAGCGCGCACCATGAAGGTGACATCATACGTGAAGACGACCTCCTTATCTGCGTCTACTTCCTGCGGTGAGTGATTACCAGGGATGATTTTGGAGCTAGGGTTGCAGGTTATCAACGAAGGGTTCTTGTCGTTCCACTCCTTGTATTCATGGTCTATGCTGTTAAGGAGAAGCAAGCGAAGGCAATAAGGGATCAGAAAAAAAAAGTGAAGATATGCTCAAATCCTCCAGATCAATGAGCCCAAGAAAAGCTGGCGAGAATGCCCAGAACTAGCGCTCATTATTCAGGAGAAAGAAAGTGGTCATGACGTCCATTAGAGAGCTTAAACAGGGGCATTCTCCGCAGAAAGCTGCATATCCTATCTGGCTGGGACGTTAGTTTAATTTGATAATTCCAAATTACGTGACAGCATGTGTAATGATTAGCCTTTTTCAGTCCACCCAGGAGTTTTCTCGAGTTCGAGTATTCAGCTTTTGCCTAGATGGCCTCTTTTGTTTCCTTTTCTTTCTTTCAGTCTTGGAAAATACAGCCATCTCAAAAGTAATAGACTCTTCTTCTCAAATTTCCCATGGGCCGAATGCGCGCACACATGATTACAGCTGAAGCCTGATTATTATCTTCCCTCTGTGCTCATCACATGTTTCATAATTTCTGACGGAGATGGCTGAGATAAATAGTTATGTTATTATCTAAGACAACCATCAGGGTGCAAGAAAAACGCATTTAAGGCTGATCCGCTGCTTTACGTTGTTTCAAATGAAAATAAAAATATCCAAATGGAGTAAAGATAGATCTCTTGGATGGCACGACTATTAAGGATGAGGCGTACTGCCATCTTCGTGTTGCATTACGGTTCAAGGTGAACAATGACACGAATCTAACAAGACATTATATTATTGGTACAAGGTCCACAGTGAATATCTTTCCTTAGATCTCCACCGCAACTTACTTTCATGTTTCTACTCGGGCTGAGTTTCAGCCAATTGACTAGACACATAACGATACAATGACTAATATTGGGGATGAAAAATTTGAGCTGAAGATTAAAGTGGAAACAGCTAAAGAAATACCAAAACAAGATGCACATACAGAGAAATTTGGGAGGAAATGGGAAGAGAACGGAAAATAGAATTACCTCGTTGGAACAACCTCAAATCCAACAATGCGGGCATCATCAGACTCAGGATCTTTATGATACTTGACCTTAAAGCTCAGGTGATTATTAATAAAATATTTATCATCCTTGTTCTGCAAAGATGTCGCAAGTTACTGAAAAATACAGTTATAAAAAGTATGTGAACAGCTCAGGTGCAACTTACACCGGTAGAACTGCCCTTAAAACCAACACGGTAACCATGTTCAAAAGTACTCATCTGACTCCCATCCCTTCTAGACCTCACAACTGCAACAGGAAGATTGTCTAGGATCCTGAAAAAAAGATATCAGTAAAAATCAATCAAGGAAAAAAAACATTTGAAGACTTGACAGTTTGAGAAGAGCAAACACTTAGAGATATTTAACATCCTGTAAGACCCATCAGAATAGGACCACCTTCAAGTGAAGGAATTTGAGAAGTAAACACTTTTCATTACAGTAGAACTAAACTTGAGAAGTCTGTACTAGGACAATCCGATTCAAGAAACCAAAATCGTAAAATTTTAGTTAAGATTGAGTTACCTACATATTCACCTTGTAAACTTCATCAATTTTCTCTTTGAAATTCTTTGCAGACCCAGCTGTAAGTCTTTTCCGACATGCAACTTTGCATGTTTCATCAGATCGCATCCTAAACTGCAAATTCCACATAGCTAAGGACGGCAAAATAAATTCCATTCAGTTAAAGATGAAAACATGGATGCGATGTGATGACTCACAGTATAGACAGAATTCTCAATGCGATCTCCACGGAGAACCTCTCCCAAATTCTCAGCACTGTTCGTAATTTTTGATGGTTTGCAATAATCCAGAAAATAGTAATCATAGGGAAGTTGAGTTTTGGTCGATGAAAGCTTGTTCACCTTCACCTGAAGTTCATCATCCTACAAATTGATAGGAAAATCAGCGAACAAGAGTGAACTGCAGAAATCTGGAAGAAGTTGATAGAAATCTGCAGAAATCTGCAGATACGAGTTCAGTTTCTTCTTCCTACGGAATATCTCTGAAGGATTGTCAAATTGAAGTAACCAGCTGCCAAGTAAGCATCATTCAACAAAATGCTTGTACGTTCTCCTACCTCAGAAAAAAATATTTCAACTATAATATCAATACGTATGCATACATATATATATAAGTATTATGTGTATGTGTAGAATCTAAAAGTATTTTTAAACCAAACAAAAGTTGATGAGTAAAAGCAGGAAACTGTTAATTGAATCATATTTAGAAGGCCATAACATGTATCTTCTTAACTGTCTCTAAGACCTTAACCTTCTTGACTTTTTGCTACTCGAATTCCCTATTTCCAAGAATACTAAATGACGTTTATACCACTGTTTAAAATTATTAATTCAGGATAATCATTAATTCAGGCTGTTTGATAAATTATCTACTTCTAAAGTTAAGATATTTTTCCTCTTGAGAGATCACTTAAATTTCAACAAAGCAAGATTATTGATTTTTTTTTGTTCTCTCCAGTATCTATGAGAGCTTTGGGAATGAAAAGAACCTCAAGCACATAACAGTCACCTCCAGGAATATTCAGCATTCCACTCTTTCTGTGGCCACAACCCAGTCCAACTGATATCATTTTAGGAATATCTTTGTCTCTCCTTGCTAATCATCAATGCCACTGCCGCGATAATCACTACTACTGACAGGCTCAGTAATGTAACTCGGAGGTTTATTATGAGGTGCAGTTGCACCATAATTTTCTCTAGTCAAATACTCCTTTTCCATACTTATCATGAGAAAACTAAGTCGTGCTATCTTCTAGATTATTCACCTGCGATTCCCTCCCATGTTTACAAGGCTTCAATTCCTTTACAACCCACGGCTGTCAAATATTTTCTACAGAGAGACCTTCACAAAACCTACATATGAAAGAGTCCAATCTTTCATGTTACTTTACATATCGTAATTTTTTTCTCTTGCGAAAAATTCAAACAGTCAGCGGTCACAAATTTATCTCCAAGCCTAGGAAATATATTGAATTATATTAGAGAATTTTCCCCTGAAAAAGGGAACGGATGATGCCATGTGCTTATAAAGTCTCTCAAGCGCAGTGAAACTAGGAATAGGCCTTACAAGGATGATTAAAAAACAAGTTCTACTTTACAGTATCACGATTCAGTGCCCTGCACCAATTATGCTGCGGACAGGCTAATTCTGCATTCCAATTGACATTTCATTGAACAAATTACAGTTCTTCAAGCTCATCATACTGAAAAGTTACATAATACGCGAAATTCTTTTAAAAAGAAAAATGATAACAGGTGACGGAAAATTTCAAGAAAAAATAGAAAGCACAAATTTCGTTGCTACGGTTAGATTTGATGAATGAACAAAACTACATAGCATCATCAAAATCCTAAAGATTTCCTCTGATTATGAATTCAATGGCCACTCTTTGATGATTTATCAGCAAGAGTATGGAAAAAATTGAGAGAATTTGATCAGGCATGAGAAATCTACAGTAAGCTGATCCTCAGTTGGTACTAATGAAGTTTAGCAGTTTAAGGATTGAACACATCTAGTCGCTCACACTTGACTGTTGCCTTCTATAGAAGTGCTCCAACCTAGCTTTTATATCAATGGTGGATCATTGCAATGTTTTAGCATTATCCAAGGTAGCTTCTTAAAAAGGCTACAGTATATTCTCCTGGAAAGATCTTGTATATTCTTCATGACATGGGCGACAAAAAATAAATGGAAACATGGATAAACAGAAAAATATACAATGCAGAATAGTTAGATGGGGAAACATTGAAAGTATGATGGTGTATATCAAAAGAAAGAAACTTTGAACATAGCAAATGAAAATATTTGTGCCATCAATCAATGATGAGAAAGTTTACAGGCATATAAAGGAATGAAGTTCGCAATAATACCCCAAATAGATCTAGAAACAATACGCGAAACACGCATAAAATCAGAATTTTCAAAATTGAATCCACACGCCATCACGGAGATGCTGCCAAAGCTTAAAGAAGAGATCGGAATAAGTAGTGAAGTACGACGCAGTCGCACAAGCAAATAAGAAGATATTTTCCCCGCTGTCGACTTCAGAAACCAAGTTATAATGACCAAACATTTTATGGGGGTTGCATACGACACAAAAGTTAAACCACAGATCTGATAAATTTCCCCACAGAAGATTATTATGAAGCAGCCCTGGAAAACCACTTCCCAGAAACAATAACCAAATACAGCCAGTTAGGGTTGATGTACATAACACTTCAAAAAAGCAGCATCTCACTAGTTACGGTTGAAACGTTTACTGTTGGTTTGCTCCCACAGGTAAACGTCTTTCAGTGTGCAGATCCAGAAAAAAAGCAACACTCCTCACAGGCTATAGGCCGCAGATAGCCACAATACACGAAACACACCGGATCCGCATTTTATCCACCTAAAAGCTGATTGAAAGCAAGAAAATGGGGGAAATAAACAAACCTTCTTGAAGTCCCGCGGGGCGACACCCGGGAGGTAGAAGCCGCAAGCCGGAGGAATGAGCAGAACACACGATAGGACGGTGACAATCGCAACGCGACCGATATTTTCCATCTCTAACTCTCAGATGGACGAGGACGAGGGAGAAGAGGGAGAAGAGGGAGCTCCAGTGCCTTGCTCCCCCGTTCGAGATACGCGGTATGAATCCAGGGAGATCCCCGTTGCTGTACGGGGGAACGTGCTGTATTAGTCCCTCTGTGTCGTTTTTGCGGATCCGCTGAGTTGGCATCGACACGTGTGCCGAGATGACAACTGTGAGATAGAGTTTCATTTCTTGAGCCTATTGACGGCATGCATCACTATGATTCAACACAAGGGACACGCTCCTATGTTTGGAACGTCGAGACGTCAACTATAAGGCCAAAAATACACATGGCGTCGACGTCGTGGGATCAGACGAACGACGATCTCCATTCCCTTAGAAAGGAGGTTGACTTTGATCGAAGTGGGAGTCATAAGTCATATCCCACAAGCTGCTTTGTTGTCGGTGTTTGACTTACGATGAACCCGTGAGCAACCGGCGTAAAATGCCGACGATTTGGTGGTTTTATACTCCTTATGTGAAACATTATCCCGATTTAAAATAGCATAGGAAGGTGACACGTGCATTTTGTTGGGACCCGGTCTTGCTGGAGTCCGTCGGCTGTTAGGTTGACGATCTCGGAAAGCGAGAAGAGCCCTACTGCCGTTCCTGCACGATTTCCCGTGCTAGCCGGCGCAGTTCCGCCGTCGCGCGCGGAGCGCCCGCTGATCGCGAGTGCCGCGCCGTTCCGGGGTCCTGCCGTCGCGCGCCTCAGGCCGTGCCAGCGCCGTTCATCACGGCTCTTCCATCTTTGGCGCCGGCCAGTACGATACTGCGCGCCGGTGAGGTTCTACCCGCCGTAAGTCGACACCAAGGAGACACTACGAGTCGCCGCCCTTCGTGAAGGCGGAGGAGCTTGGGGAGATCTGAAGAACATTGTGGCGGAGCCGGCACTGCCGAACGCATAATTTCAGGAAACTAGATGAGGTGAGAAATCATCATCGTAGTTCCATCGGCAAACAATGAAAAGACGGGCCAGATCGTTTCCACAGTCACCTGAGGATTTAGGAGGTCGGGAAGATCTGAAAACCCACATGGGTCATCTTCATCCTGGATGAGTTCGCGCTCAAGGCTCTTCAGCATGGAGCGCTCAATCCGGTCGTTAACGAAACCGAGTTCCTTCGTCGCGTCGTATATTTTTTGAAAGCCGCGACGAAGTCGGGTCCATCTGGAGCGCGAACTCTCGAGGACCCAGATGACCCATATTGGTACTTAGATCTGCCCGATGAACTCAGTCGGGGGGGGGAGGTGTTAAGAAGCCAATGGAAGAGAAGTATGGTCCCAACGTAGAAGTGGACGGTCGGTTTTGAACGGCATCAACTGGACCCGAAATGGCCCCAGCGGTCTGGGCTGGTTTTGGACGTTGGACTAGGCCTAGTCCACTTAAATTGGGCCCTGTTTCTATCTGTGCTATTAATAGGAGGGAAGAGGCGGCTGTCTAATGGCCCTCTATCTGCTCTACAGAGATGGCATATTTTAATTTTTAGTTTTACAAAGCTCTCAAAAATCCTTCTGTGGGCAGCATGATGGGAGGGCCAAGAGTTTAGACAATTCAACTACAACGATATATATATGTACAGAGAGAGAGAGAGAGAGGGAAGAGAGAGAGAGAGAGAGAGAGAGAGCCCTGTCGCAATAACTCTGGAACTCCTTCTTCATGATGACGCAGCACATGGAGGTTTCGTCAGAAAGAGAGGTCTTCGAACTCAAAGGTATAGGTTGTCAAATGGAAGGGACTCACTCCTCTCTTCTAGATTAACAGTTTTGCCGTGCTTGCTGCCTCCCTGCATCCACGTGCGCCTGTCCTCTTCATGCTTATATGGGGTTCAAGATGAAAATCTCTTTCTTTCACAGATAGAGATGGCTCCTGTTGATGGACTCGACAGTGGGGGTTTCCGGATGATCTTACGTGAATATAGTAAAACTAATCTCTCTCTCTCTCTCTCTCTCTCGCTGTTTCTCTCTTTTTCTCCACGAAGAATAGTTTTTAAGAAAAACAGAGCTAAGAACGGGATCTCTAAAACTACATTTGAGCATCAATCGACTATACTTGGGTTCAAAGCGGAGATCTTGGGAACGATTTACTTGAGCACAGTTTTCAAAAGAAGATTTTTATTCGAGCACATAGAATCCAGGAAGTGGAGCTGTCATCCCGATTAACATCGGCGGGAACACTAGCACGAGTCAGGAACAGGGTAGACGGCGGGTGGAGACGGCATATCAGGAGGAGCTCCTCCTCCTGCTCTGTTTTCTCCCAGGACTGGGGTAGGATCCTCTCCTCCTCGATCCCGTGGAGGATGCCCTCCAGCTCTTCCTCGCGCCCGCATAGTCGCTCCATTTGCACCTCGAAGACTGACGCCGTGAAGTGGCTTGCGGCGCCCCACCAAATCGCGTCGCCGCAGTAACTCGAGAGGACCTCCGAGTAGACCCACCCCTCCCTTCTGGTCCTGCCCAAATCCACGCCGTCCTCTTCCGCAGCTCCACCGAGGCCTCCGATCGCGCATCCGACGCTGAGGCTGTTGGGCACGTGACCCATTATGTGGGAAAGTCGCTAAGGGTTCAGCTCATATAGCGGCTGTGCAGAAGAAGAAGACGAACCGCATCTGGAGTCGCTAAGTGGATCGGGTCACGCGGAACCGAAACGGTTCGGGTGGAAGAGTATGAAACAGACGGCACGTTTTCCGAGGTACTCGTTGGGCACGCTTCCGAAGTCGACTCTAGACGACTATAAATAGAGAGTTACTTTTTTATTTTAATATTCTTTAACATATTATCTATATAGAGATAATCTGAGTGAGTTTCAAAAAGAAGATTTCTATTGAGTTGGTGAGTGGCTGTTGAATTCATTTGAGGGTCAAGATCAAAGATTCATCATCTGAGTTCTTGGAGAAATTATTATGTACTTTTTCATATATAGTAGAGTTTTCATCGTCACTTAGACATAAGATGTCAACCTTTGAATTGCATAAAAATCATTGTCATCTTGATCGTTAGTTGTTTATTTTTTCTGTTTCCTTACTCTATAACATATTACATATTAAGTTGCAGAAGTTGTGTAGTAAGTTCAAGTTCAATATGAAGTTGTGGAACTTAGTGTGCAGTAAAGAAATAGAAAAAACAAACAACTCACAACCAAGGTCACATAATTTTTTTTTAAATTATTCAGAGGTTGACTTTCTACATCCACGAGCAATTTAGTTGACCTTCTACATCTACTTTTTATCATCTCTGTAAAATTTCTTGATATGTAATTGATTCTTCCCAATTACATTTTTGATCTAGTAGTAACACATATTGATAGGCTTTAACTTCAAGTGAAATGTTAGGTTCTTACACAAATGAATATCACTTTGACTATCGCAAAAAATCACATTCTCTTATGTCAGTCCCAATTCTCATAATATGAATTTCGTTATCTATAACATTTATGTAGAAACCTATGTGGTAGCAATATTTAGCCTATGCAGTTAACAAAGCAACACACTTCTGCAATATGAATTGTCATAACACAACTTCTCTTGCAAAAGTAATTACATAGCCTGAAGTTGACTTTTATATGTCAACATCTCTAAGTTTGTCAACATATATATAACTTGTCAATTTAGGAAGACTCTTCCCATAGTTTAAGTAAAATTTAGAGCTCCTTTTAAGATATTTGAATATTCACTTTACTGTTGTCCAAAACTCATTGTCTAAATTTATAAGAAATATATTAGTAACACCCGTTGCATATGTGATGTTTGGTCTTGTACATACCATTGCATATATCAAACTTCTAATAGTTAAAGAATAAGGTACTTTCTTCATCTTCTCTTTTTCTTCGTCACTTGTCAAACTCTATTCTATGCAAAAAGTTGAAAGTTATTTACAAACAAAAACAACAAATTTTACATTGCTCATACCAAACTTATTCAACACTTTATCTATATATTTTTCTTATGATAGTCATATCTTCTTGGCTTTTTGTCACGAAAAATCTTCATGTAAGTATTTACTTTGTTCTCTTTATTTACTTCATAGCAAATAACCTGTTCAACTTCTTAATCATGTCAATTGTTGATATATATTTTTCAAGAATAAATATATCGTCAACATATAATAAGATAATCACAAAATTATCATCAAATCATTTGATGTAGATGTAATCATTTGTAGTAATATATGTGTATATGTTATCAATAATAACATTGTATTAGATCTTATTTCAATCCGTACAAGCTCTTCTTCAACTTGCATGCAAGATGTTCTTTACCTTTTACTTTGAAATGTTCTAGTTGCTGAATATAAAACTTTTACTCTAAATTTTCATGAAAAAATAATGTATTTACATTTAGCTACTCAACTTCTAAGTTCATATTGATTGTTAGAATTCAAATTTGAAATTATATTAAAGATAAAAATTATTTAAATATAAAACCATTGATTTTACATTCTTCAACACCAAAATTCAGCCTCTTTTTTTTTTTGATTCCCTTAGTGTCACATTTATTTCCTTTAAACCCCTAGAAATATATCATAACTTAGTTAGGACGTGTTACAATAGTTTTATTGTGATTCCCTCTTGTATGTCTATTTTTTTCATAGTTATGAAGAATGGACTGATAATAGAAATAATAAATTCAATCTTAAACTAGGATGTGGGAAGTTGAAGACAATATTTTCTAAATAAAATATTTTTTTGTGATTTTAATTGAGTATGGATTCTCATCTCATCAAGGGATTCAATTATTTTTGATATTATGAAAGCAAGAGAAAAACTAGATTGAGAAAATTAAGAAAATGCATAGACTTGGTAGGGTTCTTAGAGGGCACATCTGTTAAGAGGTAGATCATGTTGATGACGATGTAATTGAATTATATCTCAAAATTAAAAGATAATTCAAAAAATGTCTCAATGATTTTTTAAGCACTAAAACGAAGGAAATTGTTAATGATCTTAGTTTAATTAAAAGATGATTACAAATGAAAATGT